GGTGGGGGCGGGACATACTGGCAGGGAATCTACTGGCATTGATATTAACACCCCTAAGCCGAACAGCCGCAACAGTCATGGTCACGAGTACGATTTAGACCCATGCTGGACTTTCCGATATTAGCTTGCGCGGGCGTAGTGCGACCTGGGTAGGCAACTGAAAAGATGCGCCCATCGAGTGCGGATCTGGGGGTCCGCAGCATATAGAATTCAACTAGCGCTCGCATTTTCACCGCCTCGGATCACAGGTACCTGGTTAAGCACTGTCAGGTGGTCATGTCTATGCTGCCATGGACATATGGCCGAGCCAATGGGATTTAGCACTATCAATACGCAGGATTACACACGGTGGCATTGTCCAATGCCGTGCGTGGCGGCTGCCCGGGCCATCAACACGCAGCCACTCTCGACTCCAACGCCGAAAATGACAATTCCTCCATGCGTATCATATCGGACTCACATTACTTGCTTGCGCGCTCGATCAAATTCAAATACATAGCTTCGATGAGTTCCCGTAGGAGCAGCTCCTTTTGAAAACACATATGCCACATTGGGGGGGGGGGGGGGGGATCCGGGAGATGAAATCATTCATGAGAAGTATGGGGTGCTGTCGCCGTACTCGCAATCAATCATGACAAAAACCAAAGAATAGGCGCGCATGCAGGGTTGTGTTTGCAGGGCAAGCTCCGGGCCCTGGCGCTCTCACGAGATGACCGAAAAATGTCATGGACAAACTGACCGATCACAGTCTGGTATTGCTATGGCCACTAGCTTCTAACGATTGAAACCGTACGCCTATTCTGACGGTATTCTGATTCTTACAGACGTACTACAGTACGAACTGGTTCAATTGAGGAGCTTGGGGCTGTGTGACACAATTCTGCCATCCTCCCATCCATGCACTCTGCTCTCGCGATCGCCCCGTCGGGTTCTTAACGACCTCCTTATGTCCTATAGTGGTATCACTATTCTCGCGCTGCAGATGCCATCAATATTTCTGCATGTGTGTGTGTGACACGATCATGCAGTCTCAAACCGGATCCACATTTTGGTGGCATCATGTCCCAAACACAACCAACATCATCAATTCTGTGTAGCACTACTATGCAATAACCCCGCATCATTATAGATGCAAACAAAAATGCGTGCTCTCACTACGGCCATATCATATCACATTGCCGCCGCGTACTTCCCCGTCGTCACGACGGAGTACGGGGTTGCCACTGAATCTATTTTCCCTACATGCATTGCATGTTACGCCTATCAAGTGCATGAATAATTTATGCCAAAGTTCGCTGACCCACAGCCACCTTCCATCAAACAACTTCTTGGGCACAGCACGTATTGCAGGCCGGTGACGTTAAGCTGTGGTTCCGTTTGCTTACTGTAGGTAAACGTAATGTAAACGGACGATAGTCCAAACGGCACGGCTTTGGCGCGGCTAAGCAATCTAGCTCGTTTCAACATTCCTGCTGCTAGTCTAGTGCTGGTTGTTGATTTTGTTACCTCACGCGCCGATAGATATCATCTAATCAAATACGTCGTTGACTGCTGCAAGGCCTCTCGGCTCATGTAACTTTTCCGGAAGGAACGGATAGGAATGCATAGTATATCCGATACTCGTAAAGATATTAACCAGTCACTCGTAATTTGCGGTAATCCTGGGATCAAACGAAAAACGGTGAATTTCCAGCTGGTTCGCTGGACATCCCTAGCTCTGTAGAATACGATAGCCGGCATTCGACGATAGACCGACCAATTGAACCCCTATAGGTTTCATGAAGCGACGGTGATGAATTTTCCCGTCATGCTTCATCACGCTCCTGTCCGAGCTATCAGCTACTATCAATGCTGCCAGCCAAGCCAGTATAGTTGCTTCCTGCTCGGCCGAACTACACAGTAAGTGCTTTGACAATACTACTACGACTGGCAATTCCTACTTGAGGGACCTCGCATGACCCTGTATTGGAATTCCAGTTGCCTGGCATGAACGTCCCAACCTTGCCGTATATGGTTTGCCTCATATAGTTCCCTAGGATTGCCGATAACACTGGTCAGCGTAGCAGCAACCAGATACAGTATGTATCGCATTACAATCGTTACTGTACATACATACAATCCGGTACCGGTCGCGTAGCTCCCACACACCAAACGACCAGGTGTTCAAACAAAATAGGGCTTGACAGCCCTGACTATCCGAATCTGGTTATTTCTTACATATAAGGCCACGCGCGTAACTGCCCCTTTGCGATAACGCAGCTCCCTCATTCGATTGGCACGAACACTTAAATACGTCCACATGTAACATACTACGTAGAATAGCTATCAGATAGCGCTTACGCACGCATTACTCCTACAAGCCTAGTAACTCTGATCATCTGACCCTGACACCCGTACTAGTGGCAGCTGACCATCATTCATAAAACAGGACTGCGAAAAAAAAAAGAAAACCCACTGAACAACCACCCCCTTTTTTTTCCATTCTAAACGCCTACACGTGTTGCATATTATTGTCAACGTGTATGTTCCCTGGGGAGCCACATGAAATGCATACAACGAGCTATTCATTCCACGACAGTATATTGGTTGGGGAAGGGGGGGGGTGTTCAGTAACCACCAAAGTGTTGCTTCTTCGAGGGGCTGGTTCAAGCGGCAAACTCCTAAACTACCCTGATTATCATATTTCGGTAATTAAAAAAAAAACTGACAAACCCCCCTTCGCTTCTTTTGGCTTGCCGGCGGGGGGGCCCCACATGAGCCATGAGCATACGTATGCTGGCAAACGGGGACGCAAAGAGGATAGTGACAGATGGTGACATTAACACTTAATATAATCTTGTATGGTTGCTTTCTCTGCATGGTGATCACATAATACGAATTGCTGCATCTTGTGATCACTTTCATATGCTGTAGATACGTCTTGTGCGCGCGCGTCCAGAGGTCAGGGGACATTCCTTGGAAAAGTAGCAGGATAGATTAGTGACATGGGTACGGCTAGCGACATCGCTAGCTGCCCGCGTTGTTGAACCGCTGATGGATGTATGACTAAGACGGCCGCTTAGGATCCCAGAGTGAGTTAACCGTGCTTTGTGAATATGATAATGATATACACTTTGTTTGTTTGTTTTTGGTTGGCGATGTAAACACGGAGCCGCCTGACATTTATCCCTTCGCCTTCGCCTTTTTGTTGGTTTGTTGGATTCTGTTCTTCTCGGGTGCAACACGGTGATCCTTTTTATTTCGCTCGCTTAGGAGTGAGAACTCTCTCTGATCGACTCTGATGGCGCCGGCGTAGTGGTACATAACTTGCTAGACGAACGTTGGATCCGACACGTTGTGTGGCAATTAATACATAGCTATAGGTTAGGATCTGGATATTTTTTTTTGATCTGCGGTTGCTCGGACAAACAATTCAGCAGGTGTGCTGCGTGCCAGCTTCTCTCCGCACTGGCGGCAGGCTATCCAATATGGCGGTTTCTAGGTGTGGAGGCTGACATGATACGTAATATACAGCCAATATATACACTGATGCAGTGTTGAAAAGCCACCGACGCGACGTTAGACGCCCATACACGCCATACACAGTCCCCCCCTCAGGTAACTCCTTCGACGCTGCCACACAAGCCCTGCGACCAAATTGCGAACTGGGAACTCCGGGAGTCATTTTGAAAACGAAATTTCAAATTGGGGAACCCCATTCCGGCCCTTTGGCAGAATCAGCAAGTCATCCCCATGGAACTGCACTGGTACAATCCCCACTCCCCACCCCCTATTGCCACAGCATCATCTTTTATGTATGTAGAGTAACGACAAACCCCGCATTGACCTCTTAGGTATATGCAGAGCCCCTCCCCCCGGCACAAGCACAAAAACACACAGACACAAAAAGACGACGAACCCAGCCTAGTTACTTTCAGCTCCGCGGAATTATGTAGCGATGACATTACATATATATACCAAAGCGCTTTATAACCAAACACAAACGCTTTCCCTCCCTTTCCGCCCCCGCATTTAGCTTCCTCTCACCTCTCACTCTCTTTTAATTCTCCACTTCACCTATTTGTCCAATTAATTTTTACCAATTTACATAAGTAATGGCATCGCCTTGATCTCCTTTGTTTCAACGGTCCTTGCAAACACCGTCTCCGTTCGTTGCTTTTTGGTGTTTCTTTTTGGGTCACGATGATTAGCCCCTTTATACCTTAAGTAACCCGATATATATATATCATATGGTCGTATGGCCAACGCATACGAATTTATGAAACACTCTCATATCTCCAGCTCGTTCGCTACAAAGGCCATACTATGTATGGTATTTTTGGTAAGCTAGCTAGGAGTTAGATCGATCGAGCTTCGTACCATTGTAACGACGTCCAAATCAGTGTAGTTTCAAGTCTCACCGACAAGCTCCGAGTTGATCCTCCGTAGGTTTATCATGGTGCGTTATACTACTACGTCAAGTTGGCATGGGGAAAAGTAATAACATGTACATGTAACGCATACCCACAATTGAGCAGGGCAACGCTGCATATATTATGCCACTCATATATCAATCTTTTGGGTGTGAAATGCATGCAGAACCATACATATATATCTGTGTGCCAGTGGCTCAAATGTCAGGCTTTCTTTCCTGAGAGTTTGACATTTTTACGTACGCGCCAAAAAAAAAAAAAGGTCGAGTGCGCTGCGTTACAAGATATACGTCGTACGCTCCGTTTTCCTTTTTTTTTTTGTTGGGGAGTTGACAATCAGACAACCTTCCCACATTGTTCAGTCCAGAATATACGGAGTATAATACTACCTTAACACTATAGCAGTAGCTAGTCCGAATCCCCGGGCACGATGCATGTTGGAACATTAATATTTTTTAAACCTCGACCTCTTTATTTAATTTACATGCCCATGAAGCTTAGCTTAAGGCAAAAGGATCATAGTATATATGAAAATAGGACCCGGCCGGCGACCTTACTTAACGTGAGTAAGGTAAGTTCCCATCAACCATGCATGGACGATCATGGTTTGCGGGGAGAGGTGTCCGTCCGGTCCACGAGTCGGCAGAGATGATCATTGTGTGTGTATATATATATATAATTATATAACTAGTAACTACTACTAGTTGATGCCCGACGTGGCCGGGGGGATATGATATGATGGACATGTACATGTGCATATATGCCAATATTTGAAGGTGTGGATTGTCAAAAATAAAATAAAATATGGGACAAGGATGGATCGAAGATCGAGGTATGTAGCTTCTGGATATAAATAAATAGATAAATATACATATAGTTGGAAAGGAAAGTGCAGAAATTGTGTGACCGGTGGGTGAAGACTTTCTTTCCCCGTTCGTGGTAATATACTAGAACTGCACGGTGTATACATACACAGAGCCTAGAGCCCAGACTAAGGCTTGTTACATGTGCGAAAGGCCCATCGATCGCACTGTGTAGTACTTGAAGTACAGTGGGAGCAGCTCTACCAGTACGTCGATCGGAAGCGTGGGGAATATATGTGAGTATGTTCTACTACTTACATGTACACCGGCGGTAGTACTCCGGTAGTACCAGGTTGCCGTACGTGTTATAGATACTAATCGTACGATTTTACACAACGCACATAGCGTCGATCTTCTCGTCTTTGTGGAGGGGAGGACTGTTATATACATCACGGGACCGTGGGATGTAGCCCCAGTGGAGTGGGCTTGGGATCGGATCGGAGGGGAGGAGGGAAAGAAGTGCACATGTTTAGTACCCGTTATCACCGCGTACTCCCACCAACCAACAGGAACGCACTATTCCATTCCGGTGTAAGTATGGAAATTGCATATTTTGCGAGGGGCAATTGGCGCGTCAACTTCAATGCCTGAAGCCTTGAAGCGCCAAGATATATCGCCAAAGCTCAGGGCAGCAAGACTAGTAGTAGAGGCTGGGATTTGAGAGTGACGATCCCAGCCATGAGTTGCACAGTTTTTCTAGAACTAATAAGGCTGTTCCATTTAGGGTCGTGGGGGGAGGGGCCGAAGAAAATTAAAATTTACAGTATTTACAGTAGATAAACAAATTGAATGAGAACGGGTTAGGTGAGCGTCTCCCGCTGGCGCCCGTGCGCAATTTCCGTTATGATGTTGTCCCTCCAACCCCACATATGTACCGATATCGATATACTCATCGGTTATGGCACGGCTGCATAGGCTAAGAGCGGACGTACAACTGAATCTCGCCCGAACGTTTGCGCACACAGTAAATGCGCTGAAGTAGCAGTTGCCATTGATAATATGATGCACAAGGGTTAAACAGGTATTGTTGATCGTTAAAGGATGTGAATAAAAATCCATGTTGGAGTTGGAATGCTTCATTGGCGATGGAAGGGGGAGATGAAGCGGAAGTGGCGGACAACAAAGCAAAAGGCGAAAACGCATAGGGTGCTGGATGGTCTGATGGAGCGAACATATGTGCACGGCAATTCAGTCTAAACCCACAGGACCCGCTATAACATTTGCCTGTCCACTACGGTAGATATACAGAACTGCTAATGGTCCGTGTAAACCGGGAGAAAATTAAAGCAAAGCAGCGCGTACAATGAAGAAAAAAGAGTTTATAGACAAGAAACACATACAAAGAACGAGTTGTGCGTGGATCAAGCATTCCCGCAAGTTGCATATGGGTTTTCAATGAGTGATGATTAGAAGTACTGGAAAAAAAAACCCCCGAAACAACGCAACATAATGTTCTTTCCACACTAAAAAAGCCAAAAAAAAAAAAAAAAAAAAAAAGGAGTAGGAAGAGAAGGGGGAGCAGAATAATTCGGACCAGGATGTTGACCACTACATATGTCATGGGGGGGTTAATTTCTATTCTGTCACAGAACCGAAAACTCACCTTAGAAAATGCTCGGTAACAAAGAAGTTCCCGTCGAGCTACCACTTGATGTTGTGGAAGCGGTACGAATGTGCTTTCCGGAGAATCTGCAAAAAAGAAAAAGATGGCGATGGCTCGAAAATCAAAAAGGTACCTGCAGAAACGGCCCGGCCCGAGGCCAAAACACTAAGCTTGACTCACCCCCAATTTGCTTCGCAAGGGTGCTGTTGTAGCTGAAGAACCATACCAATGTTAGCAGGCTTGATCAGACGTCAACAGGGCACCAGAAAAACAGATTATTACATGTCATCATTTTGCGAAGGCTTTTCGAACGCCCACTGAGGAATCGCTGTCTCCCGTGGGATCGAAGCATTATAGCTATGTAGTAGATTGTGCACGCAACGCGCAACGTTAGGATTATTACCTCGAATGTTCGGAGTCCAAAGGATTATGCAACTCACATCCCTTCCTGGACACTGGGGAAGTTTGTACAATATAGACTCCAAGCAGACCAACTGTTTTGTTTCAAGTTCAACCAAAATCGATCAGCACGAAAATTCAACACGACCACGACTAGGACTCAAACGCATCGGGAGGGGGGGGGGGGCTAACCTTATGTATGTCCTATTCTGGCAATCGGCGCACGCGGACATGAGCTCGTATACAGGCGTGCTACAGATGCCTTTGGTCCCCAACCGGGAGGTATGAATGAATGAATTGATCGAGTGCTGATTGAGACGGGTCACTTACAAACATTTTGAGTCGACGGATCATCCTGTCTTGGGCCTTGGAAGCAAGTCAGTAAAGACGCTAAACAAGCAGGGCTGGAACGGCTGCCAACACATACCGATGTAGTGATAGCCTTCAGGAAGGCTGTTGACAGTGAAAACTAAGAATCCAGTCAAAATAGGTAAATTTCAGCATTGATATGTCCTACCCCCATCATTGCAGACTGACTGCAGGCTCGCAGCGACGACACATGGGTTTTGGCTAAGGGAAAGGTTCAACTCATGAAGCGCGGTCGAGACTCGAGCAGGGAAACGGACGAACCCTTTGCTGTTTGATGCCTATGGCACGGCGTCAATCACTCATTACTCTAAGCCCATTTTCTTGCTACTCACCCAGCTATAAGAAGGGTGACAGGTAACGTTGGACTAGACGGCCGGGAGCGAAGGAACAGATATATCAGCAAATCAGCCAAATGAGTTCTTTTAATGTGATAGGTACGCTTCCAGACCAAGCAAAAGTCTTCTCAGCTCCCAACAAGCACAGGAGAATAATTGAAAAGATGGATGAACGCAAGTTGCGTGGCATAAGTAAGAGGGTCTTTCAGAGTCTGCGCGCAAGTCAGCAGAAGAAGGAGTACCAATAGCCTTTATTTGGGGAGGGAAATGTGTGGCACATCTGGAACATGCATGCACTGCTTTCACCCCAGGAACACAATTGTCCATGCATCCCTTGGCACTTGCACTGGTACAGCGCATGTTGCACAGCATCATCTTTTATGTATGTAAAGTAACGACAAACCCCGTATGATTTGATCTCTTATGTGCAGAAGCGCCCCCCGCACAGGCACAACGAACAAACACACACACACAAAAAGAAGGCAACGACGAACCTAACCTAGTTATTTTCAGCTCCGTGGAAGTGGTTGCATTATATATATACCAAAGCGCTTTATAGCCACACTTCCCCCCTAGTTTTCCCGCCTCCCCCGCATTCAGCTTCCTCCTGGCACCTCTCTCCACGTCCGCTATTTGTCCAATTTGCAATTTACATAATGGAATCGCCTTGATTGCCAATATGGAGCATAAACAGTAAACATTACTCGCCAGGACACACTTGTAAACCGCACACGCGCGAAAGACTGCATGGAAGTGAAATTGTTGGGATTTAATGGAGGGAACGAGATTAAATGAGATTTGTGTGCCTTGGGTCTTAGCACCTCGGTTTCCCTGATCGTGTCCGCCGCACACCTGGGATTTTTTTTTAGACCTTGCGTACTACGCTATACATGCTTACGGCTCTTCGAATATTAATCATTTATGTGTGTTCAGTTTGTGTCTCTTATCATTTCACGGGACTACATATAAACATCACGGGACCGTGGGGATGTAGCCCCGGTTGGAGTGGGCCTGGATCGGATCGGAGGGAGGGTTGTACATGGTTAGTACCCGTTATCATCACCACGTACTCTCACCAACCAACAGGAACGTACTATTCCATTCCGGTGTAGATGTTGGAAATATATATATAAATTACTGTAAACTCTGGCAATTAGTTATATATATTTTGTATTTTTTTTGCAATTTTTTTTTTTTTTCTGCAGCAAAAACAGGCTGGGATTGTGAGATCCCCAGCCATGAGCTAGTTGTCTAGAACTAATAAGGCTGTTCCATTTAAGGTTGTGGGGGGAGGGGGGAAGGGGGCCGAAGAAGATTAAAAATTTTTACAGTATTTACAGTACACAAACAAATTGAATGAGGAGCGAGCGCCTCCCGCTGGCGCCCGTGGTGCAATGCAATTTCCGTTGTGACAACCCCCCACCCTCATATCGATATTACTCAATACCAATTTTTTTTTTTGTTGAGCCGAACTTGTACGTCCGATAATGAATGAGTGTGATGTTCTGGGCCAAAGACTCCGTTGGACTGGGAATTGGCAGTGACGATCGTAAGGAGTTCGAGGATCGAGCTTATATAGTAGAGGCCACCCACGTACACACAATATACGTATATATGCTATATGCATGACCTTACCCGTCCAGCCCTCTCTAACCTAACATTTGGCCGCATGGCCGGTGTGGGTTCGAACTGTTGTTGTTGTTGTCGCCAAGTGAAGTGAAGTGATACATACGCTAAGTGATACATACTACCCTCGCGCGGACCCGGTCCGTCCGCTATCCCCCCCCCCTGACAACCAACAACCCTGAGGTCACGTAGTCAGTCCTGAGAGGAGTCCAGGTTGTGGCCCCTTGGTGGCCCATCCGCGATTTGGAATTATGTATATATATGGTCGATCGTAATTGTAATACATAAATTCTCGGTTGCAGCGGTTTGCGCGCCGCGTCGCACACACGAGTTCATCGACGTCACTCTGACGTCTGGCATTTATTTACCTTTTTTTTTATTTTATTATCCCTTTCTGGTTCGCGCGCGCGACCCGTTGGTAAATCGAGTTAGGATCATGCATATACCTCTTGCTCAGCTGACTGGTGGTTATGTAGTAGTAGGGATCCCGTGAGAGGCTATCACCCCTGATTAGACTAGGAGTAGTAGTGAATGACCGGTTGGGTACGGTCTGGATCAACGTTGCTGCCGACCCCCCCACAACTGGGGCATTTCGGCCGAAAGTACAGTGAGGTGGGGGGGGATTCATTAGAAGAAAGAACCCATATATGTTATCCTTTTTTTCTTTTCGGACCCCCATACAATATTGCTGGGGTACCCGAACGGTGTGTGTGCTATTAACTTATTAACTTTGTTCCCTTGAGGAAGAAACTTCGGAGTGTCGGAAGTGGCAAGCCGAGAGAGACATGTTTTCCGATGGAGGGGGGGAAGAAGGAAGTTGCGGGTTTGCGGAAGGCGTCGATTCGGAATCAAAGGACAGCTCCGAGGGGGCAAAGAGAAAACGATGACGAGTGTATTCAAGCGCCACCGTTCTCAGAGTTGATGATGTCAAACCCTTTACGTCCCGTGTTACAATGTACGTACGTACGTCGGACGTATGTAGTAAGTACAAGGGAGGAACTCTTTATGTAAGGACCAGCAATTGCTGTTCTTGGATTGTCAATTCATTTAGCGGAATATCTAGAGCGGTTTTTTTAATTTTCGATAATGCAATGCGGGGCTCCACAGCATGAGATGTTGAGGGGAAAATGAAAAAAAAGAAAGAAAGAAGAACTAACCGCATCCCCCCATGGGGTAATCGGGCGGCTTTCGGACCCTGCAAGAGAGACATGTTGCGCAGATGCGACGCAACGGGCTTCTGTTTAAAGTTCTAATGTCTATGATCGGCCAGCATCTAGAGTAATCTTTGTGTACATGTGACTACATATTTATCCATATTTGGACCGGGAGTAAGGATCCGATTGTGTAATATGTAATTGGATGAGAACCCTTTATCCCTTGTACATGCACTATAGGCGTCTCATCTCCGGCCGCGGGGGGGGGGAACTCGTACATAAAAACATGCGGAAGGGTTCCCGTGCGCGCCGCGCGGAGTTGTCCTGCAATCTGACTGACGTGACGTGGACTCTGGTAACTAATTCTGGCGTAAAGGAGGCTTGCGCAACGACATCGTGCCCACTCAAGTCCTCAATCGAGCCCCTTTTATTTCGGATTCGGAGCTCATGCATGACTTGAAAGCTGGTGGGTCACGTAGCTAAAAAGCTAAAGGAGCCAGCTGATCACTTTGCAGTTCAGTGTCTAGTTTCTGCGGACTAGAACCAATCTGCGCGCGCGTTTTGATTTAGGGGCTGCATGCAGCTGTGTAGTATATGTGTGTGTATGTAATGGCGCGCGCGTACCAGTTGAGTTGGCTTGATTTGACCTTGCTTGGCTAGCGTAGCTGAGGGCCGGTGGGTCTTCTTCCATCTGCAGGTAGTCCAGTTGACCTTGATTAGGGTGACTGCGTTGCCACAAGCACAAGTCCAAGCTAGCTTAACTCCTGTGTTGAGCCGCTGTGCATGTGAATGATGATGGGTGATGGCATCTGTCATTGGCGCGCTTCTACTTTGGGGTTTTTTTTTATTTATATACTTAGCTCGGCAGTTTGCAATGTTTAGCCCCGGTAGTACCTTATTTCGTTCATCACGCGCAATATTGACCCAGATAACTCTCTGGCGCCGGCCGGTCCAACGCGTTCGTTCGGCTGGTGGAATCCGGATCGGGGGGGGGGGGAGTTCTCTGTACCGGGATTACGGATTTACGCCTCCCCGGGCATTGCATGTGCATGTACATGTACCATGTCGGTCACTACGTCATTACATTACGGATATGCGTCGATGCACAAATTATTGCTTTATATGTGATCGGCCAGATGTCTCTCATGCATGCGCGGCGCGCCTGGCCGCAGCTGCATGGGTGTGTCTCTGGATGATTATCTCCGCTTCTGGGCGCTCTCTCTCTGGTTTGTTCAAGTTGTGTTCCTCACAACATTCACGTTCAAGTTTGTGCATGGAATTAACACGTTTTCTCCGACTCTGTGTGTGTGTGTGGTGTTGGGGGGTGTACCAAAAACCCCCTTATATTAACTTGGTTAACACGTGTCCGCTTAATGTCTCTCCATAGTATATACGCTTTCCCCTCGTTGGCGGAGCCAGCATAATAGCTAAAGTAAAGGGGGAGAAGATTAGGAGAGTGTGTCGCATGGGATTCCATACGGACTCAGCTGCCCAACTGTCGGGATCCTTAGTACGAATACCAGGAAGATAGTAAAAGTCTTCTTCAACTCGGTCTTTCCCCTTCTCCTATTACTAATTATCCACGCCACTTGCATGCATGGTTACACATATTGAGAATCTCGTTCTTGTCCGAGTCCGTAACGGCTTACATAGCTTACATAGCTAGTATGTACAACACAAGCCTGTTGCGTGTGCATGCGCGGTGTGTTGTCAAGTGGATCTACTATAATCTAAATAACGCCACCAAGCTCGCGTATCAATATGTGTATGCATGTTGTATATTAGAATCCATGTCCTTTAGCTCCGGCACTATAGTAGTATGTACTTTGTAGTTGGGAACATAAAGTTCTTGATTTATTGCTATATACGTCGCTAATTATTGGGAGGCTATAAGTATAACCCCCATCATTATCAAGCTATGTACTTACTAATCTCATGTTTTTACTGTAATCGAGTGCCAGGCCGGTTCTGGTACGTATACGGTTGTCTGGTACGTAGTATGTACTACCGGCAGCTACCGGGTGCCGAGTTGGTGGGGTCCGGGGAGGGAGTTACTTTCAGCGCCAGCGTATAACAGCTAGCCGGTGAAATGCATCCGTGGTTGCGAATTGCTGCGCACTCCCGACCACTGCACAATTAAAAGCCCCCCCCCTCCCCCCCGCGCGCACACGGTCTGGTATGTCGCGCGACCCTGACCCCCGAGTCACCGTCGGTAGGACTGCATGACTGCTAGCTTAATTATTTAGTAATATGTGTTTGTTTGTAAGTCCGGATCTCACGTACGGGGCGCCACACCGGCGCGAGTTGCGGGTTTATATACACACATTGTACCAGCTATAAGCTCTCTTGCGCCCATGCATCTACACACACATGGGGGGGACGTATCTACCACGCCACCGGTTGCATGGTCCGGCCGGGTAAAAGCTGGTGACCGACTTGATAGTTTTGCCAAACTCGAAAAAAAAGGGCAATTGACATTTTATTTTTATTTTATTTTTATTGGATATCTTCTCACTGGTCCAGTATTTGCATGCAACTACTGGTACATGTGTAAGTCCTCGATCTTCTAGCCAAAATCGATACACGGGCAGCTGGCCAGTAAATATTTTTGGCGGCACAAGTGCTGGCGACCGACGCTATGTATATATATATATAATGGTATCACGACGGAGGTACTTCGCCACATCGCGCGCAGTTGTGAAAGTCTGAGCACGATATCATGCAGTGTCATTAGATATCGCGAGCGCTCTCAGCCTTACATATCACGCTTATATACATTTGCGAATCGATGTGTGGCCGCGCAAGGTGAAGAACAAAAATTATATCCCTTAGCCACACCTGAAACCTCGGCTTTGTCTAGCTCAATGGTTGCATGGCTAACGTGGTACGTACCGTACCTAGCCAACCATTGACACAAAGGGCATCGGAATGCCACTTCAACAGCAGTTGTTCAGTCCATCTAATTGCAGATGCGGTGGAACAGCTTTGCATTTTTACCCCCTTCCAGGTTGGCTCTTGCTCGCTTGTATATGAGATTCTGCCCTAGCAGCGCTCGATTGATGCGGTGTGCAACAGCGTATCTCTTATCCGTCTAAGCATGAGCGGTATGGAGTGCATGTTAGCGGGTGCTAGCTAGTGAATCGACTCGTTCTTGCGCAACCAGTGGGGAATTGGACCAGCGAACGAGCCAACGGTAACTGTATACATAAGTCTTCTTCATACATAGATACACGGCACAAATTCTGAATGTTCTCTTCGTCGTTGGCCTCCAAAATGCAAATCGAGTCTTCGATGACATGAGAATCACGCCTTCAGCTCCTTCTTGAGGGTCTACAAACAGTGGAGGTGAGACATGGAGTGTGTCAGAGAGGGAATTTAAAAAAAAGAGAGAGAGACGAAAGTAGAGTGTCCAAAAACGGGAGCGGGAATTTTGTTTGATTCATAATCGATAATTCACCTTTTCCATCTCATCGAAATCGTCCGTCTTCACACGAATGATCGATCGCCCGAGTGCTTGTTCAATTTGTTGCATTTCTGACCAAGATTGTCTGTCGTGAACAAAGTTGATCGAGATTCCTCTTCGTCCGAATCGACCAGTTCGGCCTGAAAAAATGGAATGAGAGGTAGCCAGGATAAATAAAAATAAAGCAAAAAGAGTTACGCACCAATACGATGAAGATACGTCTCAGGGTCGGGTTTGTTATCGACCGTTAAGGGCATATCGTAATTGACCACCATGTTCACTTGAAGGATATCGATTCCTCTAGCGACCACGTTTGTGGTGATGAGGACTTTACTCTTTCCATCTCTGAAATCATCAATGACTCGATCGCGTTCGGCGGGTTCTTTGGCGCCATGCAGGAGGGTCACTTGATGGCCTTGGTCGATCATTCGTTGAGCAATGATATCCGCCGTTTCTCGTTTCTGCGTTTGTGGAAAGATAAGGAGAAAAAAAGCAAAAAGTTGCATGGGAGCTTACTTTGCAGAAAATCATACTTTGACCGATAGTTAACAGGGAGTATAACTCCACTAGTACATCGTACTTGTGTGCTTCATTCTTGCAATCCATGTAGAATTGCTTGATGCCCTCCACGGAGAGCTCTTCTTGCTTCAATCGTATTTCGTTTGCGGCAGGTGCAAACTTGTTTGCGAATTTGCGGACGTGATCGGGGAACGTGGCGGAGAAGAGGAGGATTTGGCAGTCGCGGGGAACTTGGCTATGTGGAACACGTGTAAGGGAAGAAGAATTGGGAAAAGAAAGTAGCGCAGAGCTTGGGGGGTTAAGGATGAGTACTCAGACGCACTTTTTCACTCGGAGGGTTTGGTCTCCTAACCCTTGCTGATCCAACATGTTGTCAGCTTCGTCGACAACGAAGATCCCGACCTGACTTGTATCCAACTGTTTCTTCCGAATGGCATCCGATAACGTCCCAGGGGTGGCAACGATGATATGTTGATTTAATACGGCCCCTCTTGGAACGGAACCTTGAATGGCATAACCAGTTGTGACTTTTGTGAACGCGGCCATGGTGGTGATGACTTGCATGATTTGCCTTGCGAGTTCTCGAGAGGGTGCAATGCATATGGCCTTAGCGTAAACGAAAGAGTAACGTGTAAAATTGGGTTAGGACGTATGCAGGGTGAAAAAGAAAATGTGGGGGGGGAGGGGGAATAACGAAACTTGTGTTGCCTCCTTGCTGTAATCTATCCGACTGAGCATTGCCAATACGAACGCTGCTGTTTTACCAGTTCCTGATTGTGACTGCCCAATCATGTTTCGTGGACTGGCATAAAGACTCGTAAAGACCTTTACTACGATGGATTAGATGAACGTACGGATTCTGAAGTAGTAAAGGAAGTGCGCGTTCCTGGATCTTGGATGGCTTTTGGAATTTCATAGCGTATATTCCCTTTAGCAAATCCTCGTGTCTAGAGTGATGTTTTCATTTATACATTAAGGTGTGAGTTGGACTGCTTGCAGATTGGAAAAGAAGGACAAGCGGTCTTACAGGCCTAACTCCTCGAAAGACTTTGCACTATACAGAGGTGAATCCGGATTGGCTTGCTGATCAGCAAGTGTGACCTGATTTCCAAAGAGTTAATCGCGACTGCGCGGGGGGAAGGCTGGCTGAACGCACTTACAGTGACTTCGTATGAGGACTTCAGTAAGTCCGTTGCTAAACGTGAAGAGGTCGAGAATAAACGACTCTGTTGGATGCTTTCGTGCCGTGTTAGGACTTGCCACTTGCGGCTTGGGCAGCATCTGCTTCTGTGCTGGCTGGATCGCCTGCTTTGGATTCCGATTGACCTGCATCGACTTTGCCCACTGTACTAGCAGTTGAGCCTGAGAAGTCACAAAGGGATGAGTGTTAGGCTCGACTTCGTGATGGATTCTCGCCTACTCTCTTTGGTTGATATGATGAATCCATCTTCGTCCTTTTTCACTTCTGCCATGGGCGCTGCACGATGAAACAGACAGACTCAGGCAAGCAACAGAAGAATGAGTTGGGATGTTTTCGGGACCGACCGATTATTCAATTCGATCGACGTCCACTTCCAACGAGGCTGTGGCGTGGTCCCAGTTGGTGCTTAGCACTCGTTTAGTATCAGTCCTTGGGTTATATTTTCTCTAGAGTGCAGGGGATTGGTCTAAGGAGTTATGTCGCATAACTTGTTGAACGTTCCTCTCCGTCAAACGTTCCAGCCTCCGATTAGGCAAGCTCTGAGGTCATACATCAATCAGAAGCACCCAGAGACACATCCTGATGCCTTCAAGTGGGATATATCTGAGTGGGAGTCTCAAAGGAAGAAAGCCACGTCGATGAATGTTCATGAAGACACGATTGCGCTTGTGTTGAGGCGGGTAGTTTCGCTGGTCGTGCCATCGCGCCATGAAAGATAATATTGACGTTAACCCAATTTGTTTTTGAAAAAAAGCTATCACTCTCAGCTTGCTTATCTCCTCACAAAGCTTCCTCCAGATGTACGCACAATTTGCACTTGAAACTGCTCACTCTTTTTCAACGGTCCGGCCCCGCAGATTGGACTGTCCTTCTCTTATGGACAAATGTTTTCTCCGGCTTCCCCTGTGGAAATATCCAATCTACACTACGAACGCGCATCGACCCTTCTGAACTTGGCTATTCTCTTCTGCCAACTGGGAACAACTGAAGATCGTGCATCGCAGGAAGGGCTAAAGAGAGCAGTTTTATGCTTCAAGGTGACCAGGTCATTTCTTCAACTGAAGAGCTCATCCAACTGAGGGATGAAGAGAGGAGCTGGGACTATATCATACATTCTGTCCAACGTTTTGCCTGCGCTTCAGAAGTCTCTACAGAATGCTGGCGTGCCGATACCCACCGATCTCGACGAAGATTTCTTGAGGTTTCTTCGAGGTGTCATGATCGCTGAGGCCCAAGAGTCCGCTTGGCAAAAGGCGCGTCTGAATGGACTGTCGAATGGGAGTATAGCCAGGCTTGCTTCAAAGGTGTGCATGGATAAGTCGATAATTCTTATTATCTTGTTTGACAGGTTCTTGTTCCAGGCTTCCAAATTTTATTCTGATTCCTTGGAATTCATCGATGCCGATAGCCGTCTTTCTGTTTACGTACCAGAGGTACGATATATGTCGCGATAAGCATATTTGATACGATGAAGGCACACACAGGACGTGATCGCTCACTTGAGATGTAAATCTCATCATTTTGCCGCTGTTGCGCAATATCGGCTTAGTATGGACCATGGAGTGTCTGGGAAGTCAGTCCCCCATCCAGCTACTTGCTCAGTTCACCACCGTGCTAATACTCGCAGATATGGGATGCAGGTATCGCGGTTAGGGATCGCTTCGCGAGAATCCAGGCTGCAATGGATTCCGCGAGTAAGGGGAAAGCCTCCCAAGAGGTTTTCAACGATGCCAAGGTACGGCGGCTTCGAGGCGTGTTTTGTATGCATTGAAGGATTGTTTTCCTAGTCGCTCGATGACAGGATTAATACTGAACTCAGAACGGTTTCTCATGCGAATGACTTGATTTATCATGAAGACGTCCCACCCCCCTCTACAGTCCCGCCAATTCCAGGTGTTGCGGTTGTCGAAGATGACGTTCTCCCGCAGCTCAGTGACCCAGCTTCAGTTTTGGGAGGTGCAAGATCGGAAACTTTGATTTTCGGTGGCTTGGAGAGTTGGGGTATCCGAAGAGCTTGCGGTAAGATCTCCCTGCGTACACCGGAAGACTAACATCCAACAGCCCCATATCGGAAGACATATTCAAAAATCAGAGATCCAACTATATAGAAGATGAGCTAGCCGGCATGCAGCATGATTCCGACCTTGTGGCCATGAGGTCAGTGAATAACTACACCAACTTCCGATGGCTTTTGAATGGTAGTGACACGCCGGGATGCAGCAAATTGAATGCTCTCAACCTTCCAGCAGCATTGGATGCGCTGTCGCAGCCGATCGGCCTCCCCCCAAGTCTTCTTCAGCAAGCTGGAAAGGTTAGATCAGAAGATGGACCAAATAAAATCATGAAGATGCTGGAGGACGCGCCGATGCTAGCCAATCAATGCCGAAACATCATTGAGGATGTGAGTCGCTCTCGACATCACCGAGACCCTTGGGGAATTCAGCATATCCCCAGGCTTTTAACGGTCTTGATGAGGAGGCAGACTACGATGAAGAACTTCGTTCTGCATATGCACAGCACGATAGATGGACACGACCGACCTCATCCGAGGCAAATGGTCGACTGACTCAGCGCGCTCAAACGGAGCAGCAACTATTAGCACGAGTGGAGGAAAGGATCGCAAGATCAGAGAAGAATGGGAAGAATGGGAGACTTTGATCTATCTCTTAGCAAGCGATGAGGTACGTTGTTTTATATGGAATGGGCAAGGTCACATCTAAACAGCATGAGGACAGGCGGATTTGGAAGCGGCTGTACCGCAATCGACCATTCCGGCCGGCACCCTGACGCTCGCACAGCAGGGGCGCGTCAGCGCCAAGAGACCAAGGTCCAGGCGCGCGCGCTTCAGCAATTGCTCGAGAAACTTGACGACCTGAAGAGTGCACGTGAAACAATCCTGTCTCGATCGAGACATCTGGCTCAGGAGGACGACATTAAGCCTAGTGTAGTGCGGAAAGCAAACACTTTTGAGGCTTGGTCAGAAATTGGCCCCGAGGTTTTCGATGACATTGTGAATGAAGGTCTGGCCAAGTACGACAAATTTAGGGACCAGTTGGAGGAAAACGCTTCTGTTCAAGAGGAGGTTCTGATCAAGATAGAGGTGGGCTCATTTTGCTGGAATACTAACGAGATTAATGAGAATACGTCTGCTAGGCGCAAAACGAGCGCTTCTTGAGCTCCAGGAAGGAGGACCCGACGATCAAAGAAAGGGAAGAAAAGCTGAAGTCACTGAGCAAGGGATTTCAGGCCTACATTGATATTAAGAGGAGATTGGAGGAGGACATAAGGGTGAGTGGGTTGCCTTTCGTGGATCTGATCTGACGCAATTTGTTGGCCAGTTTTATAACGAGAAAGCTGTTGAGCTAAATGGCTTCAGAATAATTGTGAACGAGTGGTGCGAGGAACGTCGTGCAAGCGTTCGGTAAGCCCGTTTGTGGACTTTTCTCCAAGCCACCAATCATGAGTTGTGTACAGCTGGTTGGAAATGAGCCTGAACGAAGTCCCGGAACATCTCTTATCGTCGTCAGGATCGCAGGCTGTAACCTCAGCCAAGAAGAAGCCGGAAATATCAGGGATGGCACCAGAGAAGTGGAATCCTAGTCTACAACCAGCCAAAGCAGAAACCCCTACGGAGAGTGAGACGCCCACGGCACCTTCCACATCCCCGTTAGTCGTGCCTTCCATTCCCAACACGAATCTGGGCGCCGCTGCCAGTATCCCCAGCCCATTCTCAGGGAAATGGGAGCAAACACCAGAACTCACACCAGAACCTCGACCCAAGAAGGAGCCAAAGAAGAAGAATAAAGCGAAAGAACTCGCATGATTTCTGAGCGGGGCATTTTTTTGTCCTGCGTAAATGGACGGGTTGGATTAGGTCTTTTTAACTGTAACGAAACAATTGTATCCAAGGACCTCCGATTTTTTGACTCCAATTTTCCAACTCTTCGGCGCTAGAGAGTTTGAAATAGCCTTTCGGTTGCCATGTTCGGTGATTGCCTTCGTATTCAGGTTGGCAGCGTTGCTCGATTATTATTTCCCTCACCCCCCCTTTTACTGAGCCCCGAGCCGCAACAACGACACGATAGCCTGTAGTGGCAGCTTCCAAACGTTCCTTGAGTCGTGGCGTTTAGTCTCCACCAACACTGTTACTATTGAGGGAAAGAGCCTTCCCCGACTTCATCAATCTCAAGCAGAGCATTTGGTGTCTGCCGTCCACACTCCTTCACCCTCGATAACCTATCCCATTAGTTTAGCAAGCGTCCCCAATGTCCTATACACAAGAGCAATCAGCAGCTATGTCGAAACGATTGACCAACAACCGCAACACGAACCGTTATTCGGTCACTGCATTGTTTAGCATGGCGGCTGAGCAGGACGTAGAAGTTGAAGATGATCTTGCACGCGGTACGTAGGGATGCGCCACGTTAGTTTACGCTGTGATGGAATTTAATTATTATCCGTTGAACAGCCCAAAAGCGACTTCGCGAACTAAAGACGAGAATCTCTGCGCAGTCAAAGAAAAATTTCGTCCTTGACCGAGATGTGCGCTACCTCGACACTAGGATAGCGTTACTGATTCAAAATCGAATGGCCATTGATGAGGTTCGTGAATGTCCGGCTCGCTCAAACTCCCTTTGTCAAACAATGCTAACGTTCTAGGCAGCGTCAAGAAGTAGAAAGACATCTAGAGGATGTTGACCCTACCGAAGGTGCATACCCTGATGACCGTAAAATCCAGGTTTGTGCGGTGATTTAGGTTGGCGCATAATCTGAATGGATGCTTCTCAGCAATACTCCAACCTCTTCTTCTTGCTTCAAAGCGAGCCCCGACATATTGCAACGCTATGCCGCCTAGTCAGCCTTACAGAGATAGACACACTTCTACAGACCGTTATGTTTACGCTTTACGGTAATCAATATGAAAGTCGAGAAGAGCACCTCTTGTTATCCATGTTCCAGGTATGTTCGAGCGGTAGCATTGTGCACACAGGAATTCGTGTGACACCTTAACAGGCAGTGCTGGCGGCTCAGTTCGAAACCGCCACGGAGTTTGGATCATTGCTTCGAGCGAATACCCCTGTGTCTCGAATGATGACCACATACACAAGACGTGGTCCAGGACAAAGTTACCTGAAAAATGTCCTTGCAGATCGTATCAACAGCTTGATCGAACACAAAGACTTGAATCTTGAAATCAACCCGCTCAAGGTAGTACTTAGTGCCGCTTCATTTTTTGCAATATCTCAACAGAGGCGTTTTAGGTTTATGAGCAGATGATACAGCAGATTGAAGAGGAAGCTGGCACCCTTCCTCCCAACCTGCCCCGTGGCGTAGCACCTGAAACCGCTGCCGCCAATCCGGACGTCCAAGCGATTATTGCCCCCCGTTTGACGATGCTAATGGAAATAGCTAATAGTTTCCTGCTCACTATCATGGAAAGCCTGGAGTCCGTTCCATATGGGATACGTTGGATATGCAAACAAATCCGCAGTTTAACAAAGGTAATTATTGTCCTGTTCACTGCTCCGTCCGTGCAGTGCTAATGGTTCCAAAGCGGAAATACCCTGATGCATCTGATTATGCCATCTGCTCGCTTATTGGAGGCTTCTTCTTCCTCCGGTTCATTAATCCTGCTGTCGTCACTCCGCAGGCATATATGCTTGTGGAAGGAGTTCCTGCGAAGTACCCGAGGCGGACGTTGACGTTGGTAAGAAGCACCCACGAGTTTTTGATCTCGAGTTGCGCCCTCATTTCGTTTTTTCAACCCGCAGATTGCAAAAATGCTGCAGAACCTCGCGAACAAGCCATCATATGCAAAGGAACAGTACATGATTACCCTGAATCCATTCGTGGAGAACAACAAAGCACGAATTAACCAATTCCTCAATAATCTGTGCGACGTTGGCGATTTCTATGAGTCGTTGGAACTTGATCAGTACATGGCCCTTTCGAAGAAGGATCTCATGATCAACATCACTATGAATGAGTTGTATAACACTCACTCGCTCGTTCTTCAGCATATCGAAGCATTGGTGAGTCATTTGGTTGTTGCGGCAACAACAAATTGTCTGACCCCCCCTCATTTGCAGGCACCAAATGATAAATCCCACCTTCGGGTTCTAATGGATGAGCTTGGAGCTGCCCCGCCACAGGTCCCTCGGAAGGAAAACCGCCAAATCGAGCTTCCTCTGTACAGTCGTTGGGAAACGACCGTGCAGGATCTTGCCGCCTCCCTCATGACAGACAACAACCTCACACAAAATGACATCCTGTACATGGAGACCAAGTCGATCTTTGTGCAGCTCATCCGTTCCATACCTCATGCTGCTGATAAGCGGCCAATAAACCTTCCTGCCCTGGCTGAACGTGCTGCAACCACGAAGGATGCTATTCTGGTTCGCAAAGGGATCAAGGTTAAAGAGATGCTTCGTGAGCTGGAGGAGGTGGGCGTCGTCACTCGCGACGATGCATACAAGCTCATGTGCGAGAAGTCGCAGCGGAGTTGACCCACTTGGGCAATATGCGCGAGAAAGTGTTGATGGAGACGCGGTCTCTTGAGCTCGTGTACAAAACAATCTGCGATCATAACGCGTGGCTCAGGTCTCAGTTAGAACAGTACAAGGCCTATCTACAGAATTCTCGTCTCAACGCCAACAGAGAAAGAGGCGCAGGTTCTGTTGGCGTTGGGGTTGTTGGTATCAATGGGAAAGAGAAGAAAATCCCCAAGACCACCGTCCAAGGTCCATATCGTTTCACTCATGCTCAGCTTGAAAAGGATGGTGTCATCGTTGAGAGCAACGTGCCGGATAATCGGTAAGCAATGTGCGCTTATTCGTCTCAGAATGAAACTAATCGGTACGAGCTATTTCAGACGCCCTAACATTTACTTTAACATCACATCCCCTCTCCTGGAACTTTCATCATCGCTCTTCACTACAAAGGACGAGACAAGGCAATTCTGGAAATGGATCTCAAAATTGACGATTTATTGGAGAAGGTGAGTGATCATTCAAGTCTTCTGCTTGAGTATTGATTTAGCAACGCTTCGCTGCACCAGCAAAAGGAGAACAAACACCTTCTCGATCTTGAATACGTTCAATTGAACGTACCTAAAGTCCTTAACTTGTTAAACAAAGTTTTTGCGAAACGTCGAACTTAATGCCTAAGTCTCAACAAGGCCCCGCGCTGAACGTTGAGGTGGTTCCCTTCTATTACTATTTATTCCTTCCTATCCCGGCAACCGGGTTTCTTCGTATCGTGTCCTGCTAATTCTGTTTCAATGCTCCCCCCCTTGTCCCAGCCTCGCCCCAGTGTTCTATTCATTTTTGATGTAACCTACAGCTTCGATTGACTCCCTTTCGTGTCTGTACCATCAATCACTTGTGTTTGCTTCCCGGGATGTATATAATAAGCTGTGATACCAGGATTTGGCACTGGATTGTAATTCTCAGTCATTACAATATTGACGTGGTCTGTCAGGTTGAAATCGGTCGCGAATTCTATGATGCATTTATTTTTGCGAGGTACCGGGCACACCCGAGATACCTAATCACAGGCCCCAGTTGCGATTTAATACTCACTGTTCTCGTGGTTGGGAGATCATTCTGATCCAGTAATTTTCTAAATCGATACGACACGGTCCATCCTAACCAACTAGTGCAGCCCTGGCCTCACAGACCAATACCGAGAGAGTACACTTCCCTCGTCCCTATGCATGAACCCTACGTTCAACACCCTGGCACTAAGGCCGTTCTGACAGCCCGTCATCCCGTTGGTTTTGGCTATAAGATAGTGGTCAGTTACGTGTCTCTGCCTCGGGCCAAATAACATTCGGTTTTTCATAAACTAAACTTGAGTTTTATATTGACACTGGGGTTTGAATTAAAAAATTAACACAATTGAATTGATTGACAGCCCTCCGCCAACTCCCAGAGGCGGTGGGAACCGGTTGTTGGTCGTGCCAGTGCAGCAATTAATGCCATTGAGCTTCGACATCATCGATGCTGCTGGAGTGGGCATCCAAGCCAGCAAGTATTCCCTTTGGTGTTGAATGATTCCAGCATGGCAAGTAGTTTTCACACTTGGCTGAGTAGCTGTCCCCATTTGTTCATGCGGTGCCAGCAGTGATTTCCGATCTACGCAAAACGGTCAGTGGAGCCAGACGGGATATCATTTGTTTACCAACCTGCCCTAAAGGAATTCGGTTCACTCGCCCAACTGCAACACCCATCGCGCTCGCAGAAAAACCAACCCGCATGCCATCGTCGCTGCGATTGGCACCAGTCTCATTCGTGGCGTGTTGATGGATTGCTACAACATGTCCCCCACTCCATCCTCAGTTTCCCGTGAGTCCTGCAGGATGAAGGTTTGGCGATTTCCGTACCGTGACATCGCGCAGTATCTAAAGAATAGCAATTTCTCCGACGGAAGACGCTGAATACCTAGTAAAGATCACAATGTCCGCTTCACCCAGAAGATGCTCACCATTATATATTCCAGTCTCGGGTATGAACGTCCCTCAGCACGTTAGATTGGTTCATTTCCAACTACTTCCATCGGCTCCAAGCTTTTAGTGCCGCCCATCTCCAACGTAATGGTGCCATATAATGGGATTGGACTAGACGCGTTGATATGGAGAACTGAGGGGGAGGAAATTATGGCGTACAGTGTATCTTATACGACTGGCGCCAAATATCGCTTATAGCAGTGGCCTGTGATAAAAAGGAATCAGGGAAAAAATATTGAGAGCGCGTGGTATCGGCGAAAGTGCTAATTGGGCATAAGCGTCGTCAGTCACGATGATATGAAGGTAGACATCCCTCGTATCCGTAGTCGCCCGGTAGTCGTGGATATTATGTGAACATCATGCATAGCTATATAATATGATCCAAACTCAGCCTATCAGCGCACTATGAGCACTTAGCAGCGTTATTTGGGCCCTATCTCTTGCATATCTCCACCTCCTTAGGGTCTCTTGCACGCCATACTCTAACTTGCTGTTTAGCTTGGGCACTTCCTGAACCTTGAAGTCGTACCGTTGGGCAGAGTGGCTGTAGAATATCCGCATATTAATTCTACAGTGGAGGCGGTCAAATCCCTTGGGTCCTCTGCATGCCATCCGCTGGAGATCAGTTCAATATAATTCTGGTTATCTCATCCAAAGTCGCACCGACCACTCCAGATCGGAGTTTGGGCTGATTGAATTTGTCCCTTTACTTTGCACCTGGATGAGTGCGTGTGCACATGTCTCAGGTCTTCTTCACCGTACTTCCAACAGGTTCCACAACAACTTGGCAAAGGGCGTTACTAGGCAATTCCCGGATGTACATATCTATAAACAAGGTCAAACAAACCAATAATACATTAGTGGCGTTTGGTCAAGCTTCATGCCGATCTCAATAGAAACGTCTACTACTCGCTCTCACTGCTGTCTTTCGTGCTAGCTGCGCATTTAAACCAGTTTTCTCGAAGTCTGACCCTTATGGCTGTTACGTCTGGTCAACCAAAACCCAGAATCTTGGATCGACCAAGAGAATCTCCTCTTGGCGCGGCTCATGTCATCACTCGGTCACCAGAAGAGCGTCCAGTAGCTTTCCTGGACCTGTCACAGGATGGTATCCCTGTAAGACATTAGTGGTAGCTTTGAATATTGACAATGTTGGGGCTGACTGGATCACTCACCTCGTTCATCTCAAATTAGCTTGGTCGAATAGAGATTACCCTGTTTCGTGATCAAGTTCCTTTTACCTGCGACAATTTTATGGCCTTGTGCACAGGAGAGATCATCGGGAATGGGCGCTTTCACAAAAAGAAGATGCATTACAAGGGCTCGCCTTTTCATCGCATCTTGCCGGGATTCATTTGCCAAGGTGGGGATTATATCCTCGGGAACGGCATGGGGGGTAAGCTTGTATACTTTGAAAAGTTTTTAAATGCGTACATAATGATTGTATATTCAGGTGAGTCCATCTATGGAAGGAGATTCCGGGATGAAGCGTTGGATTCCCAATTCACGAAGAGAGGACAGGTAGCGATGGCGAATAACGGCGGGAATGACAACAGTGAGCGATGATGGCCATCTTCGTACGGTCGATGCTCAGGTTTTTCAGGAGCTCAATTCTTCGTCACATTCGCCGATGCACCCAGCATCAACAGCCGTGCCGTCTTATTTGGCGAGATTAATGACACTGAGAGTATGAAAACTTGTGCGTCATTTGGCGGTTGATACGTGTTCCGTCCCCTTGACCCTTGCTCTATACACGCCAGTGAACAGGATCGAAAAGGCGAACATACAGTTAAGCAGTAAAAACTTGCCCACAAATCCCGTCATGATTTCGAATTGTGGCGTCGTAAAAAACCACCCAGGTTTCCTCATGACAAGATTCTATGAATCAGACCCACGGTCGCCTTACCATGTGGGTCATCCACCGGTTCGCATAATACCAGGTTGATACGTTCCTCTCAACGTGGTGCTGGGTAGCTTCCCCCATTCGTTTCTTGATTTCACCTTTGGGATAATCGGGTTGGTACGCGCGCCCAATATTCGGGTGGCAGGCGTGTGTGTGGTATCAAGCCAATGTAGCAATTTTCCTCGGGGGCTTCAATCCAGTGGCGACCACGATACAGTAAACGATTGAAATTAAACGCAAGTCAAAGAGAGAGCGCCGTGCCGCGAATATACAAATAATCGGATCAACGATATGCGAAGCAATAAAAAAGCATCAGTATGATCTCTCAGTGGATGTTAGCCGGTGTGGTTGTCAAGCAATGACATGAGACCAGCCCCGCTAGCGGGGATGCTATCAACGGTGCATGTCCAGGCGCTGGGCTACGTGATGTTCGTGTGAGTCCGATTTGCGAGACACTTTCGTGAGTCTGAGGCAATAATGAGTTGAAAGAATAGACGCTTATAGAACCTACGTACTCCCCAAGACCCAAATGTATTACTCCAGGGAGGCTGCGGCCTTCGGCTTCATGTCCATTTGCGAAGGCAGCGTCACCAGGAAGCAGACGAGGCGACCTCCGAGGGGTGCCGTGCAAGCAATTCGTTATTCCTCGAATGACGTTGTACTAGATAAAAGGCTCAGATGGCTTTAACTCTGAAGTGCTGCAACGGTGAACTTACTGGTCCACCTGAAGTGGAGGACCCCTTCACATCGGTAACAGTAAATTTAACTTGAGTGCCTGGATTGGAAGTTACAGTCCAGTTAAAGGCCCGCTGTTGCACCGTGTGGTGAGATCTTCACACATGGCCAAAGATCAGGGAGACATGAAGTATTAATAAAGTCCTCAAAACACACATTCTACGGCCGGTTTGGTCCGTTATGGAGACATCGAATGGCTCCACACCGAATTCCCAGTAAAGAGCGACAATCTCGCACTGCTGGAATCCTGACGCCTTGGACTCGCCGCCGGCCAAAGCAAATAGGGGTAGGAACGATAAGCCCAGCATGAAAATAGCGTTCCAAAAGCGAAACATTTGGAGACGATTGCGCAAGTGAGTGGTTCAAGTAAGGAATGGAAGGGGAAGACTGTCTCTGTTGATGCACTTCAACATTGCAACACACGGGGGAAGTATTTATGGAGGAACAACGATCGGAACACGTCGCCAAAGTGGTAAATGCGGCCCATCAAAATTCTACGGCACAAGGTTTGTAACAGAGTTGATAAATGAGACCAGGGATAGGCGATGAATATTTTGATATTGGTCCGTGTTCCAGAGCGACGGTGGCAGTGTTCGGCTCCGTATCCATCTCCTTGTAATATTGCGCTATGGAATTTCACCAACCGGAATGGTTGGGCAATGTCGAAGAGCCCCAGCAGCAACCCCCAGCGTTCCTTCGCCTCGTTGTCAAGGACTCACCAATTGTGCCCAAGGGTTCAGTGACGGTTATTGACTCATGCTCCACCGACTCCGTGTCGATTGGGAGAGACAGGCTGCGAACGGGTCCTCGGCTACGATTGAAGGAATTGGTTGTTTCCAAGCACCATGCCTCGATCTTCTGGGGCGGTGATTTCTGGGCTGTCGTTGACAACGGGTCTATGTACGGAACGTTCATCTGCCCGTCCGATAGTGGTAGTTCCAGCCGAACACTCGTCAGCGATGAGCATCGCCTTTCTGAGACAAAGAAGGCTAGCTTGCCCAGGAGAATTTCCCATCTAGACCTGCTAAGGATAGGAAACACAATTTTTGTTATCCACGCACATGAACTCCCTTCGATCCCTTGTTCTTCTTGCTCTTTGGAATCATGCCCTTCCGAACTTACGCTATGGGACAATAGCGTACCTTCCTCTGATTTTCCTAACGGACGAAACGAAATTATCTCTCCGTTACATCATTCCGCATCACAACGTAAACGATCCAAGGAGGGCCCTCAAGCCGCGTTGTCGCATCTCAAAATTGCATTGCTAGCTAAAAATTCGTATTCAAAAAATGGAAGGGAAGAGGGCTTGAAAGCGGATACAGCGCTTACGTACGCTGACCGATCCGCTCAGCGAAGGTCCTTGCACCCGGGCAGATTACCTTCGCCTCCACGACCTCCACAATCGCTTCTCCAGCCCTCTCGCAATCCCGCCTCGCAAAAGCGGCACCATTTATACGACATCCCTACATATCGTCCTCGCGCATTTCCCGGACAAGGAGACATCACCCACAGGGACAAAGACAGGGGTGAGGATGTGTCATCTTCGAAAATCAGCAACCTTCCTGGTGCATATCTCACGGCAGCGACTCCAATTTCGTTCGAGAACCCAGGGCATAGGCTTCTTCTCAAACAAGGCTGGACTCCTGGGACAGCACTGGGTTCTCAGAAGGAGGGATTCCTTCCTGGTGAGAGTGTGCATGAGGAACCACATACGTTGGTGCAACGCTTGAGGCTGGTGGAGCCACTGAAGCAGGTATACCAGTCGGGCAGATCCGGGCTTGGGTTTGGGGCCGGCAGGGAGTGATTCGGTTCACATAGGATGCGTCATTCTCCGTTGATGCTCAGGTGTTCCCTTCACATATGCAAGGGTGGCGCACCTCATGGGAGCAGCTTTTCTGCGGCAGGAGGATGGAAGACGAGACGTCACATATGCCGACCAATGATGACCAATGTCTTTCTTTTGCGGATTTCAATGTCGATACAAGTGTGCTTCGAGACGCAGGAATTAACACTAATTGTTCTATTTGTTGTCCATGCCACAGGGCCACTTTCAGTCACAAGCTTATTCTCTTGCATGGTTCTGATTGCTGACCCAGCAGTATTAGTACATAATGTAGTACTGACCACTACACGATGCGCTCTCAGTCCCAACAACGTGAACTACCCGGCGATGACGCTAGACACAAGTCAACAAGAAAGTTTCAAACTGATCGAGAGGATATATATCCCACCTGTTCCAATGCGAATTACAAAGGAAAAGGAACCTCGGGGAAATTTCGCAGGTCTTGCCTAGTCACAGTCCATCAATTGGCATCTGGCCACATCACTCGTCAACACTTCGACTTTCATTTATATGGGTAGCTTTGCCAACATGTTCCCAGATCAGGAAGGGCCAATAAAGGTGGATGGAGATCACTCGTACTGATTGAGAACTACGAGAAGGGAAATATTCCTAGCGGGCGGTTATGTCGCAACCAGCGATGAAAGATGGGGGGAGATTGGAAAATTGCATTCACATCATTGCCGCATTAGAAACTATGGAGACAGTAGAAACAACTGATAACGTCGTTAGTCACAGTGATTTCCAATATAAGGAAAACAAGTGGCGAGTCATTGAAATCCCTCAGCGGAAGAACAAACATTGGGGTTTGCAGTGCAATTTGTTGGAGTTGGCAGGACGTCGAGCGGCGGACTTGTAAGTTGGCCGAATGTATCGTATCTTGTTAGGATTGTGTCTGGCAATCCGACCTTGCGTATGTACTTGTGTGTGACCGGAGTAGCGTGGCCACGGCTCTGACGCGAACCGCCGAAGCCTCTGAATTCCGGTAAAATATATACCCTTACGACACACGTAGAAAAGAGAAAGACCGATATCCATCCATTTTATGCGGCTGAGGAGAAGTTGCGGAGAAGAGTTTTTGGTCAGCAAAGGACTGTGAAACCCAACCAGGGCGCGTGCCAGGCGTGTAATAGTGGATCCTGAGGAGTGATGGCAGTGTACATGTAATTGGCATTATGTAAGGTACTGAGTGGAGAACCTGCGTTGACCAGTTAAGGGACTACTCCTTACTGGTCAACCGCGTTATATACACGTCGTGTAACAGATCCTGACTAGGCCAAATACGAATGTGGTCTGCTCGTAAACTAGGCTGGATATCGGGCGAAATGCGAATGGACGAGATGGAAACCCATGGGACATGGGACATGAACTAGTGGTCGTAATCCTACCGTACTAGACCTGCAAACTGAGTGCAATGACCGTCAACTATGTTATCGGCTTGGCAACTAGAGTACTCCAGCCCGAGGTTCGGCAACTTTTCAGGCTCTGCTTGGAAGCGTACAAACCTTGTTTAGGTGTGACAACTAAGTCTTTTCTCATGGCGACCGGCGGTAGGTCACTTTTGGAGGCAAAATATTTCATTGGTCCGTTTTTCTTTGATTGTGGGGTGCGGCATCTGACACCCCATCATGTTACCAAGGTGTCCCTGCAGAATGGGACAAGTCCCAAGGTCGCCATATCCGGCGTCCCCGCCGGTCTTGTACACAAATAGTAATTCCGCTGTCGCAAAGGCCCGGAATAACTTTCCCCCATGTGAATACAGCAACTGCTCGAGGCTTTACGAAGATATGAGGACACGTACAAAGAAGACGCAGAAGGGCGACTCAGATGTCAGCGACCTTTTGGAAGGTTTGGGCAAGTGTGTGTGTGTGGGCACGTTACGGCCGGAAGTGAGTGAAGGACATTCCGACTGGGAGGCTCATTTTACCTTGCCATCTAGATGGGTGCAGTGGAGAACTCGGGTTTCATTCGTTTCTGCCATTACCTAACCGATCTGGCATCGCAGAAATCTATTGCGTGATCTCGATGGGTTTGGCGATGTTGAACTATTATCCTCGGCAAGATTGGAGCAGCCAGCTTCCTATATAGACCCATGGTCCCGGTTTCAAGGAAATAGCCCAGCAAGGAACAAGATTCCTAGAAAGATTCTAATTTCCACTTCAAGTAGTGATGCTATTTGGATATTCCATCTGACCCCAGATATGGATACTCTCCCATTTGCACGCGGAGGGCGTAGCAAACAACAAATTAGCATACCCCACTCACAACGAAGAGAGCATAGGTTCCAAAGAGGGTGGACTGTTGGCTAGATTGTTTGTCAGTGCTCTTAACAGTTTGATTGGAGTGTGGTGCGCTATATTGGAAGCCGTCTCTCCTATTTGATCACTTCTCGAACTAATGGCGTTCACTTGCAGTTGGCTCTGCATTTAAACATGCCAAACAAACAGCAATAGACGGAACGGCTGGGTACGAGCCTGCCAAATTAACCAGTCCCATCGACTTCCCAGTTTGTAGTGAGACCTCCAAGGTTAATACAATATAATCGTCTGCGTGATCATTCCACGTTGCACGGTTATTGGTTATGTGCAATGTATCACGGAACGCCGTACTGTCGTACGTGTCGCGTGTGGATCGTTCTTGACACCTCAAACCAGTGTTTTGGTTCTAATCCCAGTAAAATGCATATTTCCGCGAATTGGAGGAGGAACCCGAGTTTGGTTGTTTGACATTACCCATGATATGAAAATTTCGTGATGAAGATTTCGTGATGAAATCGGGCCCAAACATTGCGAAATGGAGATCAACGTTTGCGGGGAGAGATGGCCTAAAAAAAATACTCGCGACCCTTCTACCTGATGTCCCAAAGAACCCATGCGTTTATATCCCAAAAAAAAAAAACCCAATTGGAAAGGAAATGAAATGAAATGTTCGTCCTCAATCGCCTCCACATAAAACCCCTGGGGAAGCCCATCAAGCAAAAGGAGAATCTCCTATACATCCGTTTCACTTGACCCATTGAAATTCTCGATTGTCGTTTTTCGGCTCACACTGCCGGTGCGTGCCACAGTTGACCTGGGTGTCAACGGAGCATACCTGCTATCCAACCATTTCGCCAAAACGGTGCGTAATTCTTTTCTGTGCTCGGGCTTCCGCCATAAATGGTCGCCTCCCTTGACAGTATAGACCGTGAGACGCCCGCCACCGCTGCTTCTCGCGTTCCTGATGGTGCCTGACCCTGATGAGGTAATACTTTGAGCGACCGAACCGATACTGCTCGACGACGGAGTGCGAAGATGCCCTGAAGTGGTCGAGTCGATTTCTTTCGGAGAAGGTGAACACGGATCCGAGGCATCGAATTGGACGTCTTTGATGCGTTTCAGCTCCTCTACCCAGGCCTCGTATTTGGAGTATTTCGTAAATTGATCGGCATCCCCGTGTATCACGAGCACGTCAGAGCCTGGATCTCCCAGAAGCTGTTTCAGAGCATTTGCATATGTCCCAGAATGGAAGAATGTGAGGAACCAGAGCACAGAGAGCGGGTATGATAACAGGACATGGCGAATGGTGAGATCGGGCGAGATGTGTGGAGAAAATGGTAATCGGAGGGGATGCATTGTTACCGGTAATGTCCCAAATGAATAACCCTATACGTGTTGAAAAAATAAAGATAAAGGTACGCATAGGCGAACGCGTGAGTAAGCAATGGTTCGCATCATTCGGGTAGGACGCCCGGCAACTTGCATTGCACGGAGAAGGACACGTACAAGGAGGAGAATTTCAGTTACTTGTTCTATCTCCTTCAGAGCATACTGAACGACATCCCGTAAATCTTGCGATTCGGCTATGGCTGTGAAGGATACACTCCCGCCCGAATGGCCAACACCCCTTGAGTTATACAAGATGATGTGCCAATCACGCTCTATGAATGTCGTTACGAGCGAGAGAAGCACCCTGAAATAGTGGCCGGTACATCAAGACAGTAGAGAGATCGATTCAGGAACAGAGTCAGCGGCGGACATTAACGTTTGAGCGCTTACGGATCGGAGGAATTACCCCCTGCACGACCCCATGGGTGGAGGAATACCGCCAATCGATTGGAGCTGCGAGCGAGTGGATTGCTAGGCTCATGGAATGTCATGGGCGAGACAATGGTTGTCTCAACAAATGCCGAGCCGTCCTCTATCGGAAACTCGACCAGCGTTTCGCGGAAAGGTGGACCTTGCTGTCTACGGTTGGCACGAGCCACCTGAGTCCCATTTCGAGTCGTGGAGTGAGGGAGTTGGGAGGAATACGGGAATTGGCAAACGGCATGCCACGAGAAATGTTAAAATCCAGTGTCAGAGACGAAAGGAGGTGGAGAGAGGTGTGCGTACAGGCGTGTGTGGGGATAATTGTTCATCGTCTGGGACACCAAAAAGATCATTACATTTGAGAGCATTGAGCGGCTCGGCTGAGGCGCTCTCTGTCGATGCACTCGTTCTGTGCCGTACTGAGGATGTTTCTGGGCGTGAAGTCATAGGAGGACAATCAGAGCGTCGTTTAACGCTGGATAGGAAGAGGTTGGTAGCAGCGAAAGAGTCGGTACCTTTCGGGCTGGAGATGCGCAAATTCAGTCGTTATTGGTTTTCGAAAACGGAAATTGCCTTGAATGGTAAATGGACACCTTCCAGATTTTTTTTGCAGGACATGGACGCAAATGACCAAATGTCGCAATGGATGGCATTGCAAGACAAAGTATTATATGTTACATAGCCCAGTCGAGACTAAACCCCCTCACCAGGAAAATCCTAAAAGAAGGCGGGTTCGCGCCAAGCTTAAACAGCTGTCTCCGGATGAAGAGTATACGCGGTGAATGAAAGGGGTCCAAGATATCGTTATACAATGAAGAGAGGATTGCATGTGAGAGATGGGATTGGGAAGGGAAAGGGAGAACAATGAACTATGGAGTAGGGTGAGGAATATTACTGTTGGTAAGAATGCAGTTGCTACAGGCAGACACATGCAGGGCGTCCTGTTCAAGGGTTTTGGAATCATACGCCCATGCGATTGAATGAGAGATTATAAAATGAGGAGAACAGCTAGGGTGATACGAATTGTACAGGGGTAAATTGGAAAGCCGGCTGCTTGCTGGATGTGCACAAAATGGGCAGTAGCAGTGACGACTACCCGTCTATTGAAGATAGCGTTCGTTAAGCCGGTGAACTTCACGTGCTAGATATGGCCAGCTTAAGCGTGCCCCGATGTACGTTTCCGGGGGAACCCCCTGGTAGGCCGCTTTCTCCTTCGCGCATTCGATTTCCCATCCAACGAGATTATAGAGAAGACGCATATTAGGTTCTGGATGGAAAAACATCAGGCTCATGCTTTTTGGTCATCAAGGACGGCCTTTCAGCACGCACGAATCAAGATGCTCAGACGACGCGAACGAACAAGGAGGTACGCATCTACGAGGCTGTACCTGTGGTACTTCATCACGTACGCAATCTGCCAGACCTCTGTCAGTTCGCTACTTTATTCCGTCGGGATGTGCTTACGGTGACGGTCGCGCTTCTACTGACACCAACTCGGCAGTGGACAAGACTAAAGAATGTCAAGGTCAGCTGAGCGGAACAGAGAAATGGGGAGAAGTACAACGCACACTTTACCACCACCAAGTCGAGCCTTCTCAATCCAATCGGAAATAGGCGCGAATTGGGGCCTGAGACTATCGATACCATCGTCCGATACTCCCTGTTGAAGTGAAAGCGGATAAGTAATGAGTATCACACGATCCGAATAGAAGTTTCGTTACCTTGATGTCCAAGACTTTAATTCTACCTTCCCTTTCTTCGATCCACAGGCTTCCTTGCCCATTTGGGCCGGTCCCTACAACGAATTGCGAGTCGACATTGCTCCTTTCAACGGTCCCCAAATTTACGTGAGTACCGGGCTCCATGAGAGCAGGAACAGGGCACACTGGTGGAACGAGTGCACATTCCCCAACGGAGACAACGTGAGTGATACCAAGTGCGTGAAGCATGTACGCGTTGCTCGCGTGATTCCTATTGTGGTCAAAGTTGATCAGGCACAAATAGAAGAAAATGCCATGCGGCAGTCACTCCCCATGAGAGAAGATGCGTTCATTGCCACCCCGCGATTGGCCGTGAGGCAATAAAAGTGAAGAAGGAAATGAAATTTGTCACTTACAAGTTCCCAAGATACAGGTGTGGCAAGACACGGCTAGGGAAAGATCCGTCGAACCTCGGATCTGTAAACCACGCATTGTGATCGATCCGCGAAGGCATCGAAATCGGAGTCGTGAGGGCCCTTGCCCGGCCTTGAAGAGGAAGAGGCTTCGAGTCGCTACTTGCGGGAGGCGTGCCTGGAACGCCGCTAACCGGTGCAATGCTCGGACCGAACTGCGATATAGGATCGGTCAATGCACCTGCAGCAACTGAGGCCATCGATGAGAGACCAACTCCAAAGACGGGTGTAACAAGACTAAGACTCCCACTTTTCCAGCTGCTTGGACCCCATTTACCCCATCTATTGCTCGCTCCGCTGCTGCTCGCTCCGTTGGAATCCGTCGGGACATGCCCGCTGGTAACCGCGCCACCGTCGCCATTCGAAGGTTCGGCTGTATCACCCCCTATCGTACCATTCAAATTCCGAGTAGTGCCCGTGACCCTGGGATTCCGGGCAGTTACGACATGCCCTTCGGCCTGAGCGTTTCTCACCTCTGCAGCGGCAGCAGCAGCTCTCTCTTTCTCCCTTCGAGCAAGCTTTTCCTCTCGGCGCCGCTCGGTATCGGCAGAACTAAGGGCGCTCTCCACCCGTCTCAACACACCTAAATCACCAGGGCAGACGAAAAAGCTTCGTCCACGCTCGATTTGTAATTCGAGGTATGCCTCCGGAAGCGAATATTGTTTGATACGCATAAGGTAGGAAAGGCCCAGCACAGAAGTTTCCGTGTACCCATCAATAGAATGAAGGAGGATTTTTAGTGGGCGGCTGTGGGACATTGGGGGTAGCGGCTGGTAGTAATATGAGGAAGTGAGGGATGAAGATGATAAAGTCGCAGATAGCGACCCTCGTCTTTTAGTAGCGGATAGATTACCGTTCTGTGGAAAGTGCATGTAGTTTTTGGGGTCGGCATAGCGCGACAGGAAAGCGAGCATGTTGAGAATTTGGGTAGTAGTATGTGGGTTTGACGAGGGAGAGGAAGGAAATGCGAGATGAATTATGGAGCTCGGATTTGGTGGGGGACGCGGTTGAATCGACGGCGTTGAGGGACGTCTCGGAGTAGTAATCTGAGAAGATGACCTCCTCTCCCCGTAAACCGGCGGAGAAGCCGAACGAGATCGCACAATCGTATCACGAGATGAGGAACGAAGAGGAGAACCAGTATGGACATGAAGGTTACTCAGACTTAACAGTGTGGGACTGGATGGAGAAGCGCTACGGTTTGACGGAGACAATGGTTGAGGTGAAGAAACTCTGGGGGGAGGCGAAGCCACCCTGCCTGGAGAAGTTCGGTTCACCCAAGCCACGTCCAGTCTCGCAATATGTTCTTCGGCATGTCGGAGGTGAGCAGGTGTTGGGAAATATGCATCATCACGGCATTCAATGCAAATGTCCCATCCTTGCGGATTTTGGGACGAATCAAAAGGATCGATCTCCGCCAAAGAGTTAACGTCCGCCAACGGAACATCCGCAGTATTACCTAGCTGATTGATTGGGTCAATTCAGCTTCATCTATGCGTATCGAAATGGAGAGAACGCACCCAGAGATTATCACAGATCTGGGTTGCTTGAGTCAATTGCCTCATTTCCTCCTTTTCGCGTGCCATAAAATCTATGTGATGAACTGGGTTACCATTGGTGTCCAGGGCGACAAGATCAGGATAGTCGCGCTCAAAGACTTCGAAAGGATCTACACGGCGGTGAATCGGCGGTCATTGATGGTGACGCTTAATGATAACAGACGCACCAGTGATGACAAATACGTTGTAAGCGAGAGTGCCGTTCAAGAATCCCCCAGAAGTCCTTCCGGCTTCCAGAGGCATGCCCTGATTGCGCTCAATAGCTTTGGTTTCAATAGCCTGCTTGATTCGCTCAGCATAATCGCACACCGCACGTGTCGCGCCATTAGGGGAGTACAGTACTACAACGGAAACTCGGTAAGATACTATTTATGGTGAACCTGCGATGAGGAAGGAATCGACCTATGTCTGACAGAGTAGCGTATATGGGCTAGGTCGAAGAAAAGGAGATGTGAGATATAAAATGCATTGTGCCATGATGCTACGTACCACTTGTGTGCCGAAGTTACGACTAGTGGCCGGTACATGAGAATCAACAAGCAGCAAGCACGATTTGGCGGATGTGACGCTCACAGAGATATGCCATCAGGAATATGAGGCTTGACGAAAACAGATTCAGTGAGCAATAATATCTCAGGCAGTGTTATACTCGAAACGAGGCGGTGTGACGAAGACCGCGGTCGGCATGGTGGTGGCGGAGTGTTATTGGTCTCAGAGGGTGGACAGGATCGACTTTCGGGATTCGGCGCATCGGACCAAAGGGAAGTAGCTGTGGTAGAAGCAGAAAGAGGAGATGTCGAACTTGCTGTAGAAGATATGGAGGATGCGTGCTGGCGTCCATGGCTCCAGTTATTTTCGGTAAAATCCTTGTACACGGGTGCAGGACCGTCATCTTCGTACATGAGCTGGTCAAGCTCAGAGTCGGATGAACTGGAAGAGTCAACTTCAAAATTACCTACGCCCTCATCATCCTCCGCGGGGCACGCGACCGAAACGAGGCCACGATAACGTGGAACGCTAACCTGCGGAGGCAGGCCCTCCCGAGCACGAGCATGGGAGAAGAAGAGATTTTGGGCAGGATTGTCGCCTTCCAAACCATGGAGGAATGGGAAAAGGACAGAATCGTCAACGTCTTCAAGATTGTAGGCATGCTGGATTTTGACGAACTGTGCCGCCGTCAATGTATAAATGGGAGAATGCGGGGAGGACGGTTGTGTAGGACGGGAAGGGAATCGAGGAAACCTTCGGGGTAATGCAAGCCATGGAGCCGCGAGTCCGAGTCCATCGTGGTGGAGGACATCGAGGAGAGAGTTGCTGCCAGAAATCTCACAGCGCCAGGGTCATGGGCGTAAGTGTTGATTGGGTTCATTGAATGGCGGAAGCAAATGGGCATTCAGCCATTCATTAAGTCTTGGATTCCTTCAAACCGCTCCTGAAGAGGGCTTCTCTTGAAAAATGACCTCTACCACATAATCGCGCGAACTTAATGAACGATAGGCAGGCATGGCAGCTGGCCATCAGCGAGACTAACGATCACTTCTTCCTGCACGACAGCCACCGACGCACAACTTTTCATCCATCCTAATTCGCCTCTGGGATCATTATGATGACCCTTCCCACTGCATTCATTGATACCATTTCCCAGGTCATTTGTACAACCAGGACTCAAGGCAGACGATTCTCAGCCGCATCCTGTTCACACCGACATATATCAGGAGATTCTTGCCGAATCAAGCTGACTCAGGCCGTGTGCCCTCCATCGAAACAGTGCCAACGGACCCGTCTCTCACAAATAGCATAGGTCCGACTTTCAATTCAATTCCATTAGTATACAGCACGCATATTGCCAGCACAAGACACCAGGGCACTTGATGAGAAGTATCCTAGAAAATATGGATGAACGTTGGGACTAGACTCTCGGGCATGCAACCACACTGCATCGGAACCACTTACCAGATTACCTCCTGTGGCTTCTTTACGCTGCTCCACGCGTCTCTCTCGTAAGACTGAGCAATAACGCCTCAATCCGAGTTTGTCGCTCCCCGAGCTCCTTTATCTGATCATGGACAATGATAGGGTTCCTCTCCGCAACGAGGTTCTCGATCCGCCTGAGAGTGGCACCAAGATCGCCACCACCAGGAGCAGCAGAACCAGGTACATTGTAGAACGCATCATCCAAGGGTCTTCGCCTCTGCGAAAATGATCTCGCGAGGGGGCTTTCTGGAGCACTGAGGAGGCCCGCATTGTTCATGTCCCGTCGCCTGCTTCGAGACCGGCGTCCAGTGGGTGTATGGAGCGGTCCTCCTACGCTGGAAGTGGACGGAGGGTATTGTCCACGTGGAAGGTCCTCGTCTAACCCATCAAATTCGATAATGGTCTGTGCCTCATTCGGAATACCATCCCCTTCGTCATCCTCTTCGTACTCAGCTTTGAGAACGGCATCCAAAAGATTATTTGATCCAGATCCTGTCAATGCGCTGAGTAGGATTTGCAGGTTATCCGAAGCCAAGCAAGGACGGCACAAGGTCTTTCACTTACTCAAATAGCGCCACGCTCTTTACCCCTTTCTGGATGCTGTTGTACACTGCCGAGGCAGCACCCTTGCCTGAACGTATGAGGCCGCGTTCAGGTACTACGTATCGCTCATAACATGCGATCGCCAACAAGATAGGGAATGACTAGCAGCGTGTTACTCAATGCTTATTACCGCACCCACGTCACTGGGTAGGTCAGGAATCTTTCTCACCGTAACACGAATCATGAAAACATTCGCTGTATGTAAAGTCCGCGGCGAAACCCACCAGCCCAGAATGTTCAATATGACATAAGCTGATAGAAGAATAAATGTGCCACGCCCGCCAAACAACCCCACATGAGTAAGTCCTGACGCGCCGCCGTGGCAAAGCAAAAGTACGAACCTGCAAGATTGAATGGAGGCAGATACGAAAAGACAGCATCTGCTTTGACGCTAATAAGATTGCAGTGATACCATCAGAGTTCTTAACACTGGTAACCACGCTCATCGCTCACCCCTCAAGTGTTGCAATAGAGTACTGGAATAGGAACTGATAGGAGACAAGAATCAGCTGAAAAGCAACAAACCCGAGATCTTCTTTTGATCATGGTGCTTACTTCCTCTGACGCGTGCTGAAACACCGATCAACAATTGAAATGCTGGATCATTCCAAGAATGCCCGCACTTGCGCTCACCTCGTTAATCCTGGCAAATGTGTTCGAGAGGATCGAGATGAGGACTTCGAAAATATGCCACGTTAAGGGTCACGCCCGAATATCCAAAGATGAACCCACTCGTAATGAGTAACGTGTTGGAAAGCGCTGCGAAGATTACCTTGTAACACGGGGAATGTGCGCTATGAGTCTTCTAAACTGGTGGTGTCAATTGAACAGGAAGCCTTTACCATAAGAATTGGGCCCTGGGAAGGAAGGAGCAGTTCATAAATTGGGGTCTGCGGCATGGGACAGCAGGATCACATACGAAGATAGGATGGAAGCTCTCGGCTTGAGTGAAGCTCAAGTAAGTGTTCCCTGCCATGTTTGGCCTATCAATAGGTGCACGAGGCATCATTATTGCAAACGTCACGGACCAAACCATATTTGAACCATCTAACACGTATTCGTGGTCCACGCCCGTCAACCACTGCGACCTCGATTAATAAAACAAACTCACCAGCCACGCAATACTCTTCACAGGCCAGCGATCACCAGCTACACAGAACATCGTAGAAATCAGAGCAGAAACATCTGGGGATCGGTTGTTGAAGATCTAGATGCTTCGCTTACCCAAATTGTGCAGAGTATACAGTAAACCCGAGAAACTTATTGCCGCAATTCCAATAAAATAGATGAAGTCAGCCACCATACCCTTCAATGCGCTAGGCATAGGTCGGAACATAGAAAGAAGTTTAGTACGGATAATCATTAAGGAGGATCGACGAGGAAAGTTCCACCGACAGGACAACAACATTATTGGAGACTGCAAAGAAGGCTAGCCTGAATGCGATTGGATGACTTGCTTAGTCTAGAGACCTCATAAATTGGCTATTCATCTACCTTGGGAACAAGAGGCATGCGCCACACGACAAGACATCAAAAGCCAGATCAGAGTACCACCCCTAAAGTGGAGCGATGGAGTTTAACAGGGCTTCTAGACGATCACATGTCGTGACTGCTCACATCGTGATGAGTTATGCCCTGGACTCGAAGGCCAAGGTATGTGAGGAACAAGGCGACTTTCGGGCAGTTGAATAACTTAACGAGAGGTGCTGAGACGGGCGACGTACTGAATACCCTGTGTAACAATGTGCATTTAATGCATAGGCAAAGCAGCCAAGGTAGGGCAGCTTACAGGTCGAACCCATTCCAAACCTGTTGATTCACCCGAGGAGAATTACTAATTGCATCTGACAGAGACAAAGGACGGATCTCACACTAGCGATATATACTGTGTAACGATGATTTCATTGCGCTTATGATCATGGCAGAGGCCGATAAGCCAAATCACATACCGGTCCATCCGTATTCCTTGAAATGACCGTAAGTAATTTTCAGGTTCAATCCAATACCACCCCTACCTGCGAAGCGGCGAATTCATCCAAAATGAATCCAAAAACAAACACTAATAATGTAGTAATTGAGCTGGATAGTCGTTACTCATCCATGCAACATACCAATAAAGATGATTTCCATGGTCGTAAATTTAGTCAAATCCTTGTCTTCCATGAACCATTTGACCCAAGTCAGTCAGGAGCGAGCGGAGGGGGGAACCAGGACGAACTCGATAAACACAACACGAACAAAGTAAAAAGAGCCGCAAAGTTTATGAACTCCAAAATGGAACGATACCGCGGTACTCGCAATCGATAATGGTCGAGTAAGGGTGCATCCCCAGGGTCATAAAGTGTGATCTCCCGCGATTTCCAGTTATCCTTGACGAGGGCATGAGTGCTAGGGAAAGAAAAAATGATACGACCCATCCAGATATCGTTCACGACATTCTGCACAAGTGGCGAAGCACAAAAGCTTTTGGACGAAGTTGAAATGGCAGCCTGTTTTTCATGAGCACCGGCCGCACCGACAAATTACCATGCCAAGTGACACACCTCAAGAGCACTGCTCGGATCATCTAGATCATCCTCGTCACCTCCCATCTCGCTTTTGACCTGTTCATAAATGACGTTCGGAGCACCTCGCAACGGGTTCCAAGCATGTGTCAACACAGCAGCCAGCTCAATCTGATTCCTTGTAAAGCGACGCAACAGCTTTATCGCAAGCAGTTCGCATAGTAAAGCACGGGTTTGGATGATGCCAGCAAAGGCGATATTATTCTCCGCTTCGGAGAGAAAATGCGAGCGTGCAGCTAGAGAAGCATAAACTGGCATTCCCCACAAAAATGTCGAACGAGAGAATTATTGAGCGAACGCAATTTCTCGAAATTGGTCACCGACGCGTACCAACGGCGGGGTTGTGCAACTTTGCATACTTGACAACCAACGGACGAACCGTCGTGAAGTTGACTTCAAGAGCATTCTACATGCCATTCATCTCATTTTTATTTCTTTCGGCGCGTGGCGCCATGCATACGAGGCCTTACCAGTTGACTATTCCGCAATATGGCACATTTAGGCAAACCAGAGGCGAAGGAGATACTCTCGACCTACCCCCATGTAAGACTTGTATCTTGTCATAACCATAGCATTCATTAACAGGCCAACTGGTACGCAGAACCGGATCAAACTCACCGATGCTGTTCTCAACGTCTTTTCTCAAACTATGGATTAAAGGATATACGGAATATTTGCTGAGCGCCTCAGAAGTAAAGTGATGCACGCTAGGAATCCCCTCCAGATCACCTCCAGCCATGAGATTCTGCATTAGTTACTGCCACTGAAGTTCGTTGTGGGGAATTGTATTTCAGCAACTTGCTAACACGTGTTTCATCATCGTCATATGGGGCATTATGTAATGGATTTTATGTGATGTATCCCGAAGTGGAATTGCCTGTGCGAACTCAAGGTAGATTCGGCCAATTACCCCGCATTGTTTTCATAGCTGAGATAGTCCGCCATGATTACTTTTGGTGAATAACCAAAATTAGTCTGGTAATCGACCATTTACCATCGCTTTGATGGTTTTTTGGAGCATAGTATTTTTCCAAATCGAAATTATAAGTCAAAAAAACCAATTGTTCATGGGTACTTGACTGCTTCCACCAGAGCAGCTCGTGTGGGCGCATGAGACCATCGTATTTCCACTTCCTTCATCATGAACCGAGTTCCAAGATGTGCCCCACCGGCATGCCACTGGGACGGAGTCGAAGCGCGAGGCGCTTAAGTGTTGAGTGGCGTATGTCTCAATCTCAATCCCTTGAGAACCATTTACATAAAGGTAGTAGGCTAGTATTGCATGTAATCTGCCTGTTGTGTGCCTGTTGTGTGCCGTCTTCTGTCGCGGTCGAAACCGGTCACATAAACTCCGGACGTTGCCGACTATAACTTCCTTCAGCTGATCATGCATGTCCAATTGACATCGGACCCACATAACGCGTGCAGCTACATCTCGTTTCCTTGGTGCTCTGTTTTCTGCACCTTGGTCCACACTTCACTACTTGCTATTTCCAATCCAGCTTTGGCATCACGAAAACACGATCCTGTGAGATCGGTTTATTCCAATAGAGGCTGGTAGCCTGCCTATGAGATCAATCTTAGCGATCCAATATACATTCCACTCTTTTGTCATAGCCATATCCACTTCCACACTCTGGTCCCATTCTCGTTGAATGCGTGCTCTGATGCACCATTGCTGTCACTCTATTGGCACTCCTTGTGTATCCCTTACGCATGAACGTGTTTTCGGCGCGTTTTAACGCACCTCCGTCCATTAATGTGCAGGAAACAGCCTACTTTGTCCAGGAAACTATTATGTCTCTTACTTGCTTCCTAGCTAAACACTGAGCCTCTAGACCCACGGACGTGGAAAATACCATCACCCTGTCCTTAGGAACCAAGCCTCTACGATTTATCCAACCGGAAAGTACGCATACTGTCCCCCCTTTCCACTTCGCTGGCTTTCTATTTCAGGAAGAAACAGACAGCCCTGAAGCGACCAGAATTCGAAGTGATGGGATTGGCACCATCCAGGCCACGAAATCATCGACGCCAGCTATCTCTGCAGCACCCACATGCGTCATTCCCCCTTATAGTACCAATATGCCCGTCTGCCCTCCGATTTCTCGATTCTCAGCCTCGTGCTGCGAACGAGTGCTCATATATGAGCTTCCCGACCAACTGTCAGTCTGATAAGGGGTTTGCTTGGTATATTCAACTTGTTCACGATATTGCTTTGTGTTCAGCATGTCTGTCATCATGTCAATTCTTTTTAGAATTTCCCCTGCCACACTCTAGCCATCGTGTCGCCTCAGCCTGGCCGAACTGTTCACTCATCAGTTTCTTGTTTGGTTTGCCATTGCCTTGCCAATTCCGTCTATACCAAACATCTAAGAGTGGCCAGAGCTTGAGATTGGCCACCTCTGCCGTTCAAAGATGGGCTTTTGCGGCCATCTCCATGACAGCCCTTCAGTGCTATGCAAGAGAGCCCAAACCCAACCTGTCAATGGCCCTGGCGCACCCCCCCACCCGTCCGTTGCATGACTGCCATGAGAGTCCAAACCCACCCACTGCTTACTTTCACTGCTTCCCATCACGTCGTTGGGATCCGAATCACTTTTCATTGCCGCTCAGTCCCCATCCATCTCCCGCTCATTACTCAATTCCCATGTGTCCCTGGCTTGCCGTTCAAGTCAAGGTCATTTCAATCATTTTCTCAATCATAATCCCTCCAATTTCGCATAATACTGACCACTAGAAGCGGCGTCATTTTCACTATATTATCGTAAAAATTGTCGTAAATAACTTTTTGTCAATCAAAAACATCGTAAATAACCAAATGCACCATGGTAAATTGACCGTTATACGATCGTTATCGTGGTCAAAAATGATGAAAATATAAGTCATTTTAATCGTAGTAAAAATGAGAGCATTTCTACCATCTTTTAAGTGCCTTTTCACGCAACTCCAATGCCCACTGTGGATGTGGGCCAGAGGTAGATGGCTCTGGCGGCGCGCAGATCAGGGGAGTTCGGGAGGACTCACGACTGAATATAAATTGTGGTGAGCCAGAGAATGGCATGCCTCTTAAGTTTATAGAGCAGCGCAAAGTAGCGATCACGCAGCTGTCGATCCGCACGGTGGCGAGTCATCCTTGGCCTCGGGGGTTCTTGTGGGGATCAAATACAACAAGGAAAACGGCAGTAGCGTTGACGCCATCACGAATGTCGTCAGGGGAGGGGCGACAAAGAAGTTGAAACTATCCCCAAAACAACAGTCCAAAAGTTTTAATAGCGGCCCTCCACGGTGGCACGTCGGGCACGGGAGCATTCAAAGATGACGCGTAGGTCATCAGGCCAACCGTTAGTTGCATGGACCGACAGCAGGGGAACGCACAAAGGGACGGATTGCAGTGGTGCTCACATGTGCCATTTCGCCTGGGCGTACCCAGCGCTAGTGTCTTCGCACATACCAGCAACTGTCCTCAAGCCGTGCTTGATGCTCCCAGTACTTGTTCCTTTTGATTTTTTACCCCCTAAATCACCGTAACGAACTGCACATTTATTCTGGCACGCAGGAAAGGGGTAGTAGTACGGCTTGCAGAAGACAAGGTGCACACGGTCCACGCTCCGAAACCAAGGCGGCAGTTTCTCCAGAACCAACCACCGCAAAAAAACAGGGGAAGAGTGGTACGAGAGTGCATCTGGTGTCAGGGTAGTATCGGCCTAACATCTGAGCTACACGAGATCTCTAGACGCTCGACTGCCACGGGATATCCACTTGGACCGACGAGAAAAGAGAAAGAAATGATTGACGAATGGCAGAATCAGCTAGCCTGGCTATTCTGGGTGACATTGGTAATAAATCCTCGAACCCTAAGTACGCGTGCTGGGATCGGATGAAGAGGTGCGGGAACGTCTGATGAGGCCTAGTTGGGTTAAGCCCGATAAGAACGTGCGAGCTGTTGATACGTAGGGATGCGAGGCGAAGCGAAGGGGTCCTTCCGAAAGATCTAGTATAGAATCCCAGCGCAGTAGCCGCGCAGACGGAAGGCCGATAGAAGCCCTCCAAATCATCATTGCCGCGAAGAAATGGGCTTCGCAGCAATATTAATGCACCAGACACAGCAATAGCCCAGGAAGCTCACCTAAGGGATTATTTCTCATGGGATCAAAATTGCAGCACCGCCGACAAAAGAATTATGTCCCACACTTGACTGTGGGGGAGTGTTCCAATAAGATTAATATCAATATTGTTGTCGGTTGTGGTGTTGCTGTGCCATGTTGAACCAAAGAAAAGTGTTGTTGGGCAAGAATATACGTATCGCTTGCTTGAGTCGAACATTACATAATGCGCACACGTTCAAGGGTAGACTTTGGCTGTGAATCAGGGCGTACGTAGGCAATATATGGCATGCGCGCTTTCTTACGATAGAGCCGAGGTGTTGCTTGCACAGCGGAACTTAGCTTATGGCGTAAGTTTTGCAGAAGCATGCGGGAATATCCGTCCCTCAAACCGATGAAACTGTCCAACAGCATGAGGACCGGGGCCGGCAGCGATAGCTTACCAATGGCAAATTCGAGTTGATACTCAGCTCCTTTCTAGCCAGACACTGTCATGCACTATACTGCAAGTCAACATGCAGGTGATACCAAAGATCGTCATGGGTCGCTATCGCTTGTGAAAACCTTGCTTCGGGGAGGCAGCCCGCGAAAAAGGCTCGTATGCCACTCCAAATTTACCCACAGAAAGGAAGTACGCCGTAAGGGTTTAAAAAAAACTCGTAGTCGGAGCCAAATTCGCTACGAGTATAGTACAAGAACCCAGCCGTGGAAGCAAAGCATGGCTTCGACATGCATGCAACCCTAAAATGCATGAAGATCATGGGAAAATACCTGTTACACGACGCGCGGCTTTTTCTTGGGCAACGGGATGCAGCTAGTCGGTTCCACCGCCTGCCGTACTGACGCAACATACTCCCCCCGTATGCTAACAACCACTGGCCAAAAGGTAAAACGCGAATCAAACGTAACAGCCGCATCCACGTCCACCATCGCCATGGCCCAAGGCACTTATCCAGCCCAGCAGAGCGCGAAATAATTTCCAGAGTAGAAGCACTCATGGAAGAAACGATGAAAGTATGACCCAAGCCACGACGCGTTTCACGGTGAGTACTCTCGATCGAGACTTTACGCGTTTCGCTGCCCCCCGATATACATGTTTCACCCCAACTGAAGTTCGTTATTTTGTTCTGTCAGTCCGACGCGTGAGGAGGACGCGCTGACAATTGCACGCACCCTCGACCCTGTTCCAGATCTCCTCGTTGTTGAGCTTGCCTCTCTCATGCATGACCTTTTAGACAAGAAATATGTTCATGCGGACATTGCTGCAGACCCGTACGCCTTTTCTAAAACCGTCCTTTCACCCATTGGTGGAGTCTACGCCGAGATCGACCTGATTAGAGACGGGCGAGCCCTCACGATATCAAAGATCATCGACAGCGTCTCATGGACGACGGAAAAGAGACTCAGGGCGGATAGTAAATGGGGAGAATGGCACGACTCGTGCCTCGAGTTGCATTGTGTCCAGGACGCTGATCGGCTAGATGCCATTGGTGCATTCGGTGAGTTTCGTTCGATGGCCCGCTGCGAAACCTTATCTAGTCCCTCATGCCATTCTCAAAGGCATCATGCGCTGCGCAGCCTTCAGCTCAGTGATGAACCGACCACTCTTTGTCCCTCCCGAAGATGAATCCGATCGCGAAGCTGAATCTGCAATCGCCCACTTCCACGACAAACTGCTACAAATCAAAGATCGCCTGAAGACAGAGGCTGGTAAGAGGATGGGCGAGGAGCGCCACGACTTCGTAAGTAAAGCTACACTGCTTTTCTGGGATATCGTATTAAATGGTTGACCAGATGCTAGACTTCCTAAATGCTGTAGACAAAGAGTACTATGCACCAGTCACTTAACTTCTTGTTAATTGGATCAGACTTGAATTACTCAGAGATAACAATAATCAATGCAATAGAGTATACAGAAAGGTGTCAATCAAGACCAGTGAGATCAACGCCAAAGTACATATGCTTGAGAGAATGGTGAGCGGGACAGGCATGACGGCCACGAGCAGTTTGCTGCGTACCTTTTGAAGCATCATAACCTTAATGACCCATGCCTCGAGGTGAAATATTTTCTTGCTGCCAATCCGCATGCGTACCTCCTAGAGAGCGAATGGATCGAAGTCTATGGCAAAAATCAAGGTATCACTCACATAAAAAGCAGCCCAGTGCATGATGTCCGCCTTCAGACTGTCATCAACCATTTCGACCACTCGGTCTGCCACAGTCTACGAAACCTCTCAATTTACACTCCACAACATGTGAATCGAGTTTTACCTTGAGAACCAAGGTTGGAGGAATGCAATGCGAAAGCAGTTCATATAGTTTCCCCCGCACTGCCATGACCTGCTCTGGGGTTTGCTGCTTCACGATCATTTCGGCGACCTTTATACAATATGCCTCCCAGTCTGGCTTAGCGATCGCGATGTTGGACGTCAAGCCTGTTCTGTCAGCAATAAAAATGAACCACCAATCGCATGTTTTCCTGAGGAACGGAACGTACGACTGCATTTTGAGCGCTTCCAGAACGAGCAGTGCTTTGCGCATATTCCCCGCCGCATCGTTGATGATTGCCGAGCAAGCTTCGTCCGGCAGAGCGAACCCTTCTTTTTTCGCCACAAACTCCAGCACAGCAGTCATCTTAGCGCCAGGTGACACGGTCAACGACCCCTGGAACGCGAGGATAAATGAAAATGCGAACCTCTTCATCATTCGGCGCCGCAACCCGCACGAGCAGACACCGACTCTTAATAGGGGCGATCAATTTTGAAACACTATTGGCACAAAGAATGATCCTCATATTGGACATATACTTTTCCATTGTTCGTCTGAGCGCAGCTTGCGCATCGCGGGACAGGGAGTCAGCCTCGTTGATCACAACAACTTTGAGACAGAAATATGAGGTATGATTCGGAGACAATAAACGAATGAACGGCGCACCCTTAAAGCGCTTCTTTGCATTAAAATCAACTTGCTGTGTCTGAGCTATTTCCTTCAGAATATCCTGTATGACGACACGATCGTATATCCCGACATCACTGGAACGCAAAAAAATTGGGTATTCACTCACCACCTAGAGACACGATGTTCTCTCACCTTGGTGTAATCTCAACATGGCAGTTACTCTGCACGACGTTCAGATCTAGCTTCCTCTTCGAAGGTGTCTCAAACACCCTTTGGTCGATTTTAAGCTAACAATTTTTTCAGTACGAATATTAGCAATCCCTCGCAAATGAGTTTTCTTCGCTTCCAGACACGCACCCTCGTCACCGATGGGCCGAAAAGTTCTCGTAGAGTACATGCAATACGCGTTTTCTTCCCTGCTCCGGAAGGTCCATAGAAAAGAAGATGAGGAAATTCACCCGTCGCCGCCTATTTTACGCGTCCGGATCGCGTCAGCATCTTTGCGCCCCTCAACGGAAAGGAAAAGGCGCTAACTAGCGAAGCGAGCCGCGAGGAGAGCTCCTTATGATATGTAAGTGTGTCTAACGTTTGCGGACGATGCTAGGGAGAGCGAGATAAAGGGAAACTGAGGCGTAGAGAACAGACACGCAATGTGCGCTGACCTTGTCAACCCAGAGCGACATGATGATCGTATTGGTGCTTGTTTACAAGCTGCTCGGATCGGAGCCAACCTTATCTCGCCTACTGTGTAATTTTAGACTTTCAACCGGTGCCTGCTCTTCAGTGGGCCTGGGTTTCTCCAGGGGAGGCCTATGCATTATTCGCACGAATTTAAACAGTGCAGTGCATGTAATATAAGCCGATAGATTGAGACGTACTTAACTAATTTTCTAAGAATATGTCGCATAGTGCTCGAACTCATGCGCGGTGCTATTAATACGCAGTGCACAACTGCCTTGCCGTCATCTTCCTTGCATAGCCGAGCGCTTGTAGTGTATAATCTAACAGTTTTCTCGCATAATAATTATCAGCCCTTTCCCACCTCTACATCTACTTGGGTTCGTCATAACGTACAAACTCATTACTTGATCGCCTCAGCCCCAACACGATAGACAAACAGTGCTTTCGATAGTTCACTCAGACAATGACGACGCCTATCATCGTTGTCGTCGGTGCGGGAGTTGTCGGCTTATCCACAGCCATCGAAATTCAAGAAAGGATTCCAAGCGCTAAAGTTTATATCGTCGCAGAGGTTCTACCTGGGGATCCAAAGTCAATCAAGTATACGAGTTTGTGGGCTGTAAGTGAATGTTCACGTCAACTATTCCCTGTTCGTGTCTTGACAAATGTAACTAATCCATCAATATATCGACTTGCTGCTGTGAACACAGGGCGCTCATCATGTCTCTCTAGCTGAAAACGAGGGCCAACTTAGTTCGTGAACGGCGGTTTCTCCACTTTTTTGTTTCTCAATCTCCATCTAGGGTTGGACAGTAAAACGTTCCGAAGAATGTGGGAAATGTCGGAGGGCGGGCATCCAGCGGAACATTGCTTTTTACGACTTCAACAGACGGAGTATTACTCTGACAAACGGAACAATGAAGGGAATACAGACCGTCTGCATTTTATGCCGGATGTAAGTACGAAGTCTGATCGTCTGTATCGATGTCCTCTTATGCGCACTCGCACTGGATCGATAAACCGATAAGTACCGGGTCTTCAAGGATTCTGAGCTGATCGAAGGGAGTCTTTCTGGTGTGGAATTCACTACGCTAACCATCGACACTCCAGTATAGTGAGTGATTTGTTGCCACCCTTCCGCCATCGCGCCACACAACTGTCATTATAGCCTCCCATACCTCCTCTCTCGGTTTGAATCTGCAGGAGGAACCATCATTCGGGCCTCGATCTCCGCTCTTTCTTCCCTTCTCACCGGCACGCTCGTTCCAGAAAAACCTTCGGCAATCATCTCTTGTCCAGGTCTTGGAGCGGCAACCATCAAAGGGATCGAGGATCCGGATGTTTATCCCATAAGAGGCCAGACCGTCCTTGTCAGGACACCTTGGGTTAGGTTTGGGAGGACACTTAGTGAACCAGGGGTTGATGGCATTTGGACATATATCATTCCTAGGAGAAGCGGTGATGTACGTGCAAGTTTCCTTCCTTCGAAATGTTCCATCGAGTTTGATCTTCATCTTTCTACGTGACTGACATGATTTGGGTTGGGACGCGGGCCGGGTGGTTTCGACGATTTTTGATCTCAAAATGAATGAATTTTTCCAAAACACAGGTGATTTTGGGAGGAGTGAAGCAAGTGAATGACTTCCGGCCCGAGCCACTCAAAGAAATAACGGAGGACATCCTTAGGAGATGTTTGAAACTTTGTCCAGAGTTAGTGACGGGCTCTCCTGAGTTCAAGTCATCCACCAGCGGCCCTGAAGCTGAAGGGGGAGGAACGCCACGCAAGGTGACGGTGGACGATCTGAGACCATTTATAATCGAGGAAGGCTGTGGACTTCGTCCTGCAAGGAAAGGAGGCATTCGCTTTGAAGTGGACTGGCTGTCTGCAGCTGAGAGCACCAAGTCGAGCGCAGATGAAATGGCGGAGTGGGAAAATTCCAGTCATTCATCATTATGGGTACGTCCATGGAACCCTTGGGATTCGCTAGCAGCGGGGGAGGGGGGGACTCCCAATTAACTTTGAAATGGTGTAACAGGCATGGTGGCTTTGGATATCAATCGTCCTGGGGTAGTGCGGAAAAGGCTGTTGATTTGTTGCAGACTGTCTTGTAAACGAGCTTCCAGTCATTTTCGCGCGCGTCGTGCATGCTTGCCGTTTCCCCGGCCTGATTCGCAGCGATGCAATATGTAATATATGTAGTCAGAGAGATCAGAATCAAATTGGGAATGTTTCCGTTTCATCAATGTCCACGCCTCAGCGTACATGTACATACATGCATGTACCATGTCGATGAAATCGTTGCACAAACTTATTTTCTGGGACGAAGAGCTCCCGAACAGCCTAGCCTATGCCATGATTGAATGGGTTATATTATAGAGCAGTCGACTCCCAGCTTCCCATGCACAATGACATTCTGTTTTTGCAGTTGCCACGTATCTGGGTTCCCTACTAGTAGCTAGTGTTGTTCCCGCTACTCGGCGCGCAGCGGATCCGGCGCGGGCGAATTCTTCTGATCTCAGCTCGGGTCAAGACTTGCATGCATGGAAGCGTGAATCGCGCGAACTAGTACTTACTACCATGAGTGGCACCGGGCACATTTTTGAGGCACGTTCATACTAATTAAATACCAGAAGAAGAATTATTGCATTGCGGAACGTGTATGGATGTGTGATCAAGACGAAGTATTGAACATGCGATGCGTACGAAACCATCCCTGCCGTACCTTACACTATTGCATCTAGAATTACTACAGGAATATTTGTCTTTCCCTTTTTTCTTTTTTGTTGGGTTGATAAAACAACGAAGTGATAACAAGGCCACCACGAAGTTAGAAATACAACTGCAATCAGGGCAGGAGCACAACGGAATCTCTAATATTTGCATTGTTGAGCGTGTGTGTCGTTGTCGTCGTTGTGCACGCGCGAACCTAGACGGCAGTGGCACCATGCTCTAACTTCTGGCCTTCGTGTTCGGGATCTGCTTCGCCATTGGGGACAAAGAATGTTTCAGCTTTCGGGTGGACGTGTGTCGAGGTGTCAATCAGTTGAACCCGCGAAAGCTCTTTTACGAAAGAGGTTCCCCAATAAGCAGATGAGTACTTCGAGATGTACTAGGAGAACGGACGTTCTTAGCAACCAATACCTGATTTGAAAGAAGAGATTTTTTGACTGGTTCACCTTGAATAGCTTCTTCTGATTCTCCCTCCGTGTTTCGGGAGATACCGTGACAGCCTCATAGATAGCATCTGCAACCTGCTGGCTGTCCCAAGGATTGACAACCAGACTTCCGTGCAAGCTCTGAGCAGCGCCCGCAAACTCGCTCAGGATCATGACACCCTGACGCTTCTGCTGACAAGCAATGTACTCATACGAAACCTATCCCGGCCAACACCCACACCTCGTATCGTCAACAAACAGGCGCAATGAAGGAAGGGGGGGGAGAGCAATTGCGGGAGGGACATACCAAGTTCATGCCGTCTCGAGTGCTTGAAACGAGACACACGTCGCTAACTGCATATAATGCGCAAAGTTCGTTGAATGGTAAGCTCTTGTGCATGAAATGTATGGGCATAAAGTCCACAGTTCCAAAGCGACCGTTGATCCGGCCGACGAGCTCGTTCACGGTCGACCGCAAATTTTGATATTCTTCCACATCTTGTCGTGAAGGAACGGCGAGTTGAATCAGGACGATCTATGTTCCGGTTTGGGCGGAAATAAATATTGTGAGGTTCGCCGGTAAAGAAGATACCCCCCAAACAAAGTGCTTCTCGGGTCTCACCTTTCCGATCCATTCTGGATGTTGCGTTAGAAACACCTCTAGGGCATGCATCTTTTGGGGTACACCCTTGATGTAATCCAGCCTGTCGACTCCAACAATAAGCTTAACGCCGTCGAACCGCTTCTCCAGGGCTGCAATTCGCGCTTTGACTTCAGACCTTTCCACACCCTGTATGGAAATGAAATGAGGAATGTTTCACATGCAGATGGGTTGCACCATGAACGCACATCTACGAATTGTTGAGGATCGATCCCAATTGGGAACGTGCCGACCTGAGCGTATCTACCAGCTATCTCGACGCCGTTGGGCATGGTGGGTAGACTAAGAATGCGGGTGCAGGATGAAAGGAAATGGCGGGCATAGTCGTAGGTGTGGAACCCAATGAGATCTGAGTAAAGAGTACCGAGCAGAATTTCTCGTCGTACAGGAAGGATCCTATTCAGGAACACGGAGTGAATAAAAAAAGGGACAATAGTAGCTTCGCCGAACTTACCGATAAATTTCGCTACTTGGGAATGGGGTGTGCAAGAAGAAACCGATTTTTATTGAATGCACATCCTCCGAGTCGACTTCATCCTGAATATCAGATTCTCCTAATCGATCCGTGATACCCTCAATCTCCTTCCTCGTATACTCGTCTGCTCCAGGGATCATCCCTCGCAAGAGCATTGGTAAGACCATGAGGTGATAGTCCTGAACCCAGACCATATCTCCTGTACGAAGGTGTTTCCGAATCGCCTTGGCAAAGTACAAGTTGGCTTGCTGGTACGCAAGCCAGTTCTCCTCGTCAAAGTTCATCTCTCCCGGATGGTAGTGAAATAGAGGCCAAAGAATCGAGTTGGAGAAGCCGTTATAGTGACGATCTGCGAGCTCATCCCCGAGGTACACTGCCTGACAAGAGTATTCCTCCATGAGACGTTTGTCTACGATAGCTCTGTCTTTCTCTGGAATGAAGAACCCTGGCCATCCGATCCACGTGAAAGCCATGTACTTCTTGCAGCCTGATAGCGCCGAGACAAGACCACCCGAGGACATCTTGAAATGATAATCACCGGCGGCATCCTTGCTGATGGTCACAGGAAGACGATTGCTGACGACAATGAGACGTTTTGAATCACCAAAATCCATGGTGGTGGCGGAGGCTGATTCGGTGAGTTCTTGGGGAGGGGAGTCTGATGACATGGCAAGTACTTAAGGCGTATGAGCTATATCGATGCGGAGGATCACGGATCTTTGAGGGCGAAGGATGTTTGGGTGAGGGGCAGCTTAAGGAAACAATCTTGGGAGAAGTGAATGAGGTATAAATGCTGAGACTATTGCCAAACTCGGCAAATGGGCTCGGAGATGTGAGCGCTGGGAGGTTAACTCTGATTTGAAGGTGTTTAGTGCTTCAACGTCAATGAGATAATGCGTTCAGACTGGGTGATGGGCCCTGTGTAGCGACCTTAGCGTGACGGAGGAAGGATGGAGCAGGAGAACGTGCGAGTTTCACGACGTCACCAAGTGGCGTGTTAATTTGTTCGGATGCAAATTTGGCCATTGAAGCTCAGAAGTCCAAAACCCCAAACGGGAAACCAGCGGGGTTTGACGGGTCACGTTCGCGATGCTTGATTCGCCATTGAGCTTCTACACGGTTTTCTTGGTTCGCCAGGCTATATGAAAAGTTCAGGAGTTGAACGTCTAGGCTCTAATTCTCGAACCCAGTTCCCATATACGTGCGGAGTCCTGGTATTTGGTCCGCCGATATGCATAAGCAGGCAGGTGACCTGCCCCTCTTTAACCCGCCGACGCGAGAAGATATAATCCCTCACAAGCAACCCCTCAAGGTCACTTGGTACATGATTAGAACTCAAATAGTATCCGTAAAGCGTATCTTTGTCGTGACGCTCCGTTTACATTTAATTTATATGTAGCCGTTGTTGGCCACTACCGCCCTACGGCCAGTACTGTTGATCAAGGTGATCGGTTTACTTGACAACGCTTTTTCCCCTTTCATGGCCGGGCTGCGTTCCCTTTATCATTCTAGTTTGGTTGAACGTCCTGCAGTACTACACTGATGGCAACCAAGGATTATGCAGCAGAGTGATGCGACCCAGGTGAAGTGAATCGCACAGGAGTCTCGATCACAAGATATGGCACGTGTAAATGACCTTCGAGGGTCTCCTCATCAAGAACTGAGGCTTGAATTGCACAGCAACGGCTGTGTTACTTGGCTTGAAGATAATGTCCGATGTCGGCACACTATCGGCATCCTTGCTGGTAAGATGTGAAATTGCCACTTGCTTGATGTCGTGTCTTGAGTTTTGGATTCACACGAATATGCTCGGTGGGAGTGCATTCCAAAGTACTCGGCGGTTGCAACGTCGTGACGAGATTACTGAGATTAAGCAATCGAACGTTAGAACTCATCGTGATGCAGAGCAATCGCAAGATCGAGATCGAGCTGCAGGGGTTCGATTCTTGAAAATGACAAAGTAGTATGGAAGACATACCTCTCATCGCGACATCCGAGGATCACAAGTACCGATCACCTCATGTACGCCACCGCGGTGCAGAATGACACAGCCGTTGCCCCTATGAGTATAGAGCGAGCCGAGCGAAGCACCGGGGTTAGCCGAAATCATTGTATCCGTTGTTCTCCAATGTATGCATGTAGATCAATCAGCATCAGAGCCAAGAGGAACGTTGAAAGACTGTCACCATAGTGAAACGAGTTCAAGGTTACAAAGGTTGTTCCAACAATTACAGTAGTAACAATAAGTAATTCGATGCGCCTGTTTCTGTACAAATTCACATCCGACGGTTTAACCTAGTCATGGTCGACTCCGACATTACTCACTTAAGTTTACATAGAACGGATTATTGATAATGCGGGAGAAATTAAGCGCCCGGGCACAGTTCGTTCGCCTCCATGCCGCTTTATGTAAATGAAATGTGTTCCTGAGGTGAAAGCAGTGCACACGCATGTTTCCAGATGTATTCTGAAAAGGGAAAACTCGTGGTTGGTTTCGGTTCCCTCTTGAGTTCTCTTCTTCTGAACTTGAGTTCGTTCTCTTCCTTTTTTTTCTCCGTTACTCCTTGCTCGACAGCGCTTAAGGATTCACACATTCTCTCCTTAAATAAAGGCCATTGGTACTTCAAGTTTTCTCCCTTCTCCCCCTCCCTTCCCCACATTCTCATACCTTCTTCTGTTAACTTGCAGACTCGTGAAAGACCCTCCTCTCACCTATGGCACGCAACTTCCGTTCAACTATCTTTTCCATTATTCTCCTGTGCTTGTTGAGAGTTGAGAAGACTTTTGCTCAAAGCGTGAGTAGCAATGCTGTCCTGGCAACGTCCCTACCGCACTCATTTACTGATTCACTGATTCGTTCCTTTGTTCTAGTCCAACGTTACCTGTCTCCCTTCTTATAGCTGGGTGAGTAGCAAAGAAAAGGGTTTCGTAATGAGTGATTGACGTCGTGCCCTTAGGCATCAAACAGCAAAAGGTGCTTTCGTTTCCCCGCTTGACCCCTCCATGAGTTGAACCTTTCCCTCAGCCAAAACCCATGTATCGTCGCTGCAATCCTGCAGACAGTCTGCAATGATGGGGGTAAGGCGCCCGAATATTTGCCTCCATATCAATGCTTGAAATTTACGTATTTGACTGGGATTCTTAGTTTTCACTGTCAACAGCCTTCCTGATGGCTATCACTACATCGGTATGTGCCGGCAGCATCCAGCCCTGTTTGTTTAGCGTGTTTACTGACTTGCTTTGAAAGGCCCAAGGCAGAATGATCCGTCCACTCAAAATGTTTGTAAGTACCCGGTCTCCATCAGCACTCAATTCATTCGTTCACACCTCCCGGGTTGGGGGGACCTAAAGGCATCTGTAGCACGCCCGTATACGAGCTTATGTCCGCGTGCGCCGATTGCCAGAATAGGACATTCATAAGGTTAGCCCCCCCGATGCGTTTCCTCGTGGTCGTGTTGGATTTTTCGTGCTGATTTTTTGGTTGAAAACAAAACAGTTGGTCTGCTTGGAGTCTATATTGTACAAACTTCCCCGGTATCCAGGAAGGGATGTAAGTCGCATAATCCTTTGGACTCCGAACATTCAAAGGCAACAATCCTAACGTTCCGGTGTCACTTCTATTAGCTATAATTCTTCGATCCCACGGTCAACAGCGATTCCTCAGTGGGCGTTCGAAAAGCCTTCGCAAAATAATGACCTGTAATCATCCGTTTCTGGTGCCCTGTTTACTGATCAAGGCTGACATTGGTATGGTTCTTCAGATACAACAGCACCCTTGCGAAGCAAATTGGGGGTGAGTCAAGTGTTTGACATCCCGTTCTGCAGGTTTTTAATCCTTTTTTAAAATTTTTGCAGACTCTCCGGAAAGCACATTCGTACCATCGTCCACGGAATTCAGTAGTAGTACCTTGGCGGGAACCACAACTGGGACACCGACCCTTTCAACGAGCTTCTCGCTTCCCTTTACTGTTTCGACAAGTACACCCGCAGGGAGTGGCGGGGGAAGCAAGACGAACGTAGCAGCCATAGCTGGGGGTGTTGGTGGAGGCGTGGTGGGTATCGCGCTAATAGCTGGTCTAGCGTACCTCCTTCTCCGTAACCGCGGACCTCCTGAGGCCAGGCCCGATCCAAATGCCTATCAGGGCACCCTCAACAACACTACCGACACTACTTTCAATGGCGACCCAGCCTTCAACGGTGCTCCGACCTACAACCAGCGCGCACCGGGTTTCATAACCCCACCCATGCAGGGGCTCAATGAAGGCCCAATCTTTCCGGGTCCCAACCAGGGCGTGACTATACCAATGCGGGAGCCCTATACCAACCTGGGTGTAATGGGCTTCGTGCCTCCACCCGTGCAGGAGCAACCTCAGTTGGCGCATCAACAGCCTCAGATGGCCCCGCTGTACACTGGGGGGACCGGCCGATGAGTTTAAATACGGCCCAGAACTCCCCTTCATATACTGGGGACGTCCAATCGTTCCCACCAACTGAGTCTACGTGAGTTGCTTTTCGATTCTGTGACGAAAAGGAGTGAGAAATTGAAACCACCATTGACGTTGTTTGTAGTGGTCAATATCCTGATCCGAATTATTCCGTTGGGCATGGTGCGTATCCGCACTCACCACAAGCTGAACACCAGCCGCAGTTCCCGCGTCCAGGAGGGTACAATTACGTCCCAGAAGTTTGAAATGTTATGTATATGTATGCATTCTTTCTGTCTCTACAATTTACTGTCTCCATTTCTCGAATCTCGTTCAGATCACTTATTTCCCCTTCCTACTCTAAATCCCTTTGTTTTTCTTCTCTTTTAGTGTGGAAAGAATATTATGTTGTGTTGCTTGGGCTTTCTGATCATTGAAAACCCATATATTTTCTATGCAACTTTGTGGGAATGTTTGAACCACTTGCAACAAACTCGTTCGATCTTTGTATGTGTTTCTTGCCTATCACTCTTTTCTTTCTTTCTTTCTTTCTTCCTTCATCGTACGCGGTGCTTTTGCTTTTAATTTTCCTCCCGGTTTTACATGGACAGCTATTGGGTAAACTCGACATTCTCTCCTTAAGGTATAATCGTCTGCTATCAGACATGGCCCGAGACGCGTGAACATTACTGTATATCTACGCATGACAAATGCAGTTCCTCGGGGTCGGGCAACAGCCCTTTTCAGCGATCTGAAGACAAGTTGTTTGGACGTCGTCCCCCGACCCACGTGCGCGCTCTCTCAGGCACACGACAGATTGAATAATGGGCAGTGCCAATATGATTATGTAGTAGTCAAACTGAGCTGGACTGTTATGAAGCTTTGATTATGTAATCAGGGCGATTTGGTGGACGACTTTAATCAATATCGGAGGTATTATGTAATGAGATTGTTCACCTCCCTCGACTCATCAATGCGGCTTGGTCGTTGAGTTGATACTTTTTGCAATATTCTAGGCCAATGATCAACTTAACAGCAGGGTGTCATTCGAGGAAAGAGTCGCCAGAGCAAAGTGGAAGTTGTCGTTGGGTTTTCCGGATCCGATTAAAAGGCTGTGCGCACAATTGAAATGCGCCCTTTGGAGTTAAATACATAAGCCAGGGTTCAATAACATGGGGGCCAAGAAAAGACGGCTAACCCCCCCCCTTTCCGTCTTCGTAAGCTTGGTGGATTCCAACGTTTTCCGGGAATTCGTGCTGTCTTTTCGTTCCCGGGTTCGTGTTCCAGTAAAAAAAAAAAAACACCACACCTGGAGGATGCCGTCTTCTCAATCGCGAGTGACCCGTTCGTTGCCCACACCTTGGCCTCGTGTCACAATGGATTCAATTTTCCGTCAAGCGCTTCTTTTCTCTGCGCTTTTCCTAGCGTTTGGAGGGGACAAAGTGTTAGCGCAAACTGTACGTCTTTCCGAGAATGACCTCTAGCTCGAGATTTTGAGAGATGATTGATGTTATCCTGCAGACGAATGTCACTTGTCTCCCTAGCTTTGATTGGGTAAGTGGGACATCGAGCTAGGTCTGTTCCAGGGCCACTTAAAGATGCCTCCCCCTTCACTTCTCCAGGCGTTGAATAGCGCCAAGTGAGTCACCTACCGTCAGTTGTTCCGTGGTCGCCTTTATGCAACTGTAATGATTATCAGAGAAAACCCGTGCAAGGTTGCGTCAGAACTCCAAGCAGTGTGTGGTGGAGGTAAGGATTGGATTTGGAGCTCGTTATTATTCGCTTTTTTTTTGCATCTACTGACTTCACCACAATTAGGATGGACTGTGACCTCCCTCCCGCCGAACTATCACTATATCGGTGAGAGCGTAACACCCATTCACCCGAACTTTTATGTGCTCAGCAGACAAACCAAAGGCCCGGTAAAGGGTAGTGATACAAATGGTCCAAACTATTGTATGTGCTTGTCTTGAATCCGTTTCACTCTGAATCTCAAATTTTTTTCATTAGGTACTTGCACCTCCATTGTGTACGAGCTAATGTCGGCGTGTGGGGCTTGCCAGAACCGGACATTTATATCGTATGTCCGATCAACCACACAAGTGCTAACGATGATTCTTATCATATGCACTTAACTCAGCTATCCGGCTTGGACGGTTGACTGCGGTAACATCTCGACTGTGGAGGGCGTGTACACACCGTCGTTGATCCCTTCCGGTGCTCTTGTGCCCCGCTGGGCTTATCTCAAGCCTTCTAGCTACGGTGGACTGTGAGTTTATTACTTTCGTCTAATCACAAAATATAATTTTTTTTCTTCCAATGTTGACATTAACAGATTCAACATCGAAGTTGCGAAGCAGATTGGTGGTATGTTGCATTCATAATTTTTTGCCGCATTTCTTTCCTTTCCTTTTGGGAACGCAGCTTATTATACCTTCATTCCCGATAGATCTACCTGAAAGTTCTCAGTTATTCTCATCGAGCACGACATCATCCGGCGGTTTCACGACAGCCTCTACCCCTTCAACCTCCACAAATTCCATCACCACCTCATCTACCACAAACAACAATCCAACGACGACGACGACGACAACGACGACAACGACAACGACTCGATCTGGGGGAAGTTCGAACACCGGCCCAATTGTTGGGGCGCGGTTGGGGGTGTGGTTGGTCTTGGCCTGGTTGCAGTGCTTGCAGTATGGGTCCTTAAGAGACGGTCAGGCAAGCCCCCCAGTCAAAACCTTGCAGTTTCAGGTCCTTCATTGAACGATGGCTCCACGCGACCCCTGAGCATGGCTACCGCTCCACAGCCTGCGTTCCAGGAACCGTACTTTGTGACACCGACTAATCATCACCCCCCATATAATATCCAGAATCCCGGATATAGTGGCGCCCCTGAACCATAGTTTTCTCTCTAGCTTTCCATCTCGCAGCTGAAGAAGGCCTCCCCCTCTTGTGTAATGAACGCCCCCCTGCCATTTTCCTATTTTCATCATTTTGTTTTATCATCCATCCTCAAACTTCTTCAACCTTGATTTTATTATTCATCTAGTCTGCACGCGGGGGCGAGGGTGCCCCCATCGTTGGATGCTCAATTTATATATATAACGCATTTCTTGCGCGTTCTACTGTGCGGATTTTTTTCACATTTTGCCTCTAGGGACTTTTTGCATGGTTTCATCATGTGTTGTGTTGTTGTGAGCTCCCAAAATACACATACTGGTGGTGCCTTCATGACTGTATTTGTGATATGCTTTAGTCCCAAGTGACTACATCGATCGAAATCTGAGGACCCCAGCCTCTACAGAAGATAGAGGAACTTGCGGCTGTGTGAAAACCAGCTCGGTAGCGAGGCTCGATCGCAACGCCCCTTGGGATAAATACCCAACCAGGCTCTACTTTTCTATGAGACTCCTCCGTGTCAGTCGCCTTTTGCGGCCCGTCCATTTCCGGCTTTTGGATCCGGTGCTCCACATATTGGCCGTGCGTTTTCCCGCGCCCCCCCCCCCCCCAACACAACTTTGGGGGATAAACACTAGCTTGCCTTTCTGACAGGGTGTCAGGCCCGCGTTCTGAGGACGAGGCTGGAATCCGGTTTCAGAACTGAGGGTGTCGCGAATCTCAGCATCAGCTAGCACCATCGTGGCTCTCAGAATTGAAGCGCATCTTCTCCCACATCGGCGGACGGGGATCAGCTATGGACGTGGGCTGAACAGTGTTCCACCCAGTACATCTTCAGTCAGATTCCAGCATAGCTCTCCACTTGCAAACATACGTGCTATTTTTAGTGAAGTCACGCCGCTTCCTACAAAATTAAAATTCAGTCATAGTTCCTGTTGGTAATCGGCGAGTGACTCGTACTTGCTTGTCAAGTTTCAAACAGACGGGGAACCTGCAAGTTGCAGACTTGTGAATGAATCATCTGCCTTATGGAATTCTATGATATCGAAAGTGCTGTAGTTGCGAGGTTTTGACCTTAGAACAAACAGTACATATACAAGCTAGACAAATAGACAAATAAACTCGGCCGGGGGGGAAGTTGTGTTGAGGTTCACGGGACTACTGCAAACGCTGCTCTCAAGTTTCCTCGACCTCCTGCTCTGAGCTTGGATATCGAACTGTGCTAATCACGCGAAGAATGCCGTGTTTCCGGTCACAAAATGCACAAGGGTTCATTGCATCCCTTGTAATTGCCTTGATTATTCGCCAAGCTTGTCTCTTCGAGCTTTTCCTAGGTTTAGGGGTCGATAAAGTATTGGCTCAAGAGGTGCGTGCCTCTGGGAGGCGGCTTTCTTTTTAATCCTTCGAGGAAAGCTAAGCGTGTGGGTCCACCTGGGATTGTTGGGTGCCTTGTAGACCAGTGTGACTTGTCCCTACGACTTTCAGTGGGTGAATCACATATGGGCCTGCAACGTTCGTTAAGTTGCGCAACTGATCCTCTTTTTGTTTCTTCAGGCTTTCAATTCCCAAGGGTAAGCCGATAACACGTATCACTGGCTGCAGCGCTCACGGTCCAATGACTAGAGAATCCCCTTGCAAAGTCGGCTCGGGACTTATTGCAGTGGGTACTGGAGGCGAGCTTTCCATTGATCCACGTCATGCACTGACATAGTCTTGGTGATAATCAGGAAAATGGCTCGTGGGTCCGCTCCTTCCGGGATGGGAATACATCGGTATACGCAAATTCTGAGTTACGTAGCCTTGTGCTCACTGAGGGACACAAGGTCCATCGCCGAACAGTTCAGGGGGTTACTTCCCAAATGCTTGTGTGTGCTCCGACCCCGGCAGTGGCTTGAATTCTGAAACTTACCCATAGGCACATGTTCCTCCATGGTATACCAGCTGATGGCGGCATGTGGATCATGCCAGAACCGCTCATACACGTCGTATGTGCATCGTGTTTACTTTTCCATGTCTAACAGGTAATTTAGGTATCCCCTCTGGGGACGTTATTGCACTGGCGTTGCGATTGTAGAGGGTGAATACCGACCATCGCTGATGCCCGCCGGAACCCTTATACCTCAATGGGCATACATTAAGCCCTCCGACTTTGATGGATCGTTAGGTCGCTACTTCCGATCAGAATTCATATCCTGATAGCTCGCTTTCCCCGTGATCCCTAGCTTCAACTTGGATGCAGCGAAGACAATTGGTGGTGCGTTTTCATTCTTGAAATCTTCATCGCGTATTCACGGGATCATTTGACTTAACTACTAGATGCACTCGAAAGCTCTCGCGTGTTTTCACTCAGTAGCACCACATCCAGCACAAGCAACACATTGACGACCATTACCATGACCTCAACTTCCACAGCTTCCAATAGTGCACATGGGAGCAGGGGCTCGAACATCGGTGCGATTGTAGGAGGCGTAGTTGGAGGCGTAGTTGCCCTTGCTGCCCTGATCGCAGTTGTTGCGATATGGATCTTCAAAAGGATGAGTTCAGACGGAGGCCCTGCTGTCCACTCGCAGGGACGCTCCGTATTACCCGTGGTAATGGAGGAAAACCACAAACACGCTCCTCTGTCGCCTGGATCCCTGGCCCCACGATATTCAGCTCAAGGACATGATGCTTGACATGCGGCTTCGTCACCTTCCTTGTGGTTCCGCTGCGGGCTTGTGGAGGCGAGCCACTCTGAGTTGTAGCTCGGCAGCAACGGCCGAATTCGTAATCATCTCTCACCACTTGTGCATATCTCCAGTATTCATGGTAATCCAGTAACTCCAGATGTTCTGGTTGAGAGTTTGAGTCTAACAGCATGGATTTGTTATCGAAGCAATGACATATAGCTGATAAACTTACACCTTTCAATGCATGAGTCAATGCGACTTGAAGCCCATCTCAAAAACCCACCCCCCGTGCACGGCAGGCCGTCTCGCAGTCGAACGTCACTTGTCTCTCCAGTTTTGATTGAGTACGTGGGACGTGGAGCTATGTCTGTTCCAGGGACGCTTAAAGATGCCTCCTCACTTCTCCAGGTGCCAAGTGAGTCACCCACTGTCAGTTGTCAGTCATCGCCTTTATGCAACTGTAATGATTATCAGAGAGAACCCGTGGAAGGGTGCGTCAGAACTCCAAGCAGTGTGTGGTGGGGTAGGGACTGGATTTGGATTCGTTATTCGCTTTTTGCATCTAGGATGGACTGTGACCCCCTCCCGCCAGGATATCGCTATATTGGTGAGAGCGTAACATTGTCGTGTCACGCTTGAGGCTGAGGCTTGTCATTTCCCATATTTTTACATTACATTCTATCTCACATTGTATCTACCCAATTCCCTCATAGGTAGATCAATAAGTAGTTCTCATAGTTGTATCATGCTTGAGGCTGAGACGGACTATTCCATCATAGACCTTCCACAGCCCGCGACTATTTCGTCACAAAAAACGTGCAAGAAATTGTTGTCCCCAACTGTAGTACTTCTCAGTTTGCTCCTCGGGAACAGGCTCGGTCTTCAACTTGGGCTGTAACTTGCCAGCAACAAAATTCTTGACAAATTCATCGACGGTCTTGAAATTGACCTCAGTGGATTGATCCAATGGGTACTTGAGTTGACTTTTGATCTCTTGGATCACAAAGCTTGGCCACTTAGCCTCTGTGAGACCAAGAGATTTTGCGTGTTCAACGAATTTGATCGCATCAATCCAGACAAAGTTAACGACACCCTTTTGTTCTTTAGCAATGGGGCTGAGTTCCTTGATCAGCTCTTCCCGCTTAAGATCGGTTGACTCAATGAAGATATAAGCAAGTGGGAGGCGAGATGTTGCAGAAAGGTGGTAGTTCTCTCCAGATATCTCGTCAATGAGAGGAACAGCATTGGATCTGATCCAGTCGGCTAGAGAAGTGATGTCGGTGGAGGCGATTTTCTCGGAAGGGAAGTCGTTGCGACCCTCATCGAACTTTTTGTAAAGAACGATAGCACGCCAGCCTCTTTGATGGCCACCTCATCGGTCGTTAAACCGAACAGGTAATCGTCACGGTAGGTCTCAGCAACGGAAGAGAAGGCAGGAATGGGGGCTTCTTCGGTAGAAGTAGCATACGCAAGCACAACGACCTTATCAGCGACCCTGAACTCTTCGAGATTCTCAGAGGCAACAGTCGAGACGGCCGGGAGAGATTGTCTGGAGTCCCTCATCAACAAACGAAAAACATAGGTGCGAAGGGCGCCAAGACACTCACTTGGTCATGTAACTGATGATGTCACCGGCTTGGCGAGGCCCTCTATATTCTGTCGGTTTCCCCTTTTTGTAGATTTTCAGCGTTGGGTAACCTAGTATATCACTTTCTGAGCAAAGGTCCGCCTGATCAACGCAATCGACCTTCCCCAACGTGATGTTCTTCTCCTTCAAAGCTGTTGCAGCTTCCTCATAGTGAGGAGCGAGTGCTTTACAATGGCCACACCTAGATCAAAGCGTCCAACCATCACCAAAATGAGCTTCGATGACGATGAGCAACCAAAACGTACCACGGCGCAAGAAACTCGACCAGTAAAGGGCCAGCCTTCTGCGTCTCAGCACCAAAGTTAGCTGAAGTAAGGTCTATGATATCGCTGGGACCTTCGCCCGCCGCTACCCGCCTAAGTTCGGATCACGGAGACAATATTGTAGTCAGCATGCCAAACAAGACGAAGGGTTGGTTGAGAGCATTTACTGCATACCATGGAATGACAGCCCCAGCGATGAGCAGCAACGACTTGAAAAGGGAAAAGATGCGCATTTTTGAAGGAAAGGAGGGAATGGAGGGAACGTCTTTGCTTTATGTATATAAATGAACAGCCACATGCCATATGATTGATCGGCAAAAAGGCACGCTGAGCAGAAATCAAGCAGAAATTGCACAACCTATAAGACGAAATGGAGGACTAGCGATGTTGTCGCTCAGTCTGCTATGCGTGAACTGAGGAAAAGTCGTAATGTCCAAAAATTGGTGTTTTATAGTCAGGCGCTATGAATGCGCACTGACTTTAGCAACAACTGACCCAAAAAAGGGAAACAAAGTAGATCTTGGCGCCGCAAGACTTGACACCAACAACGTGAGTTGGCCTCAGCGTGCGCTTGAATCCCAAGAAATCTAACAGCCTCTACAGTGGAATATAGAAGATAAAGGAACTTGTGACTGTGTGAAAACCAGCTAGGTAGCGAGCTCGATCAACGCCCCTTGGGATAAAAGCCAGGCTACCTTTTGCGAGTGATGTGAATGTGCCAAGCCAACGGAACCAAAGTCCCATCACGTGCCATGGAGTTCTATTTATATTATATAATCATGGAGTTTGAGTGCCAAATTCCAGCAGAATGACTTCCACGCGTCAAGACACGGGGAGGAGAGCTGTCAATAAGGCTGTGTTATCCTCTGTCATCACGAAGGAGGTTGTTACCTCTGGAATACCTCAGACCGATGTTTCTCATGCGGCCAAGTCAGCCCCTCCTCGTGTTTCGGGGGTTATTGCGCCCCAGGCGGGTCAGACTAATGCAGGTAGCTCACCTATCGCCCAGAGGCTACCTCGTTTGCCGAACAACCTGAAGTTCAAGAAAATCCCGAAGGAGACATCTTCGGAGAAACTCTCGGCGAGCGAGCTTGCTCGATGCCAGCAGCAGTGCTCCGAGTATTTGGTTTCCAAGGGGTGCGCATTCGCATATCGAATAACATTCATGCAAATTGTGTAACTCGTGATTATTAGGTTGCCAACGTTGCCACCAACGGAGACCCCCTTCCAAAATACAGTCCCCTCCCCATTAGTGGCCCCAACAGGTGGTGCTAGTCAATCTGGATCAAGAAGCATGGATCTCGTTGAAGCTACACCTGGAAATCTCAGACAGTCTCCACCGCGAGATTGCCACGTGCACTTACCCTGGCGTTCAAAGCGAGATCATTTGGCTGCTCGCCAGCCTTATCTTTGGGACCTGCAACATCGGAAGCGTACGTCTCCAATACCTTCCCCAGGCCCAAGAAAGGTGTCTCATCTGACCTCTTCTTCTCATGGATGTGGTGATCATTCTTCTCCTCGTGATGCGCCTTCCCCTTCTCGGTGGCCCACTTCTTCCCCTCCTTGGCCGCGTGCTCCCTCCCCCCATCAGCGCACTCCTTGCCCTCTTGAGGTCGCTCCACGCCCACCCCCTCCTTCTCGTGGGCCCACTCCCTCTTCTAAGAGGCCTGCCTCTCCTCGCCCACGCTTACCTTCCATCCCCCAGCAACATGCCCCTTTCCATCAGCGCCCATCAGTAACAAGTGTTGATGATATGACGGATGTGGATGCCCCATCGTCGCAACCACTACAAGAGCAACTAGGTGTAGGTGATTCCGCACCTGTATCTGTGGGTCGGGTTGGACCCTTTTCCGAACACGCTCGGGCGTGGTTTGCATCCCTGTCGAACTCTCCTGTTGTAGAACATATGTCGCCTGCCCCACCTACTCAATCCTGTCAGACTCTCCCCTACGCATCCTGGCATTGCTTAAGAACCCCCCTTGACAGTGTGCACTTCGAGTCGTTTGACAGAACGACTCTGAACACGTGGGCTAAGGGTCTCTTCAACATATCCGGAGTGTATGCCGTTACTCAGATCACAGCCACGAAAACATCTTCCAAGTATGGAAAATGGCACGTTGCGGTCTTGGCAAAACAACGCAGTGTTCTGGATGAAGTCCTTGCAGCTCTGTCAGCGGACAGTGAGCGCTACCATGCTGCGCTCCAGCACTCGGTAATAGTCCCGATCGATCCATTCTCCGGAAAGGAGGCTTTGAGATATATTTGGGATTCCCGCTTTGATTTACACTACATTGGGCTGGTATGGGAGGAGTTTGAGTGGGGACCCAAGCGGAATTGTTTTCTTGTTGATGCACCACCAGTTTTAACTAACGAAAACATCGGCGACGAGCTTCTTTACCACGCATGCGCTCCTCTGGCCCCAACGCATGATGAAATAGTTCCCAGGGATGCAATTCTAACTGCATTCGACTTTGGCCCTCACGTACTTCGGGCTTGGTACGATGGATTGCCATCTTACTTGAAGACGTATGATGTGACTCGATTTATTCTTGTTGCCCGTGCATATGACTCCGCCATTTTAAAAGGGAAGAAGGCATTCATGGCCAACATTTGGCGGACAAAATCGGACATAGACAGAGCCATTCGGAACTTGATGCTGTATCTTCGCAATTCGGATGATGCTGTCCAGAGGGTATCGAAAGAGAAAACGGAGTCATTCCAGTACTTGAGGGGTCAACGAAAATGGCGACTCACAGTCGACCTTACTGTCATCGACTTTTGCCCTTATTTCCGGATCGAATAAGAGTATATTGTTCAACGATGAATTCTGTACATAAGCGCAATCAATTTGTGTCGAATTTTTTTTCGACCCTCTGGACGACACCGAACAGAAATCATTGGGTCGAGGTTAGGTGTCAGAAGTGACCCCTGACAACTCTGTTACAATCTTTACAGGTCAATTAAGAGGCAGTTGCAACTGTACAGTTCCTTAGTGATTGGTAGCCGTATTTACGACTTGAGATCTTCGGTCCTGTACACTTCCAAGTAGCATCCTCACTTCACGTCATCCCTGATTGATCCATTGCCGTTTCTACGGCTTGAGGTTTTCAGGCTTGCGTGATTCTAAGCTTTAGAGCCCCTGTTCGACTGATAGTTGTTCTTTACGGCTTGAAGTCTTCAGGCCAACTCAAATTTTATTTGCCAATTAGAAGAGCCATCTTGGCGGCCGAAAGTCAACACTCCGATATCTGTGGCCTTGTCAGCCGTTGACTCGAGGTTTCACTCACAGGGGAAACTACCTCGAGTGGACGCATTGTTAAGCGCTCTGCCCGCTTGCGTGCGTCTCTGGAGGGTCCTGCCGGTGCAAACACGGCCCCTGCCTCTAACGAAACGGATGTTCCCCTGCCGCCTTCTTCTGTTGCTGGCGTGAAAACGGGTCCCCGCTCTAACAAAAAGGGTGCTGCCCTGTCACCATCTTCTGTCATCTGCAAGAACGCCTCGCCTTCTAACAAAAAAGGCGCTGCCTCGCCGGCATCTTCTGTCACCAGCAAGAAAACCGCCTCCCGCTCCACCAAAAAGAGAGTTGCCCCGCCGGCATTTTCTGTTGTCCCGCCGGTTGTCCAATCATCATCACCTACCGCTCCACTATCAACGTCTATTACCCCTCCACCAGATCCCCAGCCCGCACAGCCAGCAATAGCCGAATCGAGCTCGTCAGTTCAGGTTGTTGATTCACTACGTAGGCGGAGGCCATCATCTTCAAAGGAGCCGTCTCCCAATCAAGCCGTCGATTCTCTCCCTAGCAGCCCAGGGACCTCGGTGCCGGACTCCCCTCGCCTGCCTCCTCGCCACAGGGGGTCGGGCATGAAGCAAGGGGAGGTGACTCGCGACCTCGGCTCCCGAGGCAGGAGCCCTCCCCCGTTATTCTAGAAGAGCCTCTGGCAATTAACGTAGCGCCAGAACTGCAGCAACCACATCCAGATGAAGATAAGGCATGTGCGATGTCACCAAGGTCGATCTTGGATTTGCTCTCTGCTCCAGTGCCCTCCAGGGCACCCACACCCTACCCGATGATTTGGCAGGTACGAACGCGGTTGACTTGTCTGGTCTCATACCGATGGAGAATGATGATGATGATGATAATGAGGAGGGGGCTGAAAACAATGTGGGGGACACTGAGGGAGGAGACTCCACTTCGGCACGGGTAGTCGAGTTGCGCGGTGGTCCGTTGACTCCCAGTCAACGTGAAATTATACATGATCTGATGGAGCGGCATGTCGAAACTCTGACAAGATATGCGTGCGAGGGGATCAAGTCCCCGGAGACTTTGCTGAAGGCGGCCCACTGCATGGTCACTACGAAAAGTCGTCGACAGAATGGGGACAGTTGGAATGCCTTCGAGTGTCTTCACAAACGAGGCGACATTTGCCTCAGGCGCCAGCAACCCGATTCATCTCTCCCTCGTACACCAGAGGGCACTGAAGCGGAGGTCCTTGCTCATGCACCGGAGTGCACTGAAGCGGAGATCCGCAATGAATATGAGAGCCAGATCAGGAGTCTTGGTGGCAAGACATCACCCGAATGGAAAGAGCGGGCAGCGAAAATAACGGAGCAACACAGTGAAGTCACCAAAAGCGTCGTTAGCCAGCTTGCCTCCGACCCTCACATTCAGGCTCGGAATATGGCCTTCTATCGTGACCGCATCAAGAAGGATATGACCTGGGCTGCGTTATGTGGGATCCACATGGCAATTGTTATGGTCTCAGCCACGGACCATCCTGCCACACAGAAGCACAATGGTGTGTCGACGAACACGGCAGCAATGGAGGCTTGGTTCCAATCCATCTGTAAATCCAACACCATTCTTTTTGACAACATTCGGACGTTCGTCACACAACGTGATGGGAAAAATGCCGATGGGGAGTTTGTTCCACCCCCAACGCCCCGTTCTCGTGACGACTGCCGGACTGCCTCACGCGCCCATCTTGCCAACCAACTGCTTGCCTTTTTTGTGGGCAATAATCCCTTGAACGGGCAGTTTCCTTGGGGCATGCTTCCGAAAAAGCTTCTCGATGCCGGCCGCTGCCTCACCCAGTGGCCGGATGATGCGGAATTCGACTAAATGGTGTCCCAGCAGACTCCAGTCCCCTTTGGATGCGGGACCTTTGCTTTCCCTGGGGTTTTGATGGAGCCTCGGCACTCTGCAACATCTTTTGGCCAGGGGATGGTTACCTACAACCCTGAGACTTCAATGACGCTTGCAGCAAGCTTCGGCCTCCTTTGGTCCAGAGATGTTCACTCCCGACCTGCTGTTACAAAATCAATCTACGTTGTTCCCTGTGGGGTTCCATGAGCAGACAGGCTCTAATGGACTCTTTGACACCGCCCTCGCAAATCTTGGTGATCCCACTACACCGAGTTTCCCTGACGCTTCTGGTTTGTTTACCGGGCCATCTGCCCCCCCTGCCTCCCATTCGAGCTGGACCGTCAATCTTGGTTATGAGGCACTGTCGTTATTCATTGTAGTCATACTCCATTCCTCATTTCCCAACGTACTCTTCGTACTTCATAATCATTTTTCATATGCTAATTTCTTCATGTACTCTTCGCATTTCTTGAATTTTGCACATCCTAATTTCTTCACGTACTCTTCACAAACCACATTGCATGATTGTATATACCGCTTAGGGAAAGAATGTGTGGGGGGTAAATAGTGGGTAAATATAAGGGGTGGCTTGATGTTACCTCTCGTAATCAGTTGGTTATCAGCCAGGTATGAGAAAAAAAAAAGTCGCAGAGCCGCGTCGTCGAGCAACGGTTCACGCCACACCACTCCCCCCATCGGCCGACCATGACCGTAGCCTAAATTCGAAACATATAACTACATAACTCGGTACTCGAGAGCGAATGGCTGCATTGGGTTGATCCGCCACAAAAGATGGCACGGGCACGATGACGTCGTGTCAAGTATATAATAAGTACAGTCAACGCCGCAAAGGCCAGTTTTTTTTTCCCATGGGCCGGTCAAGGCTGCTTATTCACAAGCAACAACAGCAGGGGGTTTGTCATCATGACATCCCACGCACGACATAGTAATAAATAATTTTGACCGGGACAACCGTTCCGACTGCCCCCCCCCCGCACCGCAACCATTGGTCTACATAGAGGTCGTTCAACTATAATGCATGCGTACTTGGCCAGGATGCAACACAACGCGTAATAGACGCACGTTAGGTTCAAGTGATCCATACATGGTGACAATCATGGCAGTTGTGTGTTGCAAGTTCGGTCCATGGAAAAGATGCAAATCGATCAAAGTTAAACGCCTAGCTAGGTGAATCGACAGAGGAGAGCACGGAAAGAGATGATACAACATGAACAAAAGAGCTTGAAAAAAAAAAGACATGAATCAGTACCGCCGTAAAATATCCTCTTTCACAGTCCACTTTTCAAAGGGATCTGCGATAGAGGTCCTAGTATGTCTCATCCGCCAGCCTAGCTTTGCTGCCTCTTCACTCAGCATGTCATGGATATACACGAAGCCGTCACAACGGAATTCGGCATGGAGAAGCGAGGGACTGGCACGCGCGCAGCCATCCGACATGTCATCGAGCCAACCCACAATCCCCTCATCGAAGTAATCCTCGGTCGGGTCACGCTCGGCCGGGTCCACTAGTAACACGCTGACTTCCCAGGAGAGCGTTTGAAGGTATTTTAACGATTTCACAACGCCAAATAAAGAGCTGGTAGGGCATTTTTGGTCGAAAGGGGACCAGCAGAGCCGAACTAGAATAGAGCCGAATTGGATCGTCAAATCGGCGAGGAAGGTGAATGTCTTGATTACTTGATAGGATGGTGGGATTTCGCTATCCGATCCATGGTCCTCTCTAATGGTCAAGCTGCGAAGTGACAATGCAGAATCCTTGAGCGATTCCAGATCGTGAGGTTGACGCGGCCAATCTAAAGTGTCGTCCAGGAATTCCACAGAGGCGAGCGTTGTACATCCTCGTGCAAGGTGCAGCGGCACATCCACCATACGGAGTTTTGATAAGGAAGGGAGTGGAATCGCAGGAGGAATGAAATTGAAATTGTTTATGGAATGCAAGTTGACGTCCGTAAGGTTTGGAAATTTCGAATCCATAACCAATCTCTGCACATCGGAACAATGGAGCTGCTTCAAAGATGGCATGTCCGACAGGGATAATGTGTCAACACCTCCGACAAAAAGATATTCCAATGCACGCAGAGTGGACGACATGTTGTCAGGAAAGCGGATATGCCCACATCCGAGTTCAACCCTCACAGATTTGAGTGAGGGTATTGGGGGCATCTCGAAATTTCTGGCACGATATATCGCCAAGTGCCGAAGCTTAGGTTGTGAGGTCAAGAAACCACCCCACTTTGATCGTGTGATATCGTCATATATAGATAACGTAATGGTCTCCAGCTGACATTGTGCTGAGGTCCACATGGTGGGGAAGCTGCCCAGATCCTTGCCCTCACCGAACAGAGTCAACTCGATGAGATGTGAGAATTTGGTGAAGATACCTATAAGTCGTTCGAGAGACTCTTGCACCTTGTCCTCAGGTACATCGCGGGAAGTACTAACCCAGAGGTTCAGACGCTTCACGACAGACACCGAAGTAGTGTTCATGAACTGATCGAGCCTTTCGAAATCTTCCCGGTCACGTAATGCAGAAAATTTGAAGCCCCGGAAGAGGAGATATGCGCAAACACGCCGAACGTTGCGACTTGTGAGACTCATGCCATCGCGCAAGGTATCGAAGTCAAGAAACGTGAGTATGTGATGCGCAACCTCGTATGGAAGTCCAAGAAAATGAACTGGCTTTGTGAGATCCTTATCGATCACGCATGTTAATATATATATATATATGACGTTGAGGTTGTTGCAAACTGCATTTGCGCTCACCTGTGCCCCATCTATCTGGTTGGTAACTTCGTTATAACGCCCGTCGGACGATAGGGATAGGCCCAAGACTCTTTTGTCTTGGGCTGAGTGCCCTTCCATACATATCAGTACCACCAACTATGTGGCCACTACAATGTACATACCCATCTTATCGTGATCGTGTTGTTGAGAGTAAGAATATTCGAATTCACGGCAATGTCCATTGCATTTAAATGCTCTCGATGTCCAGAGGCAACCCAACCAGCGGGGAAGTTGTCTAGGAGATGTTTTAGGGCTACTGAACAGTTTCAACTCGTTGCATTAATAGCTTTGTCGCGTTTCTTTCCTTTGAGAAAACGCAGCTTATTCCGACAGATCCACCTGAAAGTTCGCAGATATTCCCATCGAGCACGAGTTCCCAGCTTTCCATTCCGGGCTGAAGGCCCTTCCCCTCGTGCAACGAACGCCCTGCGTTTCCTATCTTATTATTTGTATTATTTATAATCTAGTCTGTACCAAGTATTGTAATCATGCTTCCAGCTTTTGAGTCAACGTGGTATCAAGTGACCTATGTAATCGATCGAAACATTTGTGTAATGATTCTGGTATTACTGATTACCGCTGCGGTTGTGTGAAACCAGCTAGGTGGCACGGCTCGATCAACGTCCCATGGGATGAAAACCAAGCTACTTTTTCATGGGGGTTCTCAAGCGCCTTGGCGGCCGCCCATTTCTGGCTTTTGGATCCGGTGCTCCACATGCACATGGCCGTGCGTTTCCCCGCACCCCCGCAGGCTCGGCCAACTCTGGGGATGAACCATTTGCCTTGAGGCTGATTTCCTACAGGGCGTCAGGCCCGCGTTTTGAGGCGAGGCTGGAATTTTTTCCGGTTTCAGAATTAAGCTTTGCCCGAGCTAGGCATTTCAATCGAACGCTATCCAAATATGATCTTGTTCTGCGTTGTACTTGCTTGTCAAGTCGGCTCTTGTGCAAACAGACGGAAGCCTGCAAATTGCAGATCTCTGAATGGATCATCTGTCTTATGGAATTCTATGATATTGAAAGTGCTGTGATCGCGAGATCTTGACCTTAGAACAAACATAACATTTATAAGACAAATAGACAAATCAGTTCGGCCAAAGGGGAAGTTGCGTTAAGATTAACGGGACTACTGCAAACGCTGCTTTTCCTCGACCTCCTGCTCTAACTCGTTAATGAGAGGCTGCCTGCTGCTCTGAGCTTGGATCGAACGGTGCTAATCACGCAAAGAATGCCGTCTTTTCAGTCACAAATTGCACAACGGTCCACTGGGTTGCTTTTAATTGTCTTGATTATCCGCCAAGCTTGTCTCTTCAAGATTCTCCTAAGTTTCGGGGTCGATAAGGCATCGGCTCAAGAGGTGCGTGCCTCTGGGAGGCGGCTTTGTTTTTAAACCTTCGAGGAAAGCTAAGCGCGTGGACCACCTGGGATTTTTGGGTGCCTTGTAGACCAATGTGACTTGTCCCCATAGCTTTCAGTGGGTGAATAACATATAGGCCTGCATCATTCGTTGGGTTGTGCAACTGATCTTCTTTTTGTTTCTTCAGGCTTTCAACTCCCAAGGGTAAGTCGATAATACGTATCAGCTGCAGCGCTTACGGTCCAATGACTAGAAAATCTCCTTGCAAAGTAGGCTCGGAACTTATTGCAGTGGGTGTTGGAGGTGAGGTTTCCATTAAGACACATCATTCACTTTCTCCACTGACAGTCAAGTTGATGACAATCAGGAAGATGGTTCGTTCCAACGCTCCCTCCGGGATGGGTATACGTTGGTATGCGCAAAGTCTGAGTTACGTAGCCTTGTGCTCGCTGAAGGACAAAGGCCCAGTGCCGAATAGTTCGGAGGGTTACTTCCCAAACGCTTGTGTGTGCTCCGACTCCCCTGACAGTGGCTTGAATTCTAAACTCGCCCATAGGCCTGTGTTCCTCCGTGGTATACCAGCTGATGGCGGCATGTGGAGCATGTCAGAACCTCTCATACACGTGGTATGTAGGGTTGTGTCTACTTACTCTTCCATGTCTAACGGGTAATCTAGGTATCCCCTCTGGGACCGTTATTGCGCTAGCATTGCGATTGCCGAGGGTGAATACCGACCATCGCTGATACCCGCCGGAACCCTTATACCTCAATGGGCCTACATCAAGCCCTCCGACTTTGATGGATTGTCAGTTCGCTACTTCCGATCGGAATTCATACCCTGATAGCTCGCTTTGCCCGTGATCCCTAGCTTCAACTTGGATGCGGCGAAGACAATTGGTGGTGCGTTTTCATTCTTGAAATCCTTATCGTGTATTCACGGGATGGTTTGACTATTAGATGCTCCCGAAAGCTCTCGAGTGTTTTCACTCAGTAGCACCGCATCAAGCACGTCCAGCACAAGCAATACATTAACTTCCATTACCATAACCTCCACAACTTCCACAGCTTCCAATAGTGCACATGGGGGCAGAGGCTCGAACACCGGTGCGATTGTAGGAGGCGTAGTTGGAGGTGTGATTTCCCTTGCCCTGGTTGCAGTTGTTGCGATATGGATCTTCAAAAAGATGAGTTCAGACGGAGGTCCTGCCGTACACTCGCAGGGTCGTTCTGTGTTACCCGCGGTAATGGAGAACACCCACGGACATGCTCCTCTGTCGCCTGGATCGCCGGTTCCACGACATTCGGCCCAAGGGCGTGATGCTTGACACGCGGCTTCGTCACCCTCCTCGCGGTTCAGCTGCGGGCCTGTGGAGGCGGGCCGCTCTGGGTTGCAGCTCGGCAGCGACGCCCGAGTTCGTAATCGTCTCTCACCACTGGTGCATATCTCTTCTGGTTGTCAAGCAGTATAGTGGGGTTGGCCGAATTTATTGTGGAGGGAACAGTGAATTTGTTTTGGCACATAATCGATAAACTTGCACCTTCCAACGCATGCGACTTAAAGTCCATTTCAAAAATCCACTCTCGTGCGCGGCAAGCGTCACTCATGTAATATCCTTTGTGCCATTTTGGAGGGCGCCCTTGATCACAACCTTTAGGAATTCTGTTCTCTGCCATTGTAAGTTCCCGTATGCACACAAGACCCACGGTAAGACATCAGTGCAGCTAGTATCCCAGCGGAGCTACCCCACTGAACCCTCACCCTTAAGCCCGCCGACTTCAACTCAGATCGCGGCGGCCCGGGACAGTGCAGTCACCGGTGAGATCCCAGTCGTCGCCTAGTTATCCTAGCTAGTTAGAGGCCTTTGCTTGGAACATGCACATTCCACATAAGTATATGATGACCCAGTGCGTTTGAGTACTCGGTGCCCGGGCTTGCACATTTGATGGGATTGTGGGATAGATTTGGGGAGCAATCGAGTTGGATGCTAGGCAGATTACCAGCCTCTATTGGATACTTGGATCTACTACCAAGTGCTTTGATCACATATGTACCGAAGCTACATAGTCGGAACGGCCCCCAGCCGGTAGATGTTTGTTGTTGTTGTTGTTTATTCTGGATATTTACCCTGCAGACTGAGACTGTAGGCTGCTCGTGAGAGCGCCAAGGGCAGGGGTCGAGATAAATACACAAAAATAAGGTGAGAAAATAAAGAAATAAGTCCGATTCGGGTGTCCTTAATCTCTCTGATAAGGCGTTGCCCGAATGCTGCTCCACTTTTGAGTTGTCGTCCCCCAGCCGGTAGAGAACACTGCACTTTCATTCTCTGGGTCGAGGCAGCTTCCAGTCCTCCAGAATTTTTTGTGTTGGGTCATTATATAAGGTGGTTGCCCGAGGAATGCCTTCTTTACAACGGCGAATCGCCCTGTGGTCGCCCGCCCTTTGGCCTCATGCTGCAATCGGATCGGTTCTCGGTCGGGCGCCTACATTGTTCTTGTTCTTTCTAGTGTTTTGGAGCGATAAAGTTCTGGCGCAACAGGTGCGTTCTTCTAGGAGCCTCCTTTTTAACTTGGTCCTTTGAGGATGGGTTCGATCACGGTTGATGTTATGCATCCCTTTGTATTGACGCGCGCTTTGTATGTAGACCAATGTCACTTGTGATAGTAGCTTTGATTGGGTGAGTGGGATATTGGACTACATCTCTGAGATCTGTACAAAGACACACTCTTCTCCAGGCGTTGAATAGTCAGGGGTGGGTCGCCGACTGGCGCTTGTCAGCAGGCATGTTTATATTGCCCGATAACGACCAGACATAACCCTTGTAAGGTTGCTTCGGAACTTCAGGCAGTATGTTATGGAGGTCAGGACCATACCGGTACTCGTTCTCAATTCTCTTACTGACCTGTACCAACTTATTAGGGTGGACTGTAGACAGCCTTCCGGCAGGATGGCATTATATTGGTAAGAGCAGGACGTGATTTAAAGTCAGCATGCTTACTGGACAGAAAAGGCCCGGAACCGGACAATCCAAGAAATAAGCCGAACTACTGTGTGTGCTCTAGCTGGGCGACGACCGCATTGGGTTTGATCGCTCAAAATCCCGTTTTTGACAGGCACTTGCACCTCCATTGTATACCAACTAATGTCGGCGTGTGGAGCATGCCAAAACCTGACATTTATCTCGTATGTCAATCATCGCAGATTCCTGCCACCATACCGATATACAAACCAGGTACCCTGCTTGGACAATTTACTGCACCAACATCTCGACTGTTGAGGGCGAATACAATCCGAAATTTATCCCGTTCGGTGGTCTAGTGCCCAACTGGGCCTACATCAAACCTTCCAGCTACGGCGGGTTGTGAGTCTATTTCACTCACCAGAAACAACTTCAAGCTGTACCAACCTCCTTTTCTTAGATTCAACATAGAAATTGCCAAGCTAGTTGGGGGTATGTTCCATTTGTCTTCGTCACATTTTTTTGAGATACTCATTGTCCTTGATGGGATGGTTCCGACAGATACACCCGAAAGTACGCAGTTGCTTACATCGAGCACCACGTCATCCGAGTCAAGCTCAAGTACGACGTCCTCTATATCTACCATGACATCGTCGAGCCAACATTCGACCACTACCACAACAACGACTAAGGGAGGGGGCGGAGGCGGAAGCTCCAACACCGGTACAATTGTAGGAGGTGTGGTTGGTGGTGTGGTTGGCCTCGGCCTGGTTGCAGTTCTTGCAATATGGGCCGTGGGGGGGTTGGGGTCAGGCACGGATCCCAGTCAATACGCCCCACCTTCCGGTGGCTCATGGCGCAGAAACTCCACGAACCCCCCGAGTATGGCTACCTCTCCGCATCCTCCGTCTCAGGAATTGCACCTTGTGTCGCCGATCCAGCCCGAGCATCACGGATATAGTGGTGTACCTGAAGTTTAATTTTTTTCTATAGTGCTGCAGCTCTGTGCAACGAGTACGTTTCGCATCCCCCCGGTCTCTTGTCATCTATTATCGTTCAGGAACATCTCCACCGATACTTCCTACCTATCCACTCTACATCCTTCCGTTGGGGGCACATTTTTGATGCTTAATTTAACATGTCATTCTGTGCCCTGGAACCTCTCGACATACCCAGCGCCACCAGCGCTCCCCCCCCCCCCCCCTGACAAGCCGGTTTTGACACCCGTACTATGAGCTTACAAATACGAAGTTCGGCTTGCGCGTGCCTTGGTCTGGGTGCTGTACACTTCAACGCAGTGATGTGTCAATGACGAACTTGAGTCAACGTGACATCGTTCAATTCAAGCGACGCATCAACTTTAGCTCCCATGGCAAAGGATGATCGGTGGAGGCAGTGCATATTATGAAGCTAAATAAAGCTGCGCCTTCGATCAAACTCAGATCCGGTTTATGTAACGGCACCGGTTCCCAAGGCGTCTGAGGTTCCATTGGTTGACCCTCAAATAACACTGAATAGGACCCAAGTTTCTGCGATTCCTTTCCTAAAGTGTTGATGAATCAAATACTGTTCGAATATGATTCTCTTCTATGTATGGTTGTGCGAGGGTGTGTGTGTGGATCGAAAAAGGTGGCGCTCGTCCAACGAATTGTTCGGAACTTTCCAATGTGGCGTACCCTCTGGCGTGGATATTCGGACACTATGATACACTTACCTTACTGGCCCTTCTTACACCTGACTTTAAATGGATGAAAGTCATCTTCCGGGACGGAGTTCAGAAGTGCGCGTGGTCCCAAGCCTCACGGTTCCTGCGGCTTAATCCAAAGTTTGAGCATTAGGTAATGACATTGACAAGCAAGGTAAGATGGCACGGCATTTAGGAAATGTCCCAAGAATACAAAGATTTTGGGCTGACTGACATGGAAGGACGCAAACCCAAGATGTTTTATCATGGCATTGCCCAACGCGCTATCGCAAAGCCTGCACTAGTGCCTGACCGAAAAGTGTGCCTACTGCAACGCTCCTGACTTACTTCTCTCCCCCTTTCATTTCTTTGCTGACTTGCTACTCCAGGAAACAACCAAACTACTTAAAAGCGGCTGAAAATGACAATGATGACAATATCCAAATCAGGGATCAGCTTAAAAGCGAACTCCTGCTAGTGAAGCCCGCGGGTCGGGTTTCACCGACGAGTGAACTGTGTGTTCCCCGCCTTTGCTCCGCCATCTACCCCGTCTAATTACCCCACCGATCATACTGCCACTGTTACCCCATATCTCCGAAACCGATTTGCTCTTGGGACCTACGCCGACCTCACAGATCCCGAGGGGTTATCCTCGGTGAGGGTGGCTTTCCCTCGTGTTTAAGTGCGGGATTTACCCTACGGGATGGGGGTTGGTGACCCGCCCTTGTGAGTCATGGGTCCCCCATGCACCTCACTAAAATTTAGTCTCCGGCCTGCAGCCGTCACCATCATGGCGGCCCACCGTTCATATCAATATAGCCTTGGTATACTTCCGATACTTCTAATGACAAGCGCCTGTGTAACATATAGTAAACGAATGTATTATGTTTCACTATTAAAACAGGCGAGGTTAGGGCCATGGCGCGCACGCGAGTGTGCCCGCCAGGAAAGATCTAATAATGCAACGGCATTTACAGCGACAGGCACTGTGCGCGAGCTGTTTAATACTCCATCGTTCCTAATCCTACAAAGGTATTCGTTACATCATGGTCCGAGTCCCAGCTCAGTCTCAACAGACAAAACACATATTCTGAGACTCGCAGTATCTGGAAAATGGTCAGGAGCAATACTGCGGATGCTGCCGCGAGGCTCAGCGTGCTTGACTTCGATAACTAACCCCCCAATAGGAAAGATTAAGCCTCAGGATAGCCACTGTACCCTTGATTCGCATATTGCGCGTTTTGAGGCACATGCGGTACAGGGAAAGGTTCTTGATACGATGCGGGTTGTGTATTCTCACCCATTGTCGTAGGCAGCGATGGGGCCCCCTGCGAAACGCCCTTACTACTCGGATTTCTCCGACTGAGGATCCCCAGGGCAAGGACTCCAACCAAGCCAAGGCCGACGACACCTCCAACGACACCACCGGCAATCGCGCCGGTGTTTGTGCTTCCTCCACCACGGGAGGTAGTTGTCGTGGTACTAGTAGTGGTTGTAGTGGTTGTAGATGTGAAAGTAGATATGGGAGTCGTGGTAATGGAGGGTGTGGTGCTTGCTCCGGATGTCGCAACAGACGATGACAGCAATTGCGTGCTTTCAGGTGTATCTACCGTGACGATCCAACAAAATCACCGTAAGCATACAAAAATAATTGAATGAAACCTACCGCCAATCAATTTTGCAGCTTCTATGTTGAAGCTACGCATCGCGGGGAGGAAAAGATGTTAGCATGAACCCCATTAGGAAGGAAAGGACTGACAGTCCAGCGTAGTCGGAGGGCTTAATGTAGGCCCAGTGGGGTACCAGGGTGCCGGGGGGGATCAAAGATGCTTTGTATTCACCCTCCACCGTCGCAATGCCGGTGCAATAAATTGTCCAACCGGGATAACTAGACTGCGCATTAGACAGAGTGATGGTGTAGAGACTAATCAACGCACGATCCGTATGTCCCGTTCTGGCATGCGGCACACGCCGATAACAGCTGGTACACTATCGAAGTACAGGTGCCTGTCGAATGTGGTTCCGGGTTTCAAAATCTCAACAAAATCGTTGCTGGAGTCGAATTAACATACAGATGCTTGGTTCATTGCTCGTATTTGGTTGCGGGACTTTGTCGTCTGGTGAGCGCGGCGTCGTGTGAATCATTCTATGTCTTACCACCGTAGTGGCCGCCTGCAGGAATGGCGGACACGGACCATCCTAGTGTTATCGAGAAGAGTCAGTCATCCACACGAAGGATGTCAAGTTAATCCTTGCCTCCAGCACACCCGGCCTGAAGTTCCGAGACGACTTTGCAAGGACTCTTTCTAATCATCATTCGAGGCGCTGGCGCTTGGCGAGCATCTCGTCATTGACTTACCCTGCACTGTTGAATGACTGAAAATTATTGAGCAGTTACTCAGTGAGGTGCAGCCTAATAATGCGTCTCACCCAGTCCCAGCCACTCATACAAGTCGCATTGGTCTATAAAATAGGCATCAATTAATCATACACTCGACGCTTGTCAAATATTTGAGTAAGGTCAACCTCTGTACATACACTTTGTGCTGATGCCCTACCACCTCCAAGGGGTAGAAGAAGCATGAAGAGGATAGCACCCTGGCGGAGGAGCGAAGTAGCCGCAGAGAGCCCAAGTGAGCTTTGCGCTTGCACGATCGGTCCTTTGAGTGAAAATTGCATTCCCGCGATCTACCACAATACAACCCAGTATGACCCTAGTGTGACCCACGGGTAGGATCGATCGGATTACAAGGCACCAGAAGCTTCAGGCTAGCCTCCAAGGCTCAGATGGGTGCAAACCGCACGACGCTTATGTCATGTCATCGAAATTGGCCGGATAATCGGCACCTGCCGATTTTTGAGTCATACCTGCCAAGAGCGTGCTTGGCAACACCCAGATGAGCGATCCCACCACCCGGAACCCACGATCCACGACCCATGCCGGACCTGCAGTCTGATAACAGCAACTGATCCCATTCATTCTATCCCGTCTGATATGGAGCCAAGCAATGGTTGTAAATATCCCCTACTCTGGCAATGTCTCTGTCACGACTTGCTTCACAATTTCGAAACGAGCAGGAGCATGATGAAAATGATGGAATTACTCGGACGATCGGGGAGTGCAAACTGGGGGGATTTGCAAATATTTTAAATACTGCAGAAGAACCCCGTGAAGGGAATGATCGAGCCTCAGGATGGTCACTGCATTCCTGATTGGGATGCAAGGGTGTACTAGACACACGTATTCGCGGCTTAGATCATGGGTCCGAAGGGACCGTGCTTGGTCCCGTCACAGAACTGTGCCCAGAGCAAAGCCAACTGACCCACCAACTGCACCTCTCATGTATGCCCCAGTGTTCGAGCCTCTGCCCTACTGTCACCTCGAGAAGTAGTCGTTGTCGTGGGAGTGGGTGGTAGGGGTGCTGACCGTGGAAATTGTGGAGGTTGTAGAGTTTAACACTGATCGTGAGAGTCATAGGAGTCGTGGAGGTTGTGGTGTGGAAGATGTCGTGCTCAATGGCAACAACCGCGAACTTTCGGGTGCGTCTATCGGAGCGATCCATGAAGTATAATAGGCATTTCAGGAAAAGACGAATGTTGCGCACCGCCAATTTGCTTCGCAATTTCTACGTTAAATCTGGGAAATACAAATGTCAGAATATATCTCCAACTGGGTGAAATGAACTCACAGTCCACCGTAGCTGGAAGGCTGAAGCGGGGCACAATAGTGCCACGAGGAATCAATGGCGGGTTAGACACGCCCTCCGAGGTCGAGATGTTGGTGCAGTCAATCGTCCATGCCAAGTACCTAAGTTACGCATTAGAGTCACCGTAGTCACTTGACACCCGAGATAAGTGCGCGGTCCTGGCATGCCCCACACGCCGACACCAGCTGCTGCTGAGCATACGAAAATAACGTTACGTTCTCACCAATATAGTCATATCACCATCCTGATTATCGCGAGTCAGTAGGTTCAGGAAGCGAACAACAAGCGCAAATCCGATCCTTACCTTCACTACATACTGCTTGAAGTTTTGACGCAACTTTACATAGGGTTTCTCTGGTAATCATTTCAACCTTACAGGGGGTTCATCGACAACTTCTTAAAGTCATTGACTCACTTGGCGCTTTTAACGCCTGGAGAAGTGAGGGATGTTTGAGCGACCCTGGAACAGACATAGCTCGATATCCCACCTACACAATTAAAGCTGGAGAGACAAGTGACATTCGACTGCAAGCGTAATGGATAACATCAATCCTCTCCCGATAAGGCTGGTTTTCAAAAAGACATACACATTACGCTAACACTTTGTCCGCTCCATACGCTAGAAAGAGCAAAGAAGCGTTTGACGGAAAATTCCCGCTACTCCGTAACGGGTCCTACGTTTTTTTCAATTGTTCAAACCAAGGGTCCTTTCTCTGCCCCATACAGTTCTATTCCGCTCGCTGCATGGCTGCAGTGTAAATTACGTGGTCCTGAAATCAGAGTTATGCGAGGTCGAATCTCGGGCTTCGTCTCAGCCAATAGCAACGTTGAGAGTGAACATGAATGCGAGGTAAGAGTAGCGGGATCTGCCGCTTCAGGCGGCGTTCCCCAGTTATTGAATCCATCGTGGCATCAGATGAGTGCGCTCGAGATTGAGAAGACGACGTCTTACTACATACAACACGTTCCGGAACCAGGAATCCTGAGCCCTAGAAGCTACTGTAGGCAGGTTCGACACTTGGTTCCTGGTTCTGGTTTTGCCTGTTGTTGAAAGGATGTGGCGTCTGGCTTGTCCCGCTGAACGTTCCTTCATTCCAGGAGTCATGGTGTTACATGTCCTCCGAGGTGGTCATGGCCGCGGAAGAGTTAATCACTCAGTACCCAGGCCACACCATGACTCCTGGAATGAAGGAACGTTCAGCGCAGACGCCATATCCTTTCAAAACCAGAACCAGGAACCAAGTGTCGAACCTGCCTACAGCTACCAAGGCCTAGGGAACGAAAGGAGAGACCTCGGTGAAGACATTTGGCCTTATGAATGTATTCAATTTGAGGAGTATTATATGGACAGGAGTATTGGTTTTGGAAGCCTGAGCCACGCCGATGTACCTGAGTCTATCGACCGCCTCATGAAACAACGCCTGTCGAGCGCAGACTGACCACTTGCCTGGAACCCAAGTACCAAATCAAAAGACGAGCCTTTGGATAAGCGCCTCCACGAGCCGACATACCTTGGCATGCCTTGGCGTGCCTCGCATGTGCTCGGCTCCAAATTTGAACGAGTTGCTCCGAACGGAGCAGAGTATGGGAAGAGGCCCAAATTAGAATGTCAAACACAACAATCTAGTTCGGTTCGGCTGATAGAGTGGTCGGATGTTCACACCGGTAGGAATTTGATTCGTCGTGAGGAGGTGCGCATGCATATGTGGATCGAGAATGTCACAGGCTTTCGCTCACCTCGTATTGTAAGCACGAACACACCAATCCGTGGCCTCCAGGACAGTGGAAAAGAGCGTCTGATGCCTACGACCGATCCTGGATGCACCAACAGAACCGACCCCCGAGATGAAGGTGATCTCACCTGCCCGATCCATGTGAATCGCGTGCGCTAAGTTTGAGAGTGCTCTCACAGAGCTCCAGTAGATGGTATTTGGTTGCCCCCAGTCATCACTGGTTGACAGGCTAACCATCAGATTCCGAGTACCGGAATCTCCTATCAAATATGCGCAGTCTGGCGGGGCGATCCTGACGGGGTGGCATAAGGTATAAAACTAGCCCAGGGGAAAAAGTGACGGAACGCAAAGGGAATAAACAACGCACGAGCGGGCTTCAGCAAGCGCGGGGGCAGTGATGTTATGGGATTGCAAACAACGGAACAACATTATGTAATCCATTCTGTTCTCGTGCATGTGGGTTTTGCCAAGAGAAAGGACTGAATTTGCGAGGTTGTGCATTCAGCCGGTGCCTTGAATTGCATAAAAGGCTTGATCGTTTCTCTCTGAGCTTGGAGGCCTTCCTCATCGCGCAGAGTGACGCCCTCACTTTAGAGGCCAATGCCGCAGGGGTGCTCGCCTCAGATAGGTTGGCTTCTCCGCCAGACCCTTATTTCCTTCGTACTCTTTCTAGTCCTTGGAGGCGAGGAGACATTAGCTCAGGATGTACGTACCTTTCACAGTTCAAGTACTTGAGAATTGTCCGAGTGGATCGACCGCACTGACTGGCTTTCGGAATTGACGCCTGCTTTGTAGACCAATGCAACCTGCCTCAGCAGCTGGAACTGGGTAAGAGCGTTATCTGGCTGCATCTTATGGAGCGCTACTCAGTAATCCTTTAGACATTCAATAGCGCAGGGTGAGTTAATGACTTGGGAATCGCCTACGCGCTTGTACCTCAAATGTTCGTCAGAAAATCGCCTTGCAAAGTCGCCTCGGAACTTCAAGGCGCGTGTGATGCAGGAAAGGTTATTTTAGTATGCCCAGACGCCCAGGTTTGATGTACAACAATAGTTGTTTCTACTGACCGAACCTGAGTGAACCTCTCTCTCTCGCTTCATTTGTTCTCGATGCTTAAAAACGGTTTCTTGGGTCTGACGTTAACGCCCTCAAAGCCAGGATTGAGCCTGACCCCGCTCCCATTCGGTATCGGAGAAAGCAGTGAATACATGTCCACCGTACTTCAGAGATTGCAGGGAGTAATGTCAATAAGCCCGCTGGCACGCATTGGGCCTTCAAGATGCCGCGCGGAGGCATGGGATTTGTACACAGAAAGGAGGCTGAGAATACAACTCGATGCTTCGTCTATCAACTCTGTCCACCGAGACGGCTCTCAATCCTCTACGTCTTTCCGTACTGCAATCCCACTTCGCAATGCTGATAGCCTGTGCCTACTATGTACAATGAGTCTTCGTAACCTATCCGCTGCAGATCATCCTTGACACTAGAGCGTTCGGGGTGAGATTTCAGTCCTAGGAAGAACCCCCCCCAGCTAGGTTTCCAATTTCCCAACTTGGGGGTGTTTCTGTTTTCAGCGTGGCCATATTTTAAAAGTTCGAAACTCTGTCCTTCATCTAGGTTCAACTTGATGATGACGCTTCTGGGCCCGGGACGTACTGGAATAAAGCCTGTGTCGACACAAACCATTTGCTTCTGTGGCGGGAGGATGTCATTTTGGTCGCATGCGCGTGTAGAGTTCGACAACCTAGGCTCTCACCCCACCTTTCCCTGATCCTGACAACTTAGCTTGGATGGCTCCACTGACATGTTTATCTATGCTCCCAATCTCGCCGGATGGAGTTCACCCCTGAGACACCGGATGCGGCTCTAACTACCGGTCGAGCAAGGATTGCGCAAACTATTCTCGGGCCCGACCTCTGATACCCATGACTATCGAGTGAAAAGTTCTTACACATTGAATCATACAACTACAGAGTTGGGATTATGTCGTTCTTCCTGTGGACGGTGAGGTTGTATATTGGTACATATGAGGACCGCACCAGCAGTACAATTTACAGAAGGCCATCACTCCCCGGGGTCTACTCACTTGGTCTGATTAACACCATTTCCCTTCAAGATCCACTCTGAAGCCTTCCTAGCTTGTTCCTCCTGTTGTTCCTTCGTCAATTCACTCACAGCGGGGCGTTTCTCAGGTATGTTAAGGCCTGCCTGAACACCTGGACTTGCGGCAATTCTATCGAGCCATTTCTGTCGATGGACTCGTTAGTCGTGAAGGAATGAAGAACAACGTGAGACGTACGGCGAGGTTAGGGAAATCATCGAGGTTATCGATGCCCGACCATGCCCAACCTTTGACCCTATTCCAATGTTCAACAATTAATTAACGCTATCGACTCCTTTAGGATGACGATGACAGGCAGAGTTGGACGTACCAGGGCCAAACGTTGATATCAGCAATAGAATATTTCCCCTTCCCAGATCCAACTAGATAGTCTCGACCTTCACCTTGGGTCAACCTGGCCTCGAGGACGCTATAAAGGCGTTTCGTTTCGGTTATATAACCTGGGTGGATTAATTTCCCAGAACGGGAATGGTAGCTTGTTTACTTTCACGGAGGCGAAAGAGAGTGAGGGAGGTGCACATACGGTTTATACCATAGGGGATTTTTTCAGGTGCATAGCGGTAGAAGTGATTCGCTTGGCCTGTTATCGAGCCAGGGGATTTAATGATAACGAAATCCCGACGATCTCCAAACACGACGAACCTTGCATCGGACCAACACCACCATGCTATATAAACAAACCCAAGAAGTTGCGTCAGACTATAGCGCGTTAACACCACATCCGAAAAAATAAACTCACAGCAAAGAATATCCACTGAAGAGCTTCAGATTCCTCATCTGATCCAATCTCAAAGCTGATCTTTCTCTCTGGATCCCATCGCTGAACGAGATAAAGAAGTATGGCGGCTGTTTCGAAAACGTTAAAGTGCGATCCGTCTGGGCGGTGGTGGGTTACTGCCGGAATTCGACCATTCGGGTTTATTTGAAGGTACCATGGTTCTTTCTGTTCCAATTTGCTGAAGTCCAGTTTCTAAATGGCAGGGGTATGGGAAATCGGAGGATACATAACGTGAACGTGTGCATACTTTGAAATCGTAGCTCAGTCCTCCATCGGGGTACAATTCTTTGAGAGCCTCTGTGAGATGTAAGAGAAAACAGAAAAATCAGCGCTCGCAATCGCCACACAGGCCAGCCCATCCGCACCAAGTGCTATGGAGACTTTGTGGCCATTAGGGGTCGGAGCAGTGTAAAGGGTCAAAGTAGGCGTCGACATGATCGAGCGAGTAGACAAGAGCCTAGCGAATGCGATTCGGAGCCTCGAAGTGCAGTGCAGGGTGAAGGAGCTTTGGGAGATTTCAAGGAGCTGGTCGTATGGAGGAGCAATGAAGGGCTTTGGGGGTCGTTTATATAGCAGAAATGTCATTTATCCACCACCATGTGGAGGTGTCGTGCATGACAAGAATGGGTCCCTTAGGCTGCCGGGTTTCGTCATTGCTGGTAAGATCAACTTGAGGGATGAGCCGAGCTGGAACTCATTCCGGAAATCATGCACACGTCGCCGCCGCACCCTGCTGGTTATGAGAAAATCTGAATTGACGCAGAGGTGGATTCGTAAGGCATAAAGAGATGAATAAGGATTCATAATATTTGTTTGGGAAAATGACTAAGCGTATTACAGATACAAAGTGTTCTCGAACTGAATATCTAATTCAAGCAGCAAACTGGGAAATGAGAGGATCGCTGTGCCTTTGGGACGCTCAGACGTTGGACCATTCGTGCCTCGGAATGATGTCCGAGATGGAAAGAGCATCACGTAAAATTCTATACTAATCGAAGCTGGTAACCTGCCTAGATGAAGGTCCTAAATAATTGCAACGAACCGTGGACGGTGGTACAGAGGAAAACAGTAACGAAGGGAAGCCGGAGGGCAATGAAGATGAGGGCGGAAAGACGATTTGTTCATCAACGATCGCCTTGACGGAAGGATTGGACCAGCGGAAAGAGATGGACTCTCCTAAGAGTGTATGGAGGAGTGGGATGATGAGCTGTTGGCGAGTCTTCGAAAGAAGGGAAGGGTTGTATCATATGTGCCGCCAGTGGATTTATATTGGCAGAGATTTTTTCCAGGCTGTTTGTAGGGTGGCAAACCCCAAGACCTCACGAAGTTCGTTCGTGGTGGTGAGGGAAATGGTTCGAATCGGTCAGGTCGAAGGGTGCCATGTTGGGGATGTGTGCCAAAGCCGAGCGCGGGCGTTCAAGTCGTCCAAGTTAGAAAGTGAAGTAGTGCCAGTGACAGAAATCTCAAATGAAACGTGGCGGGTAAGGGCATCACCAGACGTGTCTTCGGGAACTAGAATGCCAGGAAGATTAGCACCCACAATCTCATCGAAACCAGAGAGGAGACAGATCGTACGGGACTTACCAAGTATGATCCCACCTTATCCTCCGCCACCGCATATGCCGTTAGTGCAGTCGACCAAGTTCCTATTCACGACTCCCCGATACAACTACTCAACCGCAACGAATCCACTTTGATCAATGATCTTCATCAGCGTCGCAACCGTGGGTACTTCCACAACAATCCTAACAGCAATGTCCTGCATAATTTCTGAAGCGCATCGAAGTCGGTAGTTATTCGACGGCCGATAGAGTCTAAGCGAGATTTCCTTTCGTACGCTAGAAGGGACCGCTGATGGCGCTACTGGTGGAAGGGATGACGGTTGCAACAGCTGCCCATTGGGGTGTAGCGAAGCGTTCCGAGATTACGCACGGTGGGATAACGACAGTGAGAGTTCAGAAAGAAGACTGGCAAACGAAGCCAGGGGCGCGCAGCGATATGGGCAGGGGCAGGTTGGAAATGAATACACCTCTAAATGCACCATCAAGTCGGTGTTAAAAAAAAAGGAAGCTAGAGGCCTTATCGATTAGTCGTGGTGACGTCCGGGGTGCCAAGGAATCAGTGAAGGTTCAGCCTAAATGACATGATCTCGCGTAGCGTGCTCCAAGGAATTCAGGGTAGTAAGCAGTATGGTGTGAGGTTGTCAGAGAAATGCCGAGTTCGCCGAGTCGAGGTCGACATCCGAGGGTTGGGTTGCCTGCCATACCTTGACGTCACCACAACTCAATTGACATTACACAACCTCCGTCGAATCATCCCTCTTGTATTCGGATGGATCAAATCAAAGTTTGTTGTCCCTTACGTATTGGAGGTCGATATCCCCAAACGCAGTTCAAGTCCCCAACTTATCACAACCCTGGCACAATGCACTAGACTATGTCAACTAGTCGGCTTCGTCTTTTCGTTGCACCAGCATTCGTCGTCCATCCAAACCTCGGCGTCATCACCTATGATGATATGCAGAAAAATGGGCCAGTACTTTGGCGATGAGCAAGCAATGGCAGGCAAAATGGTTTAGCTGAACAAATGAACACCCGATATAAAAAATTGTAAGATACGACCCTGGTCTGTTATGAGTGTAACGGCTAGCAAACTCTGTGGAGGTATAGTCAACAGTTTCTAACAAAAAAACTGGGATAGAGTTGTCAGTGTTCTCGAGTTGAACACCCCCTTTCATGCATGCAGCATGAGCATTATGGTGTGGTTGGCCCATGTCGGGAAATGGAAATGATAAGCGGAATGGGGAAGACCAAAGAACCTAGGCCACTCAATCGCGGACCATTAGTGCATCGAAATGACGCCCGAGATTGGAGAGTGCGGTACGGAGATTGTTGAGCGAGTGAGCCAATCCTGGAGCATGTGCTCCTGGGTTAACAACAACTAGCTGGCGCCAGATTTGAACACATTCTTCAATGGATAGGAGTGCCTCCGAGTGCCGTCCGAGACTGGAAAGAGTTGCATATAGATTGTTGAGTGACGTGGCCAAACCTGGGGTGTATGATCCTGGGTGAACAACAACTAGCTGGCGTCGGAGTTTGACACTTTCTTCGATGAATGGGAGCGCCTCTGAGTCCCGTCCCAGATTGGAAAGAGCATTGCATAGGCTGCCGAGTGACATGGCCAAATCCGGGGTGTATGATCCTGGGTGGACAACAACTAGCTGGCGGTAGAGTTTGACGCTCTCTTCGATGAATGGGAGTGCCTCTGAGTGCCGTCCAAGATGGAAAGAGCAATACGTAGATTATTGAGTGACATAGCCAAATTCGGGGTGTATGATCCTGGATGAACAGCAACTAGTTGCCGGTAGAGTCTGACGCTTTCTTCAATGAATGGGAGTGCCTCCGAGTGCTGTTTGAGATTGGAAAGTGTGCATATAGATTGTTGAGTGATGCAGCCAGATCTGGGTGTATGATTCTGGGTGAACAGCAACTAGCTGGCGTCGGAGTTTGACACTTTCTTCGATGAATGGGAGTGCCTCTGAGCCTGTCCCAGATTGAGAAGAGCATTGCATAGGCTGCTGAGTGACCTGGCCAAATCCGGGGTGTATGATCCTGGGTGAACACAACTAGCTGGCGGTAGAGTTTGACGCTCTCTTCGATGAATGGGAGTGCCTTCGAGTGCCGTCCGAGACTGGAAAGAGTGCATATAGATTGTTGAGTGACTTGGCCAAACCTGGGTGTATGATCCGGGTGAACAGCAACTAGCTGGCGTCGGAGTTGACACTTTCTTCGATGAATGGGAGCGCCTCTGAGTCCCGTCCCAGATTGGAAAGAGCATTGCATAGGTTGTTGAGTGACCTGGCCAAATACGGGGTATGTGATCCTGGGTCAACAGCAACTAGCTGGCGGTGGAGTTTGACGCTTTCTTCAATAATGGGAGTGCCTCCGAGTGCTGTCCAAGATTGGAAAGAGCGCAATATAGATTGATGAGTGACTCGGCCAAATCCGAGGTGTAGATCCCGGGTCCAGAGAAACAAGGCCACGGCAGAGCATAATGGAATCGTTCGCTGCCTCATAAGCCTCCTGGAATTTTGAAAAGAATTCCAAATTCTTGCAAGCTGGATAAGCTCATTAGCCAATCCACGGACGGCATCCTTGGACCGGTGCTCAACAGCCTGCTAGAAGATCATGAGGTAGTTTCATTAATACAATTGATAACACATGCCTTAGCCCACTTGGGTAGTGACGAGATACTAATGTAGCCCTCCATTCTCACACAAACTTCCACCCAGTGAGTTGCTTCCTGAGTGAGAAATACAGCAACTGACACAGCAAGCCCCTCCTCCGGTTCCTGGACTCCACTGAGGTGATGGACAATATGGCGACATGCATAATGAAAGTGCTCGGATAACTCCTCTCGAGGAATGCGCGGCATTTCGTCTTTTTCGGACAGATTTTCAATTAGTCCTAAGCCCTTTACAGAGGAAAGATCCTGGTTGAGAATCTCGGTACATCGCAGGGCAACCCTGACATTCTCGGTCTTCACATCTATTGAACTGCAACCAAGGCCGATTGATCGGGGGTCGATTCGATCCAGAATAAAGTCGCGGAAGGATTGATGTAGGATGCGAATCGGAATGTGAGGGTTCTCAACTCCTGAGAGGAGAGGTGCAAGTTCGGCTAACGTATATCGAACAGAGGATTTCAAAAAAGGTAACAAAATCCTATCCCAGCTTGCGATGGACAGAGGCTGCTGTGCAATGAAGATTGCTCCCACCACAATCGGGTAGTCATGTACAAAACCTTCAATCTTCCAATTACACCTCTTCAGAATGTTTGTGTACAAGCGATCCATCATTTCCTCAGCAGGAACCTTTGATCGTTTGGCACTGGTGTCAAGCAGGCTCTTTAGTGTCATCATAGGATCCTCGCTGGTCGTCTTCATGTAGCAAAAGATGGTGCTGATCCAGATAAACAAACCATTGGCACGTTCCGAGATCTCCTGTACCGATTTATCTTCGTCCTGAAGATTATGGCGTAAATCCGGGTGTACTTTCCTCAGCTTTTGAAGCTGAGAACGTATGTATGCAGCGCAGTCCTGCATGTTTGTCTTATCCGAAAGATCAATAGTGAGACGATCGATAGGGTAATTGGGGGAGAGGAAGCGATTCACGAGATCAAATTGTCTCGATGTGATAAAGAATTTAATGGAAGATGGTAGCTTAGGCACTTCCTCCCCAAGTGTTTCAGCAAGGGGCTCAAACGCTTCTTTGTCACACTCGTCTAAAGCATCGATGATGACCACCATAGGATGGCTGGGAGGCGGAGGTTTGTGGAGGAGAGGCGAAGCCACCAAATCCCTGAATTGCTTCGCAAGTGGAGCTGTTGAGAGGGAAGAGTCTTTTCGAAGAGCAGAGATAATGCAAGTGCGGTAAACCGGGTCATGTTCTGCCAGAACCCGAGCTATGCCGCTGAATAGAGAATCGGGCCGTGACCGTTCGCCCGCTTTAAAGAAGAAGTGCAACAATAAGGTAACGTCCTCTTCGCTCGCACATCGTTCTGCTATCGTGAGTGTAATCGAAGTCTTGCCGGCACCGGCCACAGCTGTCAGTAGCATTAACCGGTTCTCATTCTCCCAGTGTTGCGGCACCATGTCATAATATGCTCGGTGAGATCCACCCTAGTGCCTTCTAGGCATGCCTGAGTGGAGTCATCGTGAGCGATATGAGGGAATCGGAGACTATCCAAGATTTTGTCATCCTGTAGACGACGTTCTATGGCCGCTAATTTGGCGCCGCCTATTAGGTTTGCCCTAAGCTGCATCGCCCGAAAATCAGAATGATTATGGAACGATACTGGAAAACCTACCTGAAACAATTTCAATGCTTCGTCAAAATCTTTCCTTAGGTCATTGATCCTTCCTGGGTCTCTCAAGTACGACAATGCATTCATGAAAGCCGGTCGTTTCTCCAATTTTTTCAGTCTTCGATCGATGTCGGACTTGATCTTCTGTAGCGCGCTAGGACTTGATGTGAGTAACGGTGTCAGGGACAACCAAAAAATAAATACAACTCACCCATCAAGCTTTGTGATACTCTCCACCCACGGCTTTGCCTCTTCCGCTGATGGATCGTAGGATTTTATGGCTAAAATCACCTCGGTCACAGTGTCGACTACGTGTTGACCAAAATGAACCCATTCCTTCTTGTTGTCCTTGAACTTCTAAGTACGTGGCGCAAACTAGTGTAAGCTTGCATTCAAGATCGGTCACAAATCATTGCTGACCTGAACCTCGTCGTAGATGGAGAGTGCACCGCCAGTCGCCATTTTTAGTGGGGGACACCAATCAGCCGTATTATTGACAACCCGGAGGATTGGGACCGCTATGGCACCACCCGCTACGAGGAGATCATCGATCTTTTGCCTGAGGACCTCAGCCTTTTGTTCTAATGACATGGTCGATAGCGGACAAGTGGACGGAGAGTGCGCAATACACGTGTGAGCCCCTGATACTCCGAGCCACGGGGCCCCGCCTGATTATGGAAGGATATGATATATGCATTTACTTTAGTAGAGGCTGGATTCTGCCTAGCATTTAGTCTAATCCGATGTCAACCGCGAATTCCAGCATGCGCGTTAGCATGACCCAGACTGGTTATGACAGCGAGAGAATTAGTACGACCCCTGCTTGCTGACTTATAGGACCTCATATGTAAGTCGTAATCATGCACGAGTTGCAGCGATCGCTTCGTACCGAGGGCCCACGGTAAGCGCCGCTGTGGTTTCACGACGGTCATCCCGTTCCTCAAGGGGAGCGATTAGCTTTTAATTAAGCTCTTAGGATGCAGGCAAGTGGGTGTCGGCTGTACGTCAAAGCTTGCCATTTTTCAGCTATCGTTTTCTGGAACCCAACTTCCCTTTCCTTTTGATCAAGCGCCGCTCTCTAGAACTGCACCCTGAAAGCTCCATGGCCCCACTGCATGCGTGTCCCGACCATCCCATGGCGCCTCGACCCATTCAAGTTGGCGGTGAGGCTGTTTTCGTGGCGCTTGTGGACCCAATACTTGTTCTACTTGTTGTGCCGTGTCATATTCGATCGTGCTCCGGTCACCACTAGTCGGGGTGATTACCCGTCGGCGAATAAATTGGCCTCCACAAGTACTTCGACTACTTCCCAACACATTGATATATATAATAATAATCTCAACTAATATAGCGCCGCTGTGCCACGCGATTTCAGCGCAGGTTGGCATTCCTAGCGTCTCATCATGGTCGTCCCATCCCTCATCGTAGGGGCGCGATCGGCTTTTATTTAAGCTTTTATGATGTGGGTGTCGGCTGTGTGCCAAAGCTATCCGGACAGTATAAAAAGGCTCACATTTTTAGCTATCGTTGAAGTCATTTTCCCCTAAGCCAATGTATCCTCCTTCCTTTGACAGCGAAAGCTCCACTCTACTTGCACACCGCAAGCATCCCACGAGGCTGCGATGGGGCTGCTCCAGTGCCGCTTGTGGGCCAACACTGCCCTTGCATTGTGGCCGGCCCCGATGCGTCGGATTCGATCGCACTCTGGTCACCGCTGGGGTGATCGACCACCCATCGGTGAATAAGATTGGCTGCTACGTATACAGTGTATTCAACTACTTCCCAACGCATTGATAGAAGAATAGAATCTCAACTTGCTCTATACATTACAGCAAATGTCGACGATGGAAAGTGCATGAGTAAGCTAAGCTTCCCTAGTACCACATACCCTGCATCCTAGATGTGCCAGCCGCTTTGCCTTCGTTCCCCCGCCATCCAATCGTACACTGCATCGACCAATAATAGTGCCAATACCGAAAAATGAGTTTTAGGGACGCACGCCTTATTGCCGTATCTAAATATTACGGAATAAAATCATTTCAAGTCCGGCGAAACAGAGCGGGACTCAGCCTCAGGCTTTGAGAACTGAGAAAAAGAACGAATTAACACTGGTATCGAGAATACAAGAAAAGGGAAGGGCAGATTGACAATAACCCAAGTAGACCTTCGGTCACCGCTGCTCCGATGGAATGGTGCCATGTTCAAGATCAGATCAATATTTCACCCGTGTGCTCGCCGCAATAACAACAACGATTGGCCAGCAACGAACGAGAAGAACAAACACTCAATGATCAAAGCTTGAGTGCCTTAAGAAGTCTCGGCAAATCAGGCGTTCCAAACCCAGTTGCAGGGTCCCAACCTCTCGTCGCATTGAACCCCGTCGTTCCACAACCTGGGTTGCTACCTGTAGTGATGTCGTTCAGGATGCCCGGTCTGAGAGTGTAAATCCATGGGTTGCTGCCCATGTAGAGCGCGGCGCTTCGGTAAACAGGTGCTTGAGGAAGGGAGAAACAAACAAACGTACAGAAATCCGAGAGGTCCACGACCTTTGGAGAGTAGAGCATCGTTTAGGAGCGCAATCTAAAACGTAAATACACCTCGTTGCTTAAGAATAAAAAAGGGAATGGAACTCACTATCGCAGCAAAAGTAGGTGTCGAAGCGCTCGTACCCGAGACACGTATGACTTTCCATTGATACACGATAGGATACCGATAGCCCCTGCACAGAGGATGAGTGAGAACCCATCAGATCAAGCGATCCCTCGAGGATGAAGGAAACCAGACGCAAAAAGAAACGCACTAAGCCGCAACATCAGGATAGGCTCTCCCATTCTTGTTGAACAATCCTTCATACGTGCTGCCGAGTGTTTTAAGGTATCTCGGTATTGCACGGTGTTGGTACATGGGCGGGGGAAGTAATCACTAAACCCCCCTCCGGAGAAGCGAACTGTTGTTTCGGGAATTTGGTACGTCGCCCCGACAGTCGTGACGCTTCAAGCAGCACGACTTAATGTTCAGCACAGATATATGAAAAATACATAGAAAACTCACTATGGGCACCCACCAGGGAAGATAGGCACGAACCTATTGGGGGTGAAACAAGCTCCTGTTTCCCCCACGCAGCCTACACCTCCATCGCCCGAGGCATGCAGAGCGCTAATACCCCGCGTCCCCAGTGCAGCGTAAAGCTTGCACACACGTCGGGCGTAGTTGATCGGAACTGTATCCTCATCCTCACCTTCATATAATTTCGAAAATTCCGCGGTCCCCACATGAGTGTTAGAGTGAAATTTTTGGGTTCAGGGAAAATAGGATGCAGAGACTCACCATAACTGGTAGTCAACACTTGAGGAAGATCCTTCGTTTTCTTCCTGAGGAGGTAAGTGAGAAAAACGTCGTAGCTGTGGATTGTGATAATTTTAGTTGATTCATATGAATACGGGTTTGGCATCCGCTCACGGTTCATTGCCGTTATCCTCATAGCTGATGCTCCGGTTCGTATTTGGCCGCGACCATATGTACTGTAGAATACGAATTAAGAAGAAATGGTGTTACAATAGTTAAAATGGTACTGATTTAAGCTGCACGTACTTTGCTTGACAGGGTACTGCCATCAAAACAGATTTCAAGGGGTGATTGAGTAGCCCGGAATCCCCATTGCGCAGAGGTGAGGTAGCTCACCGAGATCCCTCCCGCGAATTGGACATCCAAATTCTGTGAATTTAAAAGGAACACCAAAAGACCAAGGGGTTAGTGTTCAAATTCTATACGTGAAAAGGAAGAGAAACAAGAAAAGCGGAGAAAGTGGGAATGGAAGAAGCGAGATTCAAAGGGACTTACAGCCTCGATGCCAGCCTCGGAAATGTTCTGAGAGTTGATTGCTCCTACGTAACAGCGAACAAGAGAGAGAGAGAGAGAAGTATCAATGTTTGCTTCGATGATAACGAAATGCCACAACGATGAACTTTACCGTTGATAAGCTCTACATGGAGAGTACTCTTCAGTGCTGGACGATAGAAAAACTGTTTAAGGTCAGCAAGGTTCGCATATTGCTCGAGGTACATAAAATGAGAAAACATCATATTTTAGTTTATACAGTTTTCTAATGGGGGTTCCGAGAGCGAGACAATTAAGATGTGATGATACCTACTCGGTGATACCGATTGAACTTCGCGTTCCTTTAGCCTTGTACGCATCGGTGCGATAGAGCGTTTTGAGCTCTGGGAGCGACATGTTTGGTTGTGGTACTGGGGCTGGGGCGGGACCGCTTTGCTGGTTGAAGGAGCCATCGTCAACTATCAAAGATGACAAGAGAGGTCGACCAGAAGGGAAGAAGTTCGTAGGCTGAACGACGTCGATATGGTCGTGAAGGTGAGCAGGAAGACTATATGATGTTGTGCGAATCGCAGTGGTTCGCATATATTGAATAGGTTGTGTCGAGAAGTTTCTCTGAATTTCAATGGTGGTCTTGAGTGAGATCCAATCATTTGCGGGTGTTCGAGCGCGTCACCTGTGATATCTATGCCGTGCGCGATAAGGAAAGATTCAAGGAGGATGATACTGTCTGAGTGAGGAGCGGAGAACTTTTCGACCTCTTCTTTGGTCAAGTGCTCAGTCCATCGGGGGCTGGATCGCTTATTTCAAGCAATGCGGATTCAACCTGGTGAAAGTAAGGTTGGGCGAGCCCAAAACGGAGAGTGATGGGAATGTGAGGCGAAAGAGTGCCATGGTGGAACCATCCCCGTGGCAGTCGGATCAAGCTCTTCTCGACAAAATGGTGTGCTGGAAGTGCGATGCACACTCGAATCAATAAGGGGGGCGCAGAAATGAACAACGCCAACGAGGGAACCATTCTGAGATATTTTCTGCTCAACTGCTCAAAGACTGAAAACGGGGTTGGGGGACACAGGCGCATTGCAGAGAGGCCAGATGCGATCCTTGAATCCACATTGTGGGTGGGGAAGAATAGCCGGATGGATGCCTCTGAGGAACATCTTTGAAGGGAAGCAAAGTGACTTCCCCGCAAGAGGGAGGTGCAACTCCTATACAGTTCGAACGCCACAAAGTGGATGAGGAATCAAGAGGGATCGCTGACGATGTGCCAATGCGGAGTGATCTAGATATAAAGCTAATGTAGACTGCATAATGGACGTATATAGCACACAATATGTGATACGCTTAATTCTTCTCTGCCATAGGCAACCAGTGACCAGCCTCTATGGTCTCCGTCATGCACGCGAGACTCAACCGATTCCAACAAGATCATATTGGACAGACGGTACGAGGGCGGGGCTGAGCTGAGACCAATGCATCACACGTTCGCCTCGACTCTCCAGCTCAAAAGCGAAGGACTCAGAGTGTCAGAAAAAGAGTGTTGGTATGGCGAGGTTGGGTGTTGGAATATTTGGAGGGACTGGTAGGTGGATTAGGTTTAGAACTTGAACCGCCCAGTCCTGAATTTGTTCCTTAGATATGTTTCGCCACTCGCCCAAGATTGAAGTGCGTCTCAAAAATTACGTAAATATCCTCTCCTTTCAACTTTCCTGCACGATGTCTGCGTGCTCGGGAAGCGTTCACTATACTCCAAAGAGCTTAGAGCATCTGGCGAGAAGAGGAAAAGCCAGGTTATGTGACACGAATTTATTTAATTTATTCCCACGGCCACAAGTCGTTCGACATCACTAATATCCTACACTCCAGCGCCACTTTATATCCTCCAGCTGCGTGTGTAAAGGGCCTCAACGTTTTTACTTACCAAGAACTTTTCTGTGGCTCGTTTGTTCAACAACACCGCACGGGTGCTGAAAAGTAAGCACAGAAAAGCACAGAAGCCGCGAATGCTGCCGGCCTCTCATACCAATCGGCCCCTTGTACACCTACCACCCGGGGTCACCAGCCGACTCCGTCATCCCTCCACTCTGGTTTTCCGTTTTCTTGCACTGATGCGCCTGGCAGGCATGAAGAATTGCTCTGCCTTCTATGTCCATGGGCAACTGCGCCGAGATTTGGAATATTCTAGGTATTTATTTGTTCGTAGGATGTAGGAGGTGAGGCTCCCTTAATACCTTGCTGTGGCGTCTCCGTGTTCGAGAGTACCTCTTACATATCGATCTGTATGACCCAGCTCATTCTAGCTACAAGCGTAGACCTTTTAAGTTAGCTGGTTCCACTGAATGCGCATGCAGTTGGTTAGCATGTAACCTTTTGAATCGATCGATCGATCTGTCGATGATTGCTTAACAATGCCTGCGGCTGGCCTAGCTTCTACTGGTTAACTCAAATATCGCTGAGACGCCAAGAGGATATTGTACTTTGGTACTCTAAACGACATTGGCTAGCTTTGTCTCACTGTACTCTCGTTGGCAGAATGCTTGTGCTCGACAGGGGCCTCTTTCGAGGTGGTATGTGTATAAAATGAGCGCCGCCAATGTCAATTGGTATCAGGATGGATTTTGTGAAACAGCCCCAACAATTGTTCTATCGGGCTAACCCTATGCCGCACTCAACGTCTATGTCTCATTTTTGCTCCTTGAGTCCTGGAAACATAGAAGAAAACTCTCCCGTCGTTACCATCTCCATAAATAACTATCACGAAGACTAGGATTGGATTATTCCAATGAATCGCAACAAGTGGGGACTCTAAAGAGATCGTACCCCCGTGAAGCTTTGGCTCCAGAGCCTCCCCCCCCTCTCTTAAAGCTCCGACCCCAGAGCCACTGCCGGGTTCAACTGAACCGCAGCAAGTGGGGACTCTTTAAGAAGTCTTTCACCCTAAGTCGCGTTGGAGCTTCGGATCCCAGAGCCACTGTCGGATTATTCCAATGAATCGCAACAAGTGGGGACTCTAAAGAGATCGTATCCCCATGAAGCTTCGACCCCAGAGCCACTGTCGGGATCGACTGAATCGCAACAAGTGGGGACTCTTAAGAGGCTTTTGCTGTGGACGCGATATACCCCCACCTCCACCCCCCCTCTTAGAGCTTCGACCCCAGAGCCACTGCCGGGTTCAACTGAACCACAGCAAGTGGAGAAGTCTTCCCCCTAAGTCGCGTTGGAGTTTCGGATCCCAGAGCCACTGTTGGGTTCAACTGAACTGCAACAAGTGGGGACTCTAAAGAGATCGTATCCCCGTGAAGCTTCGGCCCCAGAGCCACTGTCGGGATCGGCTGAACCGCAACAAGTGGGGACTCTAAGGAGGTCTTTGCTGTAAACGCGATACACAAACATCCCCCCACCCCTCCCCTCGGAGCTTTGACCCCAGAGCCACTGTCGGGTTCGACTGAACCGCGACAAGTGGGGACTCTTAAGAAGTCTCTGCCCCGGAAACAACGAGCAACTATCGCCCTAGATTAAGCAACTACCACACTAGATCGAGCAATGGATGCCTCTTGGAGCCCTCAACTGCTGAACCATGACAAGTCACAGTCCTCAAGTCTTCATCAGGCAGCTCTGAATGAGACGTCCACATGTGAACTTTTTGTCACTTCGACACCCTTCCTAATAACTTCAGACCATCCGTAACCTTGGGTCAGTGATGTGTTAGAGAATGATAGCAACCATGATAGACTTGCCTAAACCCCAGATCATCAGACATATAAAGATCGCTGCTCAAATCAGTATCGCTTCATTGTTTCTCGGATCGCCTGCTCCTCAAGATGTGACTAGTTCTAGGTACCAACAAAGATGTCCACAAGTGAGTGTTTCACCGATTGCGTATGTACACTGGTGTGAGGGTTTAAGAAAAACAGTGGAAAGCGATGCCAGCGAGCAACGGTGGTGCCGATCCAGCGTCTGTCTATGTTCTCTTTCTTTACCACATAGAGTTCCAGTGGAGGTTCCAGTTGATAACTGAGTTATCGGGGGTTTCAGGCAGTCTAGATACTAGATAGGCATCCACATGTGAGTTTTTGGCCAAACGCTGCAAATTCTATGTAATGCCAACAGATAAGCACCGCAGTAAATACCAGGGGAGTGCAGATTCGAAGGCGTGCAATGGCTATCGAGCATGCAAGACAGTGCTAAACATTGCGTCCGTCAATCACTTCCTTCTCAGCGGGCATTCTGATTGATGCACAAACACATGCAAGTACTTGACCGAACCCGGCCATACGCATTGTCAACAATGCCAGGAAAATGCACGTCTAGCGCCAGATCTAACTTCTGTCTTCTCTTGCATATAGAGTTCCAGTTGAGGTTCCAGTTGATACACTGAGAGAAAAGAATCCATGATAAAGTCAGGTTAAATGTGGACAGAGTTTTCCCCATAAACCAGGAGTTTATCTTGACCCCAAGCATTCATAAATCTCCGTTTTGTCACCAATTTGACCAGAATCGTGGCCAAAAATCCTGACTTGCTGGGGATTTAATCAATTTATCTGTATAAATTCACGATTGGGTCCTCGATACATCGACCCAGAAGTGGACTAATCCCCAGACCGAATCATTAACTATGGCAAACATAATCGGATTGAGCTTGGTATGAGTGCTACAATATTGTTCGTGGGATATGAAGCGAATGAAAGGTGGAGAGCGACTTCTGGTAGCGGTGAAGGAGAGAACGAAGGAAGGTCAGTTCGGAGGTTCAAACGCGACCACCACCAAGCTGTTCCCTGGTTCTTTAGTTAAGATGGGGAAGTGTACTAGTGTTATTTATTGTAAATATAGTACCAATCCGAGTGTTTTGGCTAATTCTATTTTTATGGGTTAGTTTTAAAGTTCCTGGGAATTGATTTACAGATAAACCGAGCCCTGCAGAGCTGTTTCTTTATTGGAATTTATTAATTTGTCTAGGTGTAATTCTGTGTAGCGTTGTTTAATTTGGATTTAAATTTGAATTTAATCTTCTACTTGGTGAAGTTTCAAAGATTCTATTCAGTTAATGAATTTGGATTGTGTCTGGAGTGTCCCTTGGGTTTATTTTATTTTTGTCTTATTTTATTGCTTGTTTTAACAGTAGCAAGATAACTGTTTTGTGTTTACACTTTGAAATCTGGAGTGTTAACCAGCTCTCCTGTTGAAATATCTACTTAATATTTCTCTCCTTAATTGCTGCCTTTTACTACAGTGGCAATCTTAACTGTATATCACTTTTTCGCACTGGAGTGACAACCAGAAATGCTTGAGAAAAATAATACTCTATTTTCTTACTTCTCTAAGGGGGGCGAAAAGTCACAGAAAGGGTCTCCCTTTTATACTCCTTGGGTCGCCTTCCTTTTTCACGCTCTACCTTCTATTTACAGGATTTATTTACAGTGTATTTTTCTCAAACTGAATAAAAATGAAATTTTCATGCTATAGTTCTACTGCGCTTTTGCTGCGCTGAACTGCGGTTCTACTGCAGTCAGACTGCGCCTAGAATTCTTATTGTCCTCCCTCGCCTAAGCTATTTTAATGGTTAATTGGAACTTGGCTGCGCTGCATTTGCCGCAGTTACCTATTTCAAATTCCCTATATATACCGTTAAATTTGCTATGACTTGATGATTCTGAATTCAAACTTCACATTACTATGCGTATGGCTGTGCTGAGACCTTCAGCTGATTTATTCCATTTTTATTTAGTGACATTTAGTTAAAATGAGACTGAAATGGTAAATGAGTGAATTATTCAGGTTTAAAACTGAAAGAAAAAGTTGCTAGTAGTCAAGAATTACTCAAACGAATGTGTTATAGCTCTCCACCTCATTAGAATATCATTCCCTAAAATTCCCGCCATGGTCTGTCGTAGTTTAGTGGTTTTCGTGAATTTCGTTCATATTCCCTGATTCCCTTTTGTATTATCACATCCTAATCCTCCATATGTATTGTTGGTTGTTATAGTAGGTCGTCCTTGAAGATATCATATTTTTATGTATTTTATTTAGGACTCTGGACCTCTTGAAGCTGTTTTCCCATGCGTTTTCAGGTTTCTAACTTCATGTCCCTATATCTCATTCATTTCTGGATGTTTTCTCACGTTCTTGGTATCATAAATTTTCATTTATTCCCACCTTTCCAATGGTACCAAGGTTGTGTCCTATTTCCTGGTATTCGTTGAGTTAGCAAAAGTTCGCGCGCACATTCGGTAATCACATGCATCATTCCCGCCGTTTCCGTTTAATTGTTCGGGATTTATGATATGCGTGGGTGTTTATTTCTTTCATATGGGCTTCTGTGATTTATTTCAGATTTTTCCCTCATGATCTAAGGTTGTTTTGCACTTTCCATGCTTTGTTTTGACTGGGCTCTTCCTTATTTGGACGGAAATTGGTCTTCGCGATCTGCCGAAGTGCGGATCTCGGTTCCGATGGCCGGTTCCCTGCGCATCGCCACCCTCACGTGTCATTACACATGATGTGGATTTCTATATTCCCGTCATGGGTATAACTTCACAACGGCTGGACTGTTTGGGCTGAAAATTTGCATAACTATAGTTCCCCATTTTTAATAATTTCCGTGTAAATTCGTTGTATGTTTTAATTATGGATCCTACGCAAACATCATCTTTTCCCTAAGCTCGGACTTTTGATGTCACTATTCCCGTTATTGGATATCTCATTAATGCATGATCCTTTTATTATGAAAATTTGGGAGGATTAAGATTGGATCCCTTCCTTTCTAATGGGCTATCAAGCTTGTCTCGGTCGTTACTGGTTAATCTTCGCGCTTCCCTTTTAGGCATTGTCCTCGTTTTTGCAGGAGTTTTAGTCATATCTCTGTTGTTTATGAGTAGTTTCCCCTGTAATTACTCTCATTGGGTCCGTTTGGTGGACATCTATATTTCCTATTATAAACACGACTTTGAATTTTGCATTAGTTCCTGAGGAATCCTTGTTCTGTGGTACTTCCATCCTTGGCTACGTGTGCGGACGTGGGAAAGTAGTTTCTGTGGAGGTTCTCTGATTGTTTTTATAGTCAAATCTAGGTCGATTGTCCTAATTCTTGGTTTAATATTTGCTATAAATTCCCCTGGGAATTCCGTCTCGTTGATGGTAAGCTTGAAGTATTTTTGCTATTTTTCTTTCTTTCGATTTATCGTGTGTAGTCATAATAATTCGTAAAAATTCGTAAAATTCGTTAAAATTCAGGTCCTTCTATTTTCTCATATCTACTTGTTGTATGAGGTTTTGTGATTTATCTGACATATTTCCATAATGGGTTTCCATAGCGTGGCCGTTATTTCTCCTACAGCAGAGGATCAAGATAATGAACAAATGGTACAAGAAAATCGTAAGCAGAAAAGAAAAGCCATGATGTTGGCTGAGATCGCGATGTGAAGAAGCATGAAGTCCGTTAACCTGGGAGACCTGGAGTGAGTCAGGCACAATGAGGCAACCAACGGTTGGCGTTACCGCATCTCTGACTGGAGCTCCTTGTCAGAGACCAGATTTTAAGACGAAGGAATGTCTCCGTAACGGAGGGCTTTGGCCTCAGCGACTTCTGCCAGGAGCGCTGTGCCTAGTGACACGTCCGTGCCCTAACTTACTGACTGGCACTTAGAACCTAGTGGGGGTAACTCTAGTTGATTTATTTGCTGGGGCGTAACCTATGTACAAGTAGTGTATATATATGGTTACAGCGGAGGCGGTTCCGCAATTGGCGGAGCCGGACGGAGCGGAGCTAACGGGGTTAAGACATTAGCCGACTGAATATTACCGACGAGTCGGTTCGCGGGGTTAGCGGAAAGGCAGGCGTTAACCCAGAAACGGAAAGGAGGGATAAGCCCGAAGGTGGACTCTGCAGGGCAGGCGAGTGTATTGCCCAGCGGAGGCGGGAGTGCGCTAGCGGACGTCGGAGCTGTCCGGAAGTCTTCGGGGCTCCGTACTTAGGGAGGCGTAGGTAATAAATTGAAATGAGGGGGTGGTGGTCATCGAGGGGCACCGGGAGGTTAGCGGAATACGGGGGCTCCGAGGTTGGTGAGGGGGGAGCGGAGTGAGGACGGAGGGGTCGGAGAGCCCGGGAGTCGATGGCCGGGGATGGATATGACACTCCTCAGGCTTGCACGTCTGCGCTTTCCCTGTTCCTCATCGCCTCCTTTCACGCCCGAGCTCCTCAGACTCGCACGTCTACCACTGTGTAGTGGATCATCCCTATGAGTACCTGGAAATTATTCGTGAGCATCGAGTCAAGAAGGAAAAGCTTGAATGCCTTTTCGCGGTTTGGCATGAGTGCGATTGCTGTCCAATTGGTTACCACGGATTTGCAAGCGAGTGCTGTTGGGTTCCACTCTGTTCTCCCCAACGATAGGTGTGGTTCTTTTCGGAAGGGCATGAGCTATTCGAAATGAGTGTGCTGAACGAGTGGGTGAAAAATTTACTTGCGTTTTGGTCGCTGCACTACAATGAGAGTTGGCGAACTGCAGATGGAAAGAAGACCAATGACTTACTTTTGGCCAGACTCCTTCCCAGTCGCTCACATGATTTCTCCGAGGTTTAGCCGCAACTTACGTTGCCTCCGAAATCTGTCGAGCGACTGGTACAACTTGCAACACGTGATGTTCCCACGCTAAGTTGTAATGAGTTGTACATAGGTTACGGGATATAATTTTTAGTATTTACGCATGTGGTCATTGTATCCGACCCAACCCGTGGAGACTAAGGGAGCACATCCAAGGTTGTGAAGATAATATCCGGGTGTGCGCGAAGTTTAAGAGTTTATATATTACTCAGTTGCCAGTCACTTGTTTGTGCCGGGTGGCATAAGTGGTATAGCGCTAGCTGAGGCTATGCGGTTTTTTTAAGTGGCACATGTTCGATTCTCACTTAGGAAAACTTTTTTCGGGCCCTCCCATGGAATAATTGTGTGAAATGGTTGTTTTCTGTGCACTAAGGAGTGGAGGGTATGAAAAAAAAAAGTCCCCTAAGTGAGAATCGAACATGTGCCACTTAAAAAAACCGCATAGCCTCAGCTAGCGCTATACCACTTATGCCACCGGGCACAAACAAGTGACTGGCAACTAAGTAATATATAAACTCTTAAACTTCGCGCACACCCGGATATTATCTTCACAACCTTGGATGTGCTCCCTTAGTCTCCATGGGTTGGGTCGGATACAATGACCGCATGCGTAAATACTAAAAATTATATCCTGTAACCTATGTACAACTCATTACAACTTAGCGTGGGAACATCACGTGTTGCAAGTTGTACCAGTCGCTCGACAGATTTTGGAGGCAACGTAAGTTGCGGCTAAACCTCGGAGAAATCATGTGAGCGACTGGGAAGGAGTCTGACTTTTGGCTTGAAGTGTGATAGACATAGGCATGTCCTCAGCCTCATCTCCACTATGCGTACTTTGTTGACCATTATCGTCATTGTCGCTGCCATTGTTGTCCTCGCTGTCGTTGTCATCAATGTTGTTGCTGTGATGGCTTATGCGACGACGGCCTATCCATCCCAAAAGAGTCTGAGTTAGTCATTGAACACAAACAAGCGTTACTTGCGCTTAGGAAGAGGATCGATGTCTACAAGATGTTAGAAATTGCAACAAATTGAGAACAAGTCAACTTCGCTCACCTTCATCCGTGAGAGCATCATCAATGTATTTGTTCTTTGAAGGGAGATGCAAGCGGATTCTTGATGGAACTTTGCATTCTGAACGAAGGCGTTAGCACGGATGTCGTGAGTGCATTGATTGATCAAGGAAATACTCTTGGCCCGATGGTTGTCTTGGGTGTGATGTCTCGTCAGACTGGTCGCGGATGACCCTATCCTCGTCGTCCCTATTTGGTTTGCTGCATGAATGCCAGATAGAGAGGAAATGTTGGTGATACTCACCTTTCCCTCGTGCTTTTCCAGTAATCCCTTGGTTTCCCACAGCCTTAGCATGGTAATCATCTGATTCGATTTGGTCATCGTCTGATTCAGTGTGGCCCCCATCAAATTTAGTGCAGCTGTCGTCCGATTCTTCGTCTGATTTGGTGGGGTCATTTCCATGGTTGCCCAGTTCAGTGTCACTCTCGATGGCGACATTGTCTATAGCAGTATTATTCTGGGACACACGAGGAGCTATGCACTGTAGTCCTGGGATCCATTTAACATTTTCACCTGCATGGGATGGCGGAATAGTTGTTTAGCAGTGGTCCAGCAAGCGTATTGAATCACCTTTTTGTTTGGCCTTTCGTCAAAGAACTGTTTTACAATTCTCTATCGCTGTCTTGATTAGCGCTGGAATAGGCCAGCTTTCTTCATAATTCTGTTTGATCCAGGCATGCTCAATAAGGATCTGCATGATGCAAATAATCAGTGTGCTATAATGATGAGGAAAGTGGATTAAATAGGCTCACTTCATCTTGAACTATTTTGAGCGTTTCAATGTCGATGGCATTGTATCTTATCATGCCTTTAAGGTATGGCCCCCCGATATTTGCGTGTAGGGCAGATCGAACGGATTCCTGATATTTAGTTGTCAAGCTGCAGTATCGCGTGAATTAGAAGGCCTCAGTACTCACTCATACAGTGTTCATATCTTCTTTCGTAATGCTCATTTCCTCCATCAGACAGAAGCCATGATTGAGACGATCTGCGTGACCCTGTGGCCATGGAATTTGCTCTTGGACATGGTTTTGATGCACTGAGTGCAAAAAAATATATCAGAGTAGCCAACGTGGAGAGGCTACTGCGCTTACACGTGTCAGCATCCTTCCGGAGGCCTGGAGGATGCGATTGTAGATCAACGTGTTTGAATGTGAAAATAGAGGGAGACTTGCCTTCTAGCACCTTCTCGAGCTGTTCTTTTTCGCATCTGAGGGAAGAAATCGTGCATTTTTGAGTTCCAGAATGTGGCATGAGAAATGGTGCGATGGTGGAGCGTAAGAGGCTGGTCACCTGGGCAGATCGTGTTTGGTCTAAGTTGAATTTGTTCTCGTCTCAAACAGAACCAAATATGCCAAAATAACACGTCTCAAGCACCTGCAGCTTCCATTGGTGTAATTTCCCCTCTTGCTCAACTGTTTAGCTCTCTGAGAGGTGGGACACATCTGGGTACTTTTATCAAACATTTTGAGACTGCCTTAAGCTATGGTTCGCGATCGCCACACAAGTGACACAACCAAAGCTCGGAAGCCAAGGTACTCGACTAGCACGGCTCGCAGACACTGCGAAGTCGAAAGGTCACGTCCTTTTGGACATCCGGCTCCCCATAGCTATTACAAAAGGCGAAAAGGAGCTCTCAATCCTGCTATGGAATCAGAATTCGACACGATGGGGAATTCACCATGGGAAGATCCTTTCGAATATGAGCGCCAGGCCTCAGAAGTGGAAATGGCACACTTTGACAATGATTGCGAAATTTTGTACGCTTCCAGTCAGCTATGAATACAGTTTGGTGCTAACATCTGCTCCTAATGCCAATGGAAGCCTAAGCAATGATCGGAATGATGATGGATCCCAGAGTGATGATGGATCGGGGGAATTCTCAGGGCCTAACCGGGCATCTCTGGAAGAGTGGATGGAGGCTGTTGAGGAATATAAAGCAGGTGTGACCTTACAGCGCTATAACCAATTTTGTGTGTCGTAATTTCTCTCACTTTGTCATCAGCTAACCTACAAATGCAGACAACCAGCCCCTTTCCAGTGTAGACTACACAAACCTGAAGATGTTCGACATTATGATTCGCAGCAATATGTCTGGTTCGACATATAGCATTATTCGGTCACGCTTTGAAGAACTTCAACTGAAGTCGCTTCATCAACTTCACTCATACATCTCCAGGCTTTCCCATGTCATAGAGCATTCATATGACTGCTGCATTAACAGCTGCTGCTGTTTTTCTGGTGAACTTGCCGATCTCGATACTTGTCCATACTGCAAGCAATCATGCTTCAAACCAAATTGTTGTCATCCCTTCAAGACCTTCCGTTATCTCCCAATGGGACCTCGCCTCAAAGCGCTCTACACAAACAAGAGCTTTGCTGAACATCTAAAATACCGTGGGGCTCTTGATCTCAATACTGGGACTATTGACGACGTCTTTCATGGAATCCACTACCATCATCTATGGCAACAACAAGTTCGTCTTGATGGGCAGCGATATCAGCACTATTTATTCGGTGATCACTGGGACGTCACACTGGGGATCATGATGGATGGATTTCAGATCTTCAAACGCCAACGTGATGGCAGCATGACTTGCTGGCCCATTATCGCAATCAACTTCAACCTGCCACCCGAGGAACGTACTAAACTATCGAATATAATCCCACTTGCTATAATCCCAGGGCCAAAGGCACCAAAAGACTTCAATTCCTTCTTACGGCCAGTTGTTGATGACTGCAAGCAGCTGGCTCTGGGAGAATGGGCATTGGATATAACTTCAAATGAAACTTTCAAGCTTCGAGCTTATCCGATTTCTTTCCATGGCAATATGGTTGCTGTGAAGCACGTAATGAATTTTAAGGGTCCTAATGGGATTTCCCCATGCTCAGTCTGCCACATTAAGGGAATTAGGAATCTTGATGGTGCAACAACATACTATGTCCCTCACACACCTCCTCTCAACCAGCCCAAAACATGTGATACATACTGGGATATTCGGGACAACTTGCTCCGTTCCAAATCTGATTATCAACACACACTCTCAGAGGTCGCTTCCCTCCTAGGCAGTTCCAGAGGCTTAAAATCGAAGCTTTCCAAAATCCAACAACAGTCTGGGATCAATGGAAACTGTGTGCTCACCGAACTTCCATCCATTTCAATTACTAGGTCTTTCCCCCATGATTGGATGCATCTTTGCCTAGAAAATCACTCAAAAAATCTGGTTGCGCTATGGCAAGGTAAATATAAAGGCTTGGATGAGGGGAAGGAAAGCTATCAGCTTTCCGAAGCTCTCTGGGAAAGAATCGGACAAGAAACTGCTCAAGCTGGGGACACGGTACCCTCATCCTTCAGACATCGTACCCCAAATATTTGGACAGAAAAGCACATCTTCACAGCTGAAGATTGGGCTTTCTGGATGATTCACATAGCGCCGTATGTTCTCAGGAACAGGTTCAACCGCCCCAAATATTACAAACATTTCATGAAATTCAATTCAATCCTCAAACACACCATTCAATATTCTTTCACAGAAAAAGACCTGGATGAGTTGGAGCAAGATATCATCGATTATGTGAAAGAATATGAAATGTGAGTTCATTTTATCACTTGAGTTTTGTGTGCGAAACAATATATTGCGTGGCTTTTCTAGTATTTACTACCAGTTTTTGGCTCAGCGTTTATCTGCATGCCCCCTCACTGTGCATGCACTCCTTCATATCCCATACGACATTCGAAACAATGGGCCACCATGTAACAATTGGACCTTCATCATGGAGCGTTGGTGTGGTTCGCTTTTACCTGCCATCAAATCTCGGAAACAACCATTCACATGCCTTGCGCTAAGGCAGTATCAGGCAGCACAATTATTTGAGGTTGTAAACCGCTACAATGTAACTCAGCTGATGCCACTGAGACATGATATGAATGTCCCTTCACGGCATGAGAAACGGTTTTCGAAGTCGGCCTGTGCGCTATCCTTCAGTTATTTAGCCACCGTAGCTGACACATTGCCAGATCTTATCTCTTTTTTACGCAACCCCATCAAACACAACCATACTCCTGACATGACAATTCGAAAGAAGATTGCAAAACATTTGACAACATCTTTCAGTGGCTCAATCAGAGCCTGGTTGGACATCCTTCCACAAATAATGGAGCGCTGGGCGAAAGTTCGCATTGGTAATGGGGGCGATCTTATTCGAGGGGCCATTGCACAGATGAGCAGTCGGCAGAGTTTCCACGATGCCTCTTTTGTCTGTGTGAGTGATCGCAATTCTGGTTTACATAACCCAATATGTTATTTGATAGTATGAGTTGTTTGCTGACGCGAATGCACACCGCCCACAAGCCAAAGAAGATTTTGTTCGTACTGTCTACTATGGGCGGCTCGAGTATATCCTTCACTGCACCATCCCATCAAACATCATATCCAAAAATACCGAGCCCGAAACCATTCTTTTTGGCATCATTACCACTTGTGATACCCAGGGACACAATGCTACACTAGAGCTGACCTATTTTAGAAGTTTGACATCGTACATTGAAATCGTGGACTTGGCTGCAATCTGCACAGTGGTGGGTCGCATCCAAATTGGCACCACGAATCCTCAATGGGTGATTGTTGACCGGAGCGGTTCCTGGGCCTGCACCGCCTTCACGGATGACTCACTGACTGTAGACGCTCCCCAACAAGAGGAACTCTGACAAAAATCCATTGTGTATGCTTAGGATACCTAGCTACGAATCAAATTTACATCCAGCTTCCGAATTGCGACTTTGTCTGGTCTACCATGAGATAAAAATCCGGCTCTGTCCCGCCTCCAGCAAACAGTGGAACCGGTCTGTAAAAGATCAGGATAAAAATCCTATTCCACTGAGCCTGAAGGTAGCAGTCTGCGAAGTTACATGATAACGGACAATGTCTTGTTTCCAATAATCGCACAATGGTCAGGACTTTTCGCAAAATCTTGACCTATCACGTTACAATATCATGGAATCGCTTCTCTCAGTGGATAACCAAGAACTCGGAGGTTTCAGGTAGCCTAGATAGGTGTCCACATGTGAGTTTTTGGCCAAACGCTGCAAATATAACGCCATGCAACTCACTTTTGTTAATTATTCCTTCTCTTTTCTTGTTCGTGTACTATTCCTATTGGGAATTAAGGTTGTCACTCAATCCTGTTCTAAAGGAAGAGTCATAAGCAGGGAATGGCTTCCCTCAGGGAATTACAATAGAATCCACTTTGGCACCAGCCAGCTTAGGGTATGTCACTACTGTTGACGTACGGTCCCACTCTCTATATACAGCAACTGTATTGTCCAATCACACCCTCGAACTCCTGGCTATGCTTCCTGATTCACTGCGTTTATCTCTCTTGCTGCACCACAAACCGCCATGAATCTCAATCGTGATGGCACACATTCTCATCCTGCCCATCCACGTCTGTTACACAAGAGTCAAGACTGTTTTCTCTTTCGGACCAAGTAGACGCCCAGGCTTGATGTACAACAACAGTTGTTTCTTCAGTTTTATACTGACCGAACCTGAGTGAACCTCTCTCTCTCGCTTCATTTGTTCTCGATGCTTAAAAATGGTTTCTCGGGTCTGACGTTAACGCCCTCGAAGCCAGGATTGAGCCTGACCCTGCTCCCATTCAGTATCGGAGAAAGCAGTGAATACATGCCCACTGTACTTCAGAGATTGCAGTGAGTAAGCCCTCTGGCATGCATTGGGCCTTCAAGATGCTGCACGGAGGCATGCGATTTGTACACAGAAAGGAGGCTGAGAATGCTTCGTCTATCAACTCTGTCCATGGCTCTCAATTCTCTACCTCTTTCCGTACCGCAATCCCGCTTCACAATGCTGATATCCTGTGCCTACTATGTACAATGAGTCTTTGTAACCTATCCGCTGCAGATCATCCTTGACACTAGAGCGTTCAGGATGAGATTTCAGTCCTAGGAAGGACCCCCCTCAGCTAGGTTTCCAATTTCTCAACTTGAGGGTGTTTCTGTTTTCAGCGTACGCTTCTGGGCCTGGGATGTACTGGAATAAAGCCTGTGTTGACACAAACCATTTGCTTCTGTGGTGGGAGGATATCATTTTGGTCGCATGCGTGTGTACCAAACAACCTATTGCTGAAGGTGACAGACCCAGAACAATAGCATACTACCGGAAAGACGCTAACATAGAACTAACTTTGAGGAACGACATAGCATCAGACCTCGACTACATGGTACTAGATGTAAAAAGGAATGGCTCTACGCAACAACCAGTTAGACTCATAAATATTTACAACCAAAAAACGCTCACAGCAAATCAGAGAAAAGAATACACAGCAGAAAGACTGGCAGAGACCACGTTGGACACGGACATTCCAACCATCCTCACGGGTGACTGGAATATCCGCCATCCAGACTGGGATGACTGGATCAAAACACCGTGCCAAAGAACCTTGGAAACTATTGAATGGCTCGAAGGGGGCACGTTCACCCTGTTGGAGGAACCATGTGCTATGGGAGGCCGGACCAGTTTTCTCGCAGCCACATTCCCACATCCAAGCGAGGAACTTGCCCAGACAGCCACATTCCCGTGGTAGCGTGACTACTTGGTCACAACACCTTTTTCTTCTTATCTATTTTAGTCACTTCGGACTTATCCGTGAAGTCCACAAACTATATTCATTCATTTGGATTAGTTTCCTTTTTCCCTCAGTTCTCGCGCATTAGCTTGAGACTGACAAGGGGTGTCGGATCGGCGAATGCCGGACACATGGTATGGGAGGGAGGGTGTCATCAAGGTGTGACAAACTTATTTTTGGCGGAAATTTTAGATTAGGTTATGGAGTGTATGTACAATGTAAATTGTTAGTCGGGTAATATCGAAAAGGGTGAATCAATATTTGCATGGATGTTTGGGGGCTCTATGTCAGGGCCCGGCCTCGGACTCGGAGGCTCCCTGACCTCAACCCCCATCTAACCTGTCCTCACACTATGCGGGGCATGAGATGAGAAGAAGGGTAAAGGTCTCATCTCCCCGCATGGTTGCTATATAAAGGAATGGGTCACATGCCCACAACTATACAGCTCCTAGAGTTGTGTAGTGTGACCCGGAGGGAACATCCAGGTGGCAGTGCCCAGTAAGCGTGGGAACGTTCTGGGCAAGTTGCTCGCCCAGAACTGTGGCTGTGACCCGTGGGAACATTCTGGGCGAGCTGCTCGCTCAGAAAGTTCCCACGCTATCCCGTGCATGCGTGTACACAATGCACAAAGGCAACAACAAGGCAACAGTCAAAGAATAAAAGGGGGTAAAGTAGGTGGGGAGTCCGGGGCACCCTAAGGCAGGGTGCTGAACCCTGACAGTATGAGACGTGTCACTGGGCCCTCATGGGCCCAGATCACCACTTCCAGATGGAGTGGTGTTGACTCCCACCATGGGACTGGAGAAAGGGCCAGCTGTGCAGGTGCGAGTCCGGAACTTCCTGGTTGTGAGCATCAGGAAGTGAGATCAAAGGTTCCGGTGTGAACCTTGATTGAATGTGCGCGTCATCAGGGACAACAATGCATGGGTGGCCAAATGGGGTTCTGGCACTGGTGTCGTGGTAGCTTCCCAGATCCTGAGATTGGGAGGGGTTGCCTCTACTCTGAGGCACAGCCTAGGTGAGTGTGCGTCTAGGAACGGTGCACACACGATTTGCGCATGAGAACTAGGTGCAAATGCACATTGTCGGGCTAGACAACACATGCGTGATCAATGATGCGCTGTGAGGCCCCGGCCCATGTCTATATTCCGCCCACAACATCAGTTGATGTTGTGTTGTGTAATAATTATGTCGCGACGCTAATTTAGCGTCGCGGAAGCTTCTCTATTTATTTGTGCCGAGAATGTATAAGATTGTATATAAACCCTCGGGGTAGCTGTAAAAGGCAGATTAGCCTTTACTTCTACCCCGTCAATATACAGCCAAATCAAGCGTATACTTAGACGGATTACTGAGGCCTGAGGCGAACGGGGGAACGGAACATTACCGTCCCCAAACTAGTAAGATAACCTTTCATGCGCGTTGTCAGGGTAGACAATGTGTGTGGGACACAGCAGGGTTCCGTCACCAGTTGCGGTGCCGAGATTGTAAAAGGAAACTAGCTTAAAAAAGTGAAGGGTTGCTTACTATTTTGGGGACGGTAATGTTCTGTTCCCCCATTCGCCTCAGGCCTCAGTAGGTCCATCTAAACATAAGCTTTAATGTGCTGTATATTCAACAGAGTAGAGGTAAAGGCTGCCGGGCCTTTACAACTACTCCGAGGTATATATATGTAAATTACATATCTCGGCACAAATTAAAGAAATAACCACATCACTATAATGGGAATTATAGCGATGCAACATAATATAAATATCACTATAAGTCTTTCACCCATCCTTTTAGGGATTCTCTCGTCTGTCTCAGTTCGCAGTATCACTTAGATAGGTCCTCATTCCACCATGATTTAGATGCCTTGCTTGGGCGTCTGTGAGGTACAGATCTTTCAGCTGCTTTTTCCACCATTTTGTGGATCAGGGCGGTGGCTTCCTCTAGTGATTCGGGTGACGCTGTGCATTGGTCTGCATTGAGTAATTCGCCCTTCAGGCTTTTGATCTTTTGGGCATTGTGGGCTAACTCTTCTGTGAGTGCCTTTGTGAACTCTTCTTTACTGGCATGTTTCCAGTTTAGTTTGGTTTCACATGGGTTTATGACCTGTTCTCTGGGTGGGCCCAGTTGGAAGATCATGGCATGGTGGTCCAATAGACAACCAATTTCCGTGTCGATATGGTGACCAGAGATGGCCCCAGCTCCGTTGGCTGCGGCATTGGAAAAGGTAAGGTCAATCACTGATGTGTGGCCACTGTTGTCTTCCCATGTTGGTACAAATGGTTCATTGCATAGGGTGTAACGTAATAACCACCTGCTCTAATGCTAAAGCTCAGTCTCAAGCTAATGCACGAGAACTATAATATTACCTAATGCTAAAGCTATAAGGTAATATACAATGAGTTACAATGTATAAGAAATCAGAGTAAAAGAATGTTGTAACTAACCTCAGTCTCCAAGGGGTGTCAATCACATGAATCATAAACACCACGTCCCTTTTTAAGTTTTGGCACCATGTGAAACACCCTCCCTCCCATGCTTAATTCAATCGGCAGTAGCCATAGTGCTGGGGAGTGCCGATGACCAAATATGGAATATGCAAACTGTTTGTTTCATGCTCTTCTTTGCTTTGCTAGCTATCTAAACAGGGAAACCATCAACCATTCTAGTGAGCCTTGCAGTCTCTGTCTCAAGCCCAGCCCAATGTGTCGGTTTGTTCTCCGGGTGCAAAAGGGAACAATCGGTGTCGACTTCGCCAAGTCAACTTGTGCTAGGCTTGCCAAATTCTCATATGGGCCTGCAAGCACCCCATTCCAAGCCAACCCATGTGGTAATGTCCCAGTTAAATGTTCCCACTGTCCAAAAGGATCAAGTGCAGTTTGGAGATACAATCTGGATGCTCACTATCACGCTAAGCATTCCCCTGCGCTCCCTCTTACAGAGCTTGCAATCACTAATTTTGAAATAGAAGGACTCAAGGTGCTCTGGGACAATCGTCATACAGCAAACCACATGGAAGTTGTCAAGATACCGAGCTGCTCGGAGCTAAGGTTAAGAGATCCAGTGGAAGTGGAGGTAAGACTAGGAAGGTCTGGGTCGGTCTCAATAGGAGAACTGTGAGGTGTGCTAGGTGACACAGGCTCCAGCTGAGCAGCGAGGGGAAATGAGAGAAGAAAGCTGGTCTTCCTGCTCGCTACTCAGGGTGTAATATACTGTAGCCTACACACACAGCTAATCTACGAGGCACTGTACATACCAACAATCAATGATCCAGGTTTGTCTGGCTGTGTTGGATCATGGAACATGGAACATGGATCTTGGAGTGGGATCAGATCATAAGGCTGTACAGGGATCATGGATCATGGAATCTGGGTGATCATAGATCATGGAATCAGATCATGATGGTAAGTAGGCTGGAAGTGGCTGGAAGTGGGTGTACTCTGACAATGGGGCAACAATAGGATAGGAAGATGAAGACGACCCAAGGAAAGATGTATGGGGAAGGCAATTGTCTGAGTCGTCATCCGGGCCAATGATCGGCTGAGACTTAGGTTGGCATCGATAGGCCAAACGTTTCTTGGCTGCTCATTCATTGGGAGCGGGCCGACCAACAGGGTCCGTAGCACTGCGCTTCCGTGGCATGGATGTCGATGGAACAGATGTGGGCATTTCATCCATCTCTACATCCTCATCTCTGATTGGCCCCGCATGCGTCCACATTGGATGTTGGGCCTGCGAAACAGAGACCAAGGTCGCACCAGAAACGCTTGAGATGACAGCGGCCTGATCATCCTGCACAGTTAATGGGCAAACCTTAGGTCTCTGATCAGGTGGAAGCTTCATGATCTGCCACCAGAGTGCTTTGAATACCCCATCCGAAACCAGCTTGACAGAATGTTCCTTGAAAAGCTTGTAATAATTGAACATTTTGTCATCGGGCCACTGGGTGAGACAAGAGTGTGCCTGAAGCAGCTTGGCTGGTAGCTGTCCCCAGGGGAATTTCTTGTCCATAGGGTTAGCACCCATGATAGAAGAGGGCAGGTGTTCGACAAGATGTAACCGAAGCGAGGACCTACACTCATCATGGGTCTTAGGCGTCGGCGGTGGGTGAAATGTTCCTCCTTGAGGCCCTTCAGACACACCATCATGATTCGCTATAAACTCGCGCATCCGTTTGATGAGTATTGTGTTCGAGCCAGAAAGAGATTTAAAGAAGGCTTCGATAGCACGGGAGTTTGTAATTACACCATTTGCACTGTGCATCACAGGATGATCTGTTGTGGAGATGACAACAAGCGCCATGTGAATACCATTTGGCCTGGCCCATGCCAAATCTTTAGCAATGCGACTCATATAAAGATTCATATTCTTCGCTTGAACGTGTGGATCAGAGGCCAGCCTCTGGAGGATTCCTTTGTTGCTCTCATTTTGCTGTTCGATGACTCCGCTTGCCCATGCCTTCCAGCCAGGTGAAGTCTTCCCACCAAGGTCTTTCATATGATCATCGTATTCCTGTCAGGGCATGCCCCAACATGCCCCACCCGATCCCCGCTCCGCTTCCCTGCTCCGCACTGCCTCTCCCTCCTCTCCCTCTTCCTTTCTCCTGTTCCCCTTTCCTCCTTTCTTTCTTTCTCTCTTTCTCTTACATGGACCACCTTTCCCCCTGCTCAATGTATCACAGGCGCACATGCCCATCTCCCCTCCTGTATCTTACATCCCTATACCGCCGCCACCGCCGCCGCACTCGCCTTGCACCCACAGTGGGCCCTCTTGGGATCTTCCACGGAAGCACCCGGAGAGCCGTGGCTGTGTGCAAGGGTGACGTGGCACACCCCACATGACCATTCCCACATGTATATAATAACACCTGGAGTGGGAACCGAAGAAGTAGCCTTCTTCTCACATTTCCACTTCAGACTAAGTGGTCGGGGACACTCACCCTGCAACGGGATTGCCACTACGCATAGCCGCTATCCGTCCCCCCAAGTCCTGCACCCCAGGACCTCGCCGCTTTCGGAGCTGTCCCTGACAATTCCTTTCAAATATCCGCCTCCGTACACTTTTGTCCTTCTGTAGAAAGGGAATCAGGCGCCTGCCTCTTCAGACAAATGAGACCTCTTTTGTGGAGGCTCTCAAATGCATTCCAGGCATTTCCGGAGTGGCACCGATGTTTTGTGGTAATCATGCAGTTGGCTGACCGAAGTACGAGATCTGGAGATTTTTTCCACTGCTTCGCATAATCTATCAGTGTACTGATGTGCTGGTTCACCAGTTTCTGAATGATTTCCCGTTGATTCACAGTCAAGGGGCCACCACGCAAGCCAATAATCCCTGACGTGCCTGACTCTGTGTCAACTGGCTCGAGACTGTCCTCATCGGTGTCCATTGCGGTGAGACCCGCCAAGTCGGAGGCAACGGTATCACCTAGTTCATCCGCATTTGCACCTGGCACCTCCTCCCGAATGAAAAGGAGCTCTGCTCCTTGCTGATCAGCCAATGGAACATCGGAGTCAGCATCGGGAGAGGTTGGGACTCGAGAGGGTGGAGGGGTGGAGGGATCCTGCAGGATGGGTGGTGATTGATACACTGGATTCACAGTTGGACGGGGCAGCAGGGTTCCTGGTCTGGCATCAACGTGACTAGATGAATTCCCTTGCACAGAAGAGGTATGTTCACCATGCTCCCGTGGTCATGGTCAAGGGACTGTGAAGGGCAGATCTGATTGGCTGAGACCTGAGTCGTTATTTGAGTCTGGAGCTAACAAGGAACTACGTCCAACAAGCCTCGCCGCCGTGATCGTGTAGGGTTCAGGGATGGAGATCCTTGGTCATGAGTGGGAAGGATGGGAACCAAGCAAGACTGCCTTTGGGGGGATGGTTCTCAGGTCACAGGTACACAAGAAGTTTCATTAAATGTTGAACCAGTCGCTGCTTGACATTCGATCGTAGAATCTTTCGCAACAGAAGGTGATGACGGAGCGGTAGATGTCTTGGCGGAATGGCGGCAAGCACTTTGAGTATATGTGGTGTTCTCCCAAGATTCAATGAGACGGGTGGAGGGCTTACGAGCTCGTCCAGATGTGTGTTCCATTGTAAAGTAGAACCAGGTCAACCACGAGAATGCAGTAGACACAATTCGGTGTACAGCAATAAATCAGGTCTAAAGGTCGACACGCTTTCTGGACAGATAGAGAATCCACAATGCTGAAGAGATAGGCCCAGCCAGACAATGTGCCTGCCAGAAACTTGCGCAAATCCAAAGACCTCAAGCTGCAGAAACAGCTCTCAGGGCTTGTGCTTTAAGAAAATGCCGTAATCTAGCGACCAAATACTAACGCTGTCACAGAGTTGCGCAGTGAGAGATAAGGGGGCACTAGATGCAGCAGTTCCACCTAAAGTTTCAAAAGACGATGTTTTTCAGAGATTATAAGGAAAAGGCAATGGTTTTCATGACCCACTAACCTCGCAGTCCCGGGGAGGAAATAGAAAAAAGTCAAACCTAAATTCCGACCTCGCAGGACTGATGAACTCAAGCTGCAAAAACAGCTATCAGTCGTACAGGGACTACGAAAACCTGGTGTTAAGACAGGAAAACTAAGAGACACCAATGTCAGGCTGATTACACGTAAAAAAACGCATCAAGCATTGCTCTGACGCTCACTCACCTCAAGCGCTGAGGAAAATTGTTCTCGACCCAAATAGGCTTCAACAAACACCCCCGGAGACACAATAAGCAGGGCTTCCGTGGATTTTCAGTACCCGCTACTCCATAGCGGGAGCTATATTCACCCTAGGACTCAATCTTGTCTGCTGTTACTGACAATCCCTTGCTCACAATACATCGGGTCTACACATAACATCCTCAACATTAATTATTATCAGTATATACAGCACTATTATGATACTGGGAGCAAAAAGATAGAAAGAAAACAAATGAACGATGTGGCAAATATAACTACAGAAAATCGATTGTCCATCGCCGAAGTATGCTTGATGATAGTGGTGCCACACATGTAGAAGAATGCAAATATTGAAAATTAAGACATAAGAATACAGCGGAGGCCTTACTTCACCTTGAAGTAAGGACAATAATCCTTGATGGCAGTGTCGACGGTGAGTCGCCATTTTCGTTGCCCTCTGAGATACTGAAATGATTCTGTCTTCTCCTTCGACTCTCTGCAAATGACGTCTTGGGAGTTCTTGCAGAGATACTCCATGAGATTCCGAAGAGCAGCGTCAATAACTGACTCGGTCCGCCAGATTTCCGCCATGAATGCTTTCCTTCCCTTGAACAGAGCCGAATCATATGCACATGCAACGAACATAAAAGGAGTCACCCCATAACTCTTGAATTGCAACGGCATTGTGTCATACCAAGCATTGAGGACATGTGGGCTGAAATCAAAGGAATGCAGCTTTACATTCCTCAGGGCGGCTTGAGCCTCAGTTGACACGAGCAGATCAAATCCATGATAAAGGAGTTCTTCGCCAACGTTGTCATTTGTCAGGACCAGCGGCGCATCTGCGAGAAGTCTTGAGCAAAGCTCCTCAAATGGGACACTCTCCCAAACACAACCCATGAAGTGAAGGTCAACCTTGGATACCCAGGAATATGATGCCACTTCTTTCCCGGAGAATGGATCCAAAGGACTGAAGATTGCGAAAGCAAGCAGGGCATGATAGTGTGCATTGTTCTCCGAGATGAGCTGAGCGACTCGGTCGAGAACATCATGGTGCTTTGCAAGGATCGCAATGCGTGTTTTCCCATACTTCAAAGCCGATTTGCTTGCCTTGGCTTGAGCAACTGCATACACACCATGAACCTCAAAGAGAGGGGCTGCCCATACGTCCAAATCGGCCTTGCCAAAAGCTTGGAAATGTTTGTCTTCGAGCGGTGTTGTCAGACAATGCCAGGATGTAAATGGGATAGAATGAGGTTGGATCATGCGCAAGACGGGCACTTGGTGAGAGAGGTGGCATCCCGGCTGTGGTAGAGGCCTAGGATTTGACGAAGGGACATCTACTTGCATCTCAATGGGTGATGCAACCCGACGAGATGGACTGAGGGGACTCGGAGGGCATGAGGCGGATCGACTGCAACGATGAGAGGATTGAAGACAGCGGGAAACGGAATAAGAACGAGGGCGAGAACGAGAACGAGAACAGTCAGGGGAGCGTGAGCGAGAATGAGAGCGAGAATGAGGGGAGTGTGAGCGGCAGCAGGAGCGAGAGCTAGAATGTGAGTGATGGTGATGACATGAAAATGGAAAGCTGAAAGGTGATCAATGGCGACGAAGTGAAGGGGGAGAGGATGAATTCCGGCGGTGGCGCACCGGGCTACGTGAACGACTCATCATCGATCGTCTATGATAGTCCCCCCTACGATCTTCACGCTTGTCATGGGGAGGCTGCCAATGCCGAGGGTGATCATGGTAAGTCTCACGATCCCTTGCAAGAACACAACCACGAGCAGGCCTGCGATTCAATGCATCACTGAGATGCTTTTGTGCGTCCCATCTTCATCCAATAGGCCCACTCGGACACCGATAAGATCAAGTTTCCACACGTGAAGCAGAATGTTGGGTTGTTCGACTGCCCACTTCGCGATGCCCCTCGTCAAGTTCCATGGAACCTGAACCTGACGCTCCGCTCATATGCAATGGTGCCGATTGTTCACCTCCATGCGTTTGAGATACAGGATCGTGCATCCTTGTCTGCAATGGTCCTGCGAGACCCATAATCCCGCTGGCAGCTGCAGCTGCAGAATGAGTCGGAGGTTCAATGAATTCCTTAACAGGACCCCGTGTTTTTGCCTGGAGTGATCCTGCAACACCCGTATCCTCATTGGCGGTCACAGGTATAGGATTCGCTTGAGGCTCCGTGAATTCCCTGATAATAAAATGTTATACTATGATTTAGAATGAAATTGACTCATCAAACATACCCTATGAGTTGCAGATACTCTCTGGATAATTGTTGACGGTGTAGGCGGGATAATCGCCCACGCGCAGCGCCGGCTCGGATACCCATTTCCACGATTAGAAAACCCCTTCCATTCATGCGACAACTCGATACGGATTCGGTATCCAAAAATAGTCCTAATTCGTACGATTCTGACGATACCAAGAACGTCCCAATCGGTGGAGGTTTGACGGAGTTCTATGTTGGGCATGTTAGGCATGGCAGGTCACGAGTATGTGCGGGCGTGGGAATCTCAAGCGGCAACCCAGAATTCCTGCCTCACTCGTTCCCACGGCGTCTAATAAATTGGTAAAAATGCTCATTGGCTGCGTGAGAGTTATCTCCGGCTACATTTCCAATTTAGGCTCTTAATTCCGTAAATCCGTTGAGAAATCGCTTATTTTCTTTTATTTTCATATTTTGCCATCATTTCAGATATTGATTGATATTCTTTTATTGTTACTGTTACCCTTTTTTTATTATTTCGCCTAATAAGGTATCCAGGTGCCATATGGTACCAATATTTCTCATCAATTATTCTAAAAATAATTGTTCCTTATATCCTGTACATACCGGATTTTGGAAAAGAAGTTCTCCCCTCCCCCAAAATTCTCTAGGATGCGCTAGAGTTGGAGTGAGTGTGTGGAATCCAACAGTAGGAATAAGGGCAACTGTCTAGCCCACAACGAGTGGGTAGTAGATTAGTTGAGCCCGGACCTTGCGGAATCCTGGAGAACCCACCACGGAGTTTTAGGATCGAGCATAGCGAAGTCAAGAGAGAAAGTAGAGGTTTTGGAGAGTTTGGCCCCACGAGCTTAGTCGGCATAGAGAGCCGCGAGCCCTCTTTCAACGGCAAGAGAACTCAGTTTTGTCGAGTTTCACCGGATTTGCCCACTTTTGCATACAGTACCGCTCTAGCGGTGTCTGTCTTTTACTGCCCCAGGTTGTCAATCTCACATTTTTGTCAGCCATGCCAGTGATGATATTCCCAACCTCCTGTTGCGCCTCACCTATGCCCAGATAGGCTTGGGTGATCAAGAGAGCACCATAGGGATGGTGCTGGGCTTCCCTTTCCTCCTGGTCATAGCGTTCATGCGTAGCTTCAAACTTCACCAAACCCTCCTCGGTGTCATCAAACATTGGCAGATCTGGGGCTTTTTGGTACTGTTGACCAAACTTGAGGAGATCTCGACAGGGCTCCCGAACAACAGGTCCAGGGGGGGGAGAACCCTCTTCCTCTGGTAGTGATTCAGGTAACTGAAAGGAGCCAAATGTTTGGGGGTAAATGGAGTGAATGACCCCGAAGATATCAATACAGAATTCCTTGTTATTATCACAGTGCTTGGCCAATAAATATTCAAGCACTCAGCTCAAATAGGGGATGTTCGCTCAAGCGCATTACACCTCGTATCCAAGGATTTGGGTGAAAAACATTATTGGCGGGAATCCGAAAGTAGGAAGAGGTCGACGGATGGTGGACGGTATGGTCATACGCTACACAAAGGGATTTGAGAGCACCAAGCCTGTGCGCTGGGGGGGGGAGAGGGGCTTCTTCGATTACGAAAAATGGAATGCCATGACGAACCAAAGGTTCGAGGTATTCTCCAAATTCGAGTTCAGGATTCGCCCCTGGACTCGACGAAAACAGTGTGCATCCTATTATTTCCCCAGTGATAGGGAAATGAGGAGGGGGCAATTCATGAAGAGAAGCAAGAAAATCGATTACTTTAAACAAGGCCCAGAGGGCCCATGCCCGTAAGTCAAGCACGTGCATAAAAAGAAGTTTGATTGCACGCTGCATCTCAGGCTCACGGTGCCGATCAAGTAATCGATCCCAGTCCTTCAGAACGTCGAACTTGCACTCATCTGGCTTTGGCAGTGAGAGCGATATGAAGTCCGCAATATTGCTGACAGTCTTAAACACGAGAATGCATTGCTTGAGCCTACTTGCAATCTTCTCTCGCTGTATCAACCATTTGGGCTCCAAGATCTTGTAATCTTTGTACCACAATATGTTCTCATTCCAAGGATCGGTGCGGACCACCGGGCTGTACGACCGCCAAGGTCGTGATCAGTCGTAAAGGACAGGGAAGTGAGTGAAATCCCATGAAGGGGCAAAAGGATAAATGAGTAAATGTGAGGGCGTGCTCTCATCATTGAGCTGAGACCACTGTGTGTTGGTCGCATGTAGATTCGCAGCGATGGCTTGGGGGTGAATACCGGGAAACCGATACAAGTCCGACCATTGACTGTTCGAATGTGTCAGCTTGTATGCTGCACATACTGGTTGGGGAAGGGATCCTGATTGAGGGGCTTGAAGTCAGCGCTGAGTTCAACATAGATTAGATTAATACCATCCTTGTACTTACCGGGGAATGACTTCTTGAGGGCCTCCTCAATAGAGCTTATCCGCATGTCGCTAATTAATGAGTTTTCCTCCAGACCGTCCCGAAAAATTGACCAACGATCTGTTGAATGTTCCAGAACGTTCTGTCCAGGCGTCCAAGATATACTAAAACGCAGTTGAGGGAGTGATTTTCCTTTTTTGGTGAAAACGAGGTCCTTGGGCAAGTGCAGCCCAAAAAGTGAACGGCTCGTTGAGGCAGTCTGGTCTGCATCAGAAATGTCAGTCTGGACCACTACCGAGGCAATGACCTCATTAGTGGGTACAGGGGCTGACAAACTCTGGCTTGCAACACCAGTGCAAGCGACTGCAGAGGTGGCGGCCTCATTAGTGGGCACGGGAGCTGATGGCCTTCCACTGCCCTTCCACTGTGTTCGACTTGTCGAAGCACCTAAGTCGGTCTGAACAGATTCGAAGCCAACAGGCTTCTTGTCTGACACAGGGTCCACCTTGTTGAGAGTGCGACGCGTGGCACGAGCTTTGCCTTTCATGGACCTTCCGAGGCGATTGTGCAGAAGAGACGAACAAATCACCGGAAAATTCCGTGGCCCCAAGATGACTAAAAGAAATAAATATAATGCTGGCACTAGTGAGGGTGCTCATGTGTGGTATGGCACCCTTTCCGTTAATAGGTTTTGGCAATCTTTGCTGACTGTAGATATGTATGTAGATAAAGTTGGACGTTTCTAGGCCAAGATCGCAGACATTTCGCTGTAATTAAATTAATCTTTGAAACACCAGAGAAATCAAAAAAAGAGGGCAACAATAATTGGAATGCTGAGCGCATGCCAAATATACTTATATAATTTATTTTTGTTTGCCTCACACAACTCTGTTCTGCCTCGATTGTCACAACCGACAAATCCCGGGGCTCCGTCAGCGGCGAACTAATGCCGATAGGCGAATCCGCCGACCCGAAACCCATCCTAACCAGCCCCCAACCCCATGTCTGGCCCCCTGCCTTACTGCGTGAGACTTGGCCAGTAATCAGAACCTGGGCCCTGCCGGTATTCCGACCTTATCTCCAGTTCCTGAGCCCTTGGCGCTCCCGGCATTCAGTCATGCCTGCCTTGTCTCCATCCAAACCACACTCATCGCTTCCCGCTATGTGATCACAGCCATGCCCCGCTTCCGTGCATTCCGCACCCTCTGCCCACTCCGCACCCTCTGCCCATCTGCACCTTCTGGCCACTTCTGGTTGCCCTTGACACCTCTGGTCAGGTCAACACTCCCACTCCCCTCTGTACCTCTGTTGGCCTTCATGCTGTCCTTGTGTGACAGTGCTGGCAGATCAACCTCTGTTTGCGGACTTGTGTCGGCACCGCACCGACCCCGCTTATTTGCGGACTTGTATCGGCGCCGCGCGCTGACCTCTGCTTTTCCTCTGGCCATTTGTCACTTGGCAGCTTATCATTCATTCCTTGCCGAGTGCCATTTATTGTTTGCTTCCCTGCCAATATCGGCATTTGATCCCCTCCTTATTGGCACTAGGTTATTGATCTCATTCAGTTATTCATCAATAACCCTTGCCACTTATTGTTTATTGATCTGTTCCTCGTTCCAGTTCCCGGGCTGTTGTCCTTATTTAGTTTGACAATCCCCACTTATCTCCACGCTGGACTGACCGGCCTTTCTATATTCCCTCTTGCCTATTTATATACCTTGTAAATACTTTTGGGGACCTCAGTCTGAAATCAACTAGAGTACCCCCCTGTCTGGCCTGAGTCTCTCCTTCTGCAAAGGGGGCTTCCCCCCCCCCCTCTGAGTCCGTGCTCGCGGAGTCCGCGCTCCTCCTATAGGTCCGCTCCGCCTGCAAGTCTTGTTTGAAGTCCGCTGTGAGTGTCAATCCGTAAATACGGGATCTCCCCCAAACGTCAAGCTCAGGGCACAGCACTCCACCTGAGTCGCTGAGGCTGCGATCCCACTCTGCTAACCTTGAACAGCGCTTCCGGACGCGCCGCATAATTCCGCCCGCATATCCGCGCGCATGCTCCAACAGACCTCTGCATCACCTTTGACCCCGACTCAGACAGAAACCCATTCCGTCTTCAGTCCGTCTTCTGACAGTCTGCCCGACTCTGACAATATTCCTCACTTCCTCACTCTGACAATATTCCAGACTCTGACAGTACTTCCGACTCCGACAGCAATCCAGAGAACTCTGACAGTTCCAGACTCGGTTCTGAGCTTTTGAATTGGACCTTTCGATCAATGATGGAATGGGGTCGGGCAAAATCACATTGTCACACTGCGTCGTGTCAAATCAATGCAACTTGGCATACTCAGTAAATAAGTAACTATATGAGCTGCACTGTAGTGTACTATGTAGCTACGATGTATTTATTCAACGCGTTGCCAAAAATCTCTTGCTGCAGCGACTCTGAAACAGTTAGATACTAGGTACCCTCCCCCCATTTTCTCCTATTTTTCCCTTCACTGTTCCACAATCCCGCATGCATGCAGACCCGTGGGAACGTTCTGGGCGAGTTACTTGCCCAGAAACCATCACAGCCACAACCGTGGGAACTTTCTGGGCGAGCAGCTCGCCCAGAATCTTCCCACGGGGGGGTGCCAATTATGGAAAGTCGGCAAAGAGCCGAAAACTGTATAGTTCCCGACTCCCATTTGTAGCAGCTTCACAGGAGGTTGAGAAGGTTACCCTTCTTCTCAACTCATTTCCTGTGAAGGCTGGGGCTAGCCCCCTCAGTGAGTTCGAAGATCTTGGACTGGGACTAGATACCCCAGCGACTAGGAGGACCCCCCTGGGCCCGTCGCGGAACGAGGGCCGGGCCCTGACAGTATAGGGAGCCTTCAAATATATTTATATGGCTTCCATTTGCCAATGTGGGATGTTGTTGCTGCCTCGATGCAACCTGAACCCAACCCAACGAGTCGGTTCCGAGGTTGTTCCGTCTGCATTCAATGATGGTGGCCCAATCAAAGCTGGCCCCAGCCGTTTTCATGAATATTGCACACATCGATTGACGCCGATGCCCCAGCCTTACCATCTTATCGCATGAGAATTCATTCCGGGACCGTTGAATGGGCACCGTCATTCAACTCCCTCCCCACCGATTGATAACTTGCTGCACATTAAGTAAATAAATTTGCTCAATATCCCATAATTATCAAGTCATATATGATAATATCAATTATTGCAATCAATTTACACATAAACCCCTCCAGTGCCTGGGGAATATTCATGACAACATCAGGATAGGTATAGTCACAATGCCGGCTCCAGGCCTTTTGAATTGAACCTTCTTTGAACAATTGAAACGAACAACTGTGTGTTTGCAACGATGTCCGGCCCTTCTGAGGCTCGCCCCGGAGGTGGAAATATGGTGCCTCCATGCCAGTGTGGCAATCAACGTAAGTTCAAGCGATTTTGTACAAGCATGACCCAGCTGGTACTCACCGTGTTGAAACTTAGGTGTGGGATTCAGGGACTGTAACCACAGCAATGTTATCTATCGTTGTGCTGGAAGAGGACCACAATGTAATGGGGTTTGTGAGTACATAGGAGTGGGCTGCTGTATTCCGGAGCGGTTTCCTCATTTTGGGCCAGATGTTATCACCAAGATGGACGAGGAAGATCTTTTGGGTTTGCTTGGACGGAGCATTCAGCAGGCATGGTGTGCCAGTTCATCTCTCATTTCGTTTCATACCGTATTTCACTGATTCTGGTTCTTAATACAGCCGTGATCGAGTAGCGCTGTCAGAAATTCGTAATGCTGTTGCATCATCCGCCGACGCCCAAGGCTCTGGACAACCTGGATTTCTACCTCAACATTCCCCGATCTCTCCCGTTCAATTAGGCAATCAGGGGCTTCCATTGCAACCCGCTGGTGTGTCTCTGTGCGATTATCATGCCGCCTGCACCGATCATGAGCGTCTTGGACTGTTGTTGGAAATGAAAAGATCACTGCAATCGCTGAATGAAGATATTTGGGAATTGACTCAATGTCTCCTTCTCAATCTCGAGCAGGCCCGGTTGAGGCTTCGTGAGATCGATGAGGAAATCGCTGCAATAAATGGTCGTCATTCTTAGACCTTCCATTTTTTTTTTGGTTCTTATTTATCCTATTACTTTGGCTTGCACTCATGTATGTATTCTTGGGCATAGATGCATGTTTTGTTTCTTGGAATGTGCGTGTACACCTCGGCAAAGTAAATCGACCTAGTAAGGAGTCGACCAATAATGGATGTGCAAAGATGCGACCCAAATAGTTATCTGAGAACTGCACTATTGGTTGATTGGTGTGTCGTTGTTTGTTTACATCGATGCCATGTTGAAGCGTGCAGTTTAAGTTGCAACCACCATGTCAGCACCCACACGCACCAGATGTCGACTGAGACAAAGCGAACTGCTGCTCGCTGAGTCCTGTTGACCTTGGTTCTGAGCTCACATAAGGTTGGAGAATGTGTTGGATGATGCACAGGTCATGACGCCGCGCCGGTACGCACATCGATCTATGTTCACATCTTCCACAGATATTCCTTTTTCCCATGTCTTACCTCCATGTAACGCTACGGCGTTTCATGCGTAGCAGCATGCAGCGTGCAGTGTGCGCCATATGTCTTGCCGTCTGTTTCGCCACTTCCGCTTCGCTATGTTTCACTTGTAGCATTATCATCATCTTATTTCTTGATTACTTTTGTCTGATACGTTGTTATTATCTTATACTGCCACACGGTTACATGTTCAGCTCTGTCCTCTCCCTCTCATTCGAGGGTCCCCGCTGAGTGCTACGTAACAACGGAATGTGTCGGGGGGATTTGTTGTTGTTGTTGTTGTTTGTTTATGTTGATAACATGTTGAAAGGTTCCAACCCACCACCACATCAGCACCAGCACGAAGCGGACTTCGGTGAGTCCTGCCGACTCTCTCATCCTTGTCCTTGTTTGTTTGCATTGTTGAAACTGTTCACACCACGTTAGTGCGCACCAGACCTCAGCTGAAATGAAGCGGACCGTTGTTCGATGTCGTTGTTTGTTTGCATCGATACCATGTTGAAACGTTCCTTCCTGTAACCGCGACGTTACTACTCGCACATGCTAGTCTTGACTTTGGCTTGGAGCATTGGTGTGATTTAGGAAGTGTCTCTTTCGAACTGAATTAGGTGTGTCTTGGGCCCTTGTCTCTGCCAGCTTCATTACCTTCACCATCGCTTATGTCATTTATGCTAGATTCGAGGCGCTTCAGCTGTCCAGGCCACCACCCTGACTGTGTCCAAACTGGGTGCATGCCTGGTGAGGCCCAGTCAATGCGGGTTGCACACCTTTTATTAAACTGATTCACCTGGTGTTCCTCATTGGGATTTTTTTTCTTGTCAAGTCGCTATCTAGTTTGTATATTTCCATTGCTGTCACGATGCATGCCTCTGTGCCTCGACTATTCTAGACTGGGCAACCCATGCCTGGAAAGGTTTGTCGACACAAGGCTTGTGTCAAACCGTCACTTTGTATCTAGTCTGTATATTGTCATGATACATGCCTCTGCCCTGACTATCCTAGACTGGGCAACCTATTGTCAGGGACAGCTCCGAAAGCGGTGAGGTCCCGGGGTGCGGGACTTGGGGGGACGGATAGCGGCTATGTGTAGCGGCGATCCCGTCGCAGGGTGAGCATCCCCGACCACTTAGTCTGAAGTGGAAATGTGAGAAGAAGGCTACTTCTTCGGTTCCCACTCCAGGTGTTATTATATACATGCGGGAATGGTCACGTGGGGTGCGCCACATCACCCTTGCACACAGCCACAGCTCTCCGGGTGCTTCCGCAGAAGATCCCGAGAGGGCCCACTGTGGGTGCAAGGCGAGTGCGGTGGCGGTGGCAGCGGTATAGGGATGTAAGATACAGGAGGGGAGATGGGCATGTGTGCCGGTGATACATTGAGCAGGGGGAAAGGTGGTCCATGTAAGAGAAAGAGAGAAAGAAAGAAAGGAGGAAAGGGGAACAGGAGAAAGGAAGAGGGAGAGGAGGGAGAGGCGGTGCGGAGCGGGGAAGCGGAGCAGGGATCGGGCGGGGCATGTTGGGGCATGCCCTGACACCTATGCCTGGAAAGGTTTGTCGATGCAAGGCTTTTGTCAAACTGTCACTTTGTATCTAATCTGTATATTGTCGCAATACCTGCCTCTGTGCCCCAACTATCCTAGACTGGGCAACCTATGCCCGGGAAGGTTTGTCGACGCAAGGCTTGTGTCGAACCAACTATACATAGCTGAGGTCAGTACCCCCACTTTGTATCTAGCCTATATATTGTCACGATACATGCCTGTGTGCCCCGACTATCCTAGACTGGGCAACCCATGCCTGGAAAGGTTTGTTGACGCAAGGCTTGTGTCAAACCGTCACTTTGTATCTAGTCTGTATATTGTCGTGATACGTGCCTGTGTGCCCCGACTATCCTAGACTGGGCAACCTATTGCCTGGGGGGGTTTGTCGATGCAAGGCTTGTGTCAAACCAGCCATACTTAGCCGAGGCCAGTATCCTGAGGTGTTGCGAAGTCACTTTGTATCTAGTCTGTATATTGTCACGATGCGTGCCTCTGTGCCTGACTATCCTAGACTGGGAAACCTATGCCTGGAAAGGTTTGTCGACACAAGGCTTGTGTCAAACCAGTCATACTTAGCCAAGGTGTGCATCCCACAAAGTCAGATCTAGGCTTGCATGCGTGTGACTGCATTCTTTGAGAGCAGGGGGTTATTGCTGTAAACCTAAACCATTAACTCAGCCGACGGTATTGACCCCTCATTTGTGCTATTCATGTCATTCATCCCGCTCATCGATTCTGCCAAACGATGCCAGCGTGCAGCAAGCAAACCTAAGCCAACGCAACCTAAGAAGAGAAAGACAAACCCTGTTGGAGATGCCCTTGATCGAGTGATCCCTGTCCCTGGTCGTTCAGTGGATGCTTCACAGCCCAGTTTGCAAGCAGACACAAGTCAACCATCAGTGGAGGATGGTGATTTTACGGCGTTCATTCCACTTGATGTTGCGTACAGGGATCCGATGCCGCCTCCTGAGCAGCATGTTGTTCGCTCAACTCGTAACAATGCCAACTTACAATCACTCCATGCGTGCCATCATTTACGTCAGGCGGACCATTGGAAAGACTCTGTTATCGTGACTGTCATGCGTGTCTACATGGAGCGAATGAGGATTTACCGCTCAAAGCTGCCTACGAGCACTTCTGCAATGTTAACACAGTTCGTATCTGATGCATGCGATTGTGGGGAGGTTCACAATTCTCTCACCGTGCTCGGGATATTTTGGGATCATCATGAAACCATCAGCATCCTTACTTGCCATCGTAGACCTGCTGCAAATCAACTCATTGCGAGAGGGTTCTTTCCTTGCGCTCCCTACCGCCCGTCCTTGGCGGTATCTCTGGAGATGCTGGAATTTGCAACTGAGCTATTTGCCCGCATGGCACCAAACAACAGAGCATTTGCAGCTGCCACTGAGGCCGTTCTTGCTGCCAATGGATCTACATTCCAAAGCGAGGACTCACTTTGGCGCCGCTTTGCCAACACGCTTCTCCATTATCAAATACTCGTTGAGGAGGTCCATGCTGAGGTTCAGTGTCTGGCACGGGTCAGCCTTCCATTGTCCAACCCAAGCGACACACGCTCTGTTGAGAATCACCTAATAAAGTTGGACGAATCAACCCCGCTCAATGCACGCTGATACATTAATGCCCAACACGCAACTGCCATACCTGATCAACTACCTTCCAATACAACTCCCACCACCTTGTCGGACGCAGAGTCTCTCAAATCTCAAAGCACGAGTGAGTATCTTCGGTCGCGCTGTCCATTGTGCTTCGGCGGCACACATGCTATGTCGCTGGAACTCCTCGCACAATGTATTGTTTGTCTGGATGCCAATTTCCAGCTCAAGAGGAAATGTGACCAAGACATGCGCCATGGCAAAGGAGGGCAAGGTTCCAAAGATCCACGATATCTTTCACCCCGTACCATCATTCTTGATCAGGCATTTGTGGAATACTGGCAAGCCGTTGCGGAGAAGGAACGTCATCCTTTGTGAGGCACTCAGCAGAGACTATCTACACTTGGGCTTCACAATAGGAATACAGCCGGTGGTGCCCACCAGGCTGCACAAGAAGTGCCGGAGGAGGACAAGGTTGAACATGGCTTGCCTGGCCCAAATTCAATGTACGATGCATGTGGCCAGTCTTTCATTGCCGCCGATGGCGACCGTGTTAAGGCTTCTACCCGAATGTTTGGGGACACTGGCGTCATGGCAATGGTCTGTCCGCACGACATTCCATTGTTCCTTGTGAATATGTGGACTGCAGGGGAAAAGCAATTTTATGCCCTTGCTCTCTTATCGGCGCTCCTGCAGCATATTCCATCGTCTTGGAAAGTTGGTGTTCTATACGATATTGGATGTCAGATGGATTGTGCGCTCAAAAAGTGGGATTTTGCCCCAGAATGGCGGACCCGGCTTGTGTGGGGTGTGTCAATATTTCACATGTATGGCCATCAGTACAGCTGTCAGCTCTGGTATCACCCTCGGAAAAGTGTCATCTGGGGCCTCACTGATGGTGAAGGCTGTGAGCGATTCTGGAGTGAGCTACAACGGTTGATTCCTGGACTGCGTGTCACCGGTTATCATCGGCGTCTGTTCATTCTTGACACCCAGGTAGCCTATGTTGACGCACAGAAGTTTCCATTCTTTGGGAAGTGGTTACATGCACGCGTGCTGAAGGCCCGGGGGAAGGAGGAAGAGGCTTTGGGAAAGCTCAGTGATTGTTCCATTGAACATGTTACGGATACGGAGTCTCCAACGACCATATCCGTCACATGGTCAAAGACTTCTCCTCATTATCGTGCCTCCCCTCTTTCTCCCTTCCGTCCTCTATCCCGATACCCTATCCTCCTTATCCGTTCTACCCCTTTCCCCCCCCTCGTGCAAAGCTTTCCCCAACTGGGGTTTTGGTGCTGGCCGAGGTTATTTGTGTTTCGCGGGATTTCCCGCGACCTTACCATTTGTAGATAGTCACACGTCTTGTACGGAAACCGCCGAAGGCGGTTCCCACTAACTAACAACTGCTCTACAACTGTCTCGTGTACTGTCTTCTGTAACAACCCTCCCTGTGACTCAACTGAACCTGTGTGACTGTACAACTCTCAATATGTCTTATAAGTCTGGTTATATCAAGTCCTCTAACGGCCCTCGCCACGAGAACTCGAAGTCGAGAGTCGAAGACTCTCAACATGTGTATCGTCCTATTGAACCTGTACCCTATGGGTCTTCATCACTCCGCTCTTCCCCCAGTACTCAACATACGACGTCCCATCACAATCATGGTGATCATGAACACTATGAGGCCCACTTACCCGCGATGCCGGCACGTTCGCTACGCGAACGCCAAGTAGCCGCCCATCCACCGTCTGTTTCTTCCTTTGTCAGTCATCATATGTCCCCGCCAACGGTACGTTCCCTTTGGGAATGCCAAGTCACCGAAGGCCCTGATAGTCAGCCCTCATTGCACGCCTATGATATCAACCTGCTACCGGTACGTTCGCACTGCGAACGCCAAGTACCCGATGGCAACTACGCAAAGTTCTCACCCATCTCACCAGTCGCAACCTCGCACACGGTACGCTCCATTGAGGAGCGCCAAGTATCCGTGGCTGACCCATCTGTCCTGGTATCTCCGACTACCTATCATCAATCCCTTAATAGCTCACTACATCACCCATCGCGATCGATGGGAATTCGATCGTCCACTCCCAGGTCAGGCTGGGATCACTCATCGATTACACTTCCAGTTATGGTACAAACTAGACATGACCCTCGTCTTCCCACTATAAGAACGGATCGAGGAATGGGGAATTTCCCCCATCCCTGTAACAGAACAACTGATGGTATATTTCACTGAGCAGCAAGCTCATCACTCCAAACCCCAACAGCATCAGTCAAGAACAGCTGCTCAGAAGCACATTGACCGTATCCTTAATCTCATGGCCACGTTGGACCTGCAAAAAAGAATTCATGAGGATTTGGGGCGACAGGGCACTGCTCTTCAGGATCCAACTGATTCCATTGGTCATGCCCTTCGTGCTGACTGGCAAGGGAAGTTCGAACAGAGTGAGCGGAAGTTGGTGCACTTGGAGGGAAAGATTTGTAGTGAGACAGTGTCCCTTCAATCAACGAGACCCATGGACTTCTCTGAGCTCCAAAAACTGAAGATGGACAAATGGACAAACGAGATGTTGAATCTCCATGTCATCAAGGACCAGCTCCTTCACAAACTACGTGCCCGGAAAGCTGAGTTGAGCGTCCTGGACCAAACCCATGCTGCTTGGGCTTTGGACCAGAGCATGAAAGCCCATGTCAAGAAGGCAGTAAATAGACATTCAAGTGGCATTGAGTCCACGCTGTCGAAGTACAATGATAAGCTGAAAGAACTTGGTGCACTCCGGGCACTTGATCCAACCCGTCACCATGTTTATTTACCGCCAATCATCCTACGCAGCGACTTGTACAAGCTTGATATCGACCAGGGCATTTGGGAAGATTGTGATTGGTCCCAATTTCCTGATGGTACTCTTCCTTGTTGGCTCACCAATGCGAAGGTGAAGGAGCAAATTCGTTTCACACAGCAATTACACAACAGCCGCCAGGAGCTCAGGAGGTGCAAGGCTGAGCATGCCAACCTTCGCCAGTGGTTCACTCAAGAATACCACTCGTATGAAGCCCTCTACAAACATACTGAGCACCGCGACAAACCCATGGCATTCTATGCATACGAGAAGCTGTTATTTCTCCAGCAGATTCTTGACCGATGGTGCAGTGCAACCAAAAATGTTCCGATTGCTGACGATGCTTCTGAATGGCTGTCCCCTGCACCCCTTCAACCGTTCCAACATGGCCAGCTAAACAGGGATGTCCTCAATGACGAAGGGCTTGAGCGCATAGATGATGATGAGGAGAGCCTATTGGCAAACAGGGATAATATCCTTCATGAAAATCTCGAACTCATAAGCGACGATGATTCCTCAGACCTGGAACTTGAGGGTTCTCCAATAAACCGTTGCAATGTTTTTCACTTTTCAACTCATGACCTTATAGCACAATGAAAATGTATTTGAAATTTTCAAAAAAATATTCAGAACATGGGAAAGTATCTCATCTAAAGATCTGACAATTATGTAAGCAATATTCCCATTTTTGGTAATGTTATGTAATTTACAAACTACCCAGGTCATTGCAACAGTTTATTGGAGTACCCCCAGGCTGAACAGAAAATAGGAATATCATGTGACATGTCATGTGATATTGTTTACTGTACACACTAGTAAACAAAATGACATTAATAAAGCATAAATACCAAAGGACTTCACATGATAAGGCCCCAAATCCAAAATGCATCCTTTAGCCACTTCAAAAGTTGAACAAATCCTTTCCCTCATTGATTCTGGCCATAGTGCTTGCCACATCTCAGTTCTTACTGGCCACCATTACTCCACTGTCACTTGCCTATGGTCTAAACACCATTCTGATGTTCCCAAGCCCAGTGGTGGTCATCCATCCAAGCTTTCTGACACTGATATTCACCATGCTTGTCATCTCATCAACTCTGGGAAGGCTGACAACTCATCCCAAGTCACCTGAATACTCCGAAACATCAATGACACATCCCTCTCCATTGAGACTGTACGTAAAGGGCTCAAAAAAGCTGGTTGGAAAGCAGTGGTGAAGAAAAAAAGGCCTATGCTCACCAGGCATCACAAGAGGGACAGGATGGATTTTGCCCTCAGCCACAAGGAGTGGACTCTAGAGGACTGGAAGAGAGTTGTATGGTCTGATGAGACTAAGGTGAATCGTCTGGGCTCAGATGGGAGGAAATGGGTGTGGAAGCGGGTGGGGGAGCCTCTCACTGACAGGTTGGTGCAAGGCACAAAAAAGTTTGGTGGAAGTTCCATCATGGTATGGGGTTGTATGACCTGGGATGGGGTTGGAATGGCATGCAAGATTGATGGGAAGATGGATGGGGACCTGTACTGCCAAATTCTGGATGGGGAACTACAGGAAACCATATCATATTATCACAAAAACCCAGCCCATGTCCTCTTCCAACAGGACAATGACCCCAAACACACCTGCAAAAGGGCCCAAAACTGGTTCAATAACCACTGTATTGAGGTCATGAAGTGGCCCTCACAGTCTCCAGACCTCAATCCAATCGAGCATCTCTGGAATCATGTGAAGAGGAAGCTTGGGGAATATGAAGAACCTCCAAGTAGTGTTCAGGAGCTGTGGGATCGCTTCCAGGAGGAGTGGGATAGGATAGATCCAAGTATTTGCCAGAATCTGATTGAGAGTATGCCTAGGAGGATTGAGGCAGTGGTTAGAGCAAAAGGTGGCTATACAAAGTATTAATTAATGCCATTTTCCCTTCCCAAAAATGTACTCCAATAAACTGTTGCAATGACCTGGGTGGTTTGTAAATTACATAACATTACCAAAAATGGACATATTGCTTACATAATGGTACATATTTAAATGGGATACTATTACATGTTTCGAATATTCTTTTGAAATTTTAAAATACATTATCATCATGCTATAAGGTCATGAAGTCAAAAGTGCAAAACATTGCAATGGTTTATTGGAGAACTGTAACTATGATGAGTCTGACTTGTTCCTTGCCGCAGCCGAAGCAAGAATGCTAGCTGGTTACGATGATCCTTCCGACAGTGATTCAGACTTAGGAATGAACAATGTTGTGGCATAGCAGTTCAGCTCTCACTTTTTGTTTTTGTGTTCCCAGTTTTATTCCCGTTGATATTCTATTTGATTGTAAGCATCCCCATGAGTTGTAATAACACATGTTGATTGGTTCCTGAATACGATATACGAGGTGTTGTGAAAAATCTTAAGGACATAATTATGTTTTTTGTGCTGCAAACTTTCTCTAGAGACTCATGCTGCAGTGTACATAGCATCATGCATCAGCAAAAGGTCCTCAGGGTTTCACTTCAAATGGTTTGAAAACAATTGAGTTCACTTCTGAACTGAATTGAACCGTGACACCTTTACTAAAATGCTTTGGGAAATTGGTCAATTCGGCCAGTTTCATTGTATTAGAAGCAACAGGATCATTAGAAGTGTCCAAAGTTGACCACGACAATTTCCTGATGTGAGCAAACAGCATGAGAGCTGGCCTGCCCAGTGTCCAAAAGACTCGTACACTACTGGACTTAACCTTAGCTTGTGACCCCCACCCAGAATGTTTATGTTGTGTGCTAAGTAGTTTCAGGACATCCTAGGACATCCCAGATATTCTCACAGGTCCATTTTTGGCAGCAAGCTGCTTCACCAGGACATCCCAGGATGTCCACAGTGGAATAGGCCATTTAGGCCCTATCTGAAGTGCAAAAAACACCCCTTGATAGGGTCTGATACTTAGCTGACTAGCCTGGGAATTCCGGGGAACGAGAGAGCCAACCAGCTAGCAAAAGAAGGCACACGACTTAGACCAGCCCGACCCAATTTTAAATCACTCTCATACATAGAGAGCCTGCACAGGAGAGAGATGGCCAAAACATGGACTCACCGATGGATGAACACACCGAACCCCCCGAGATCGGGCTTCTACACAGCGAACCAACTCGCACCGAAGCTCAGACCCACCAAACAGTTCAGAAAACTCAACAGAAAAACCTTCAGCCGCATAATCCAGTTCTGAACAGGACACGCTCACATCGGCGAGTACTACCACCGATTCGGAATCACAACGGAGAATAGAGCATGTCAATGCAGTAAATCAACACAAACGAGGGCCCACATTCTGACAGAGTGCCCCCGGACAAGTAGACACAGATACCTACTAGGACGCGGAAACCAGACGAAATTCCACATCCTCATGGGCAAGATGAAAGGCATAGAAAGGCTTGCCAATTTCATCAAAAAGTCCAAGACAGGTGACAAACCGACGACAACAAACACACCGCAAGGACCGCCATCGCCCGACCAACTCACAGGATAGACGAAACAGAACAGGACTTGCAGGGGACAGACGGAACCTCTTCATTTTTTCCATTTCTTATTTTTATTTTTTATCACCACGACAATACCTATGGACATCACAGAACCTGAGGATCATTGACACCCAAATACACCACCCAGAATACCACCATGTATAGATATTCCCCCCATGTACGCTCCGGTGTTAGGACGGGATAGCCGCACTGCCACGTCATCACGAGGCCATGGGGTGTTAAGATAGATTTATCATCATCATCATCATGCGTGTGTACAGTTCGATGATCTAGGCTCTCACCCCACCTTTCCCCCTGACCCCGACAACTTAGCCTGAGTGGCTCCACTGACATGTTTATCTATGCTCCCAATCTTTTACTGTTATTGTCGGGACACCAGATGCGGCTCTAACTGCCAGTCGAGCAAGGATTGCGCAAACTATTCTTGGGCCCAACCTCTGATACCCATTCATGAAGCTGACTATCGAGTGAAAAGTTCTTACACATTGGATTATACAACTACAGCGTTGGGATTATGTCGTTCTTCCTGTGGACGGTGAGGTCGTATATTGGTATGAGGACCGCACCCACAGTGTACAATTTACAGAAGGCCATCACTCCTCGCGGTCTACTCACTTGGTCTGATTAACACCATTTCCCTTCAAGATCCACTCTGAAGCTTTCCTAGCTTGTTCCTCCTGTTGTTCCTTCGTCAATTCACTCACAGCCGGACGTTTCTCAGGTACGTTAAGGCCTGCCTGAACACCTGGACTTGCGGCAATTCTATCGAGCGATTTCTGTCGGTGGACTCGTTAGTCGTGGAGGAATGAAGAACGAGACTGTGACATGAGACGTACGGTGAGGTTAGGGAAATCATCGAGGTTATCGATGCCCGACCATGCCCAACCTTTGACCCTATTCCAATGTTCAACAATTAATTAACGCTATCGACTCCTTTAGGATGACGATGACAGGCAGAGTTGGACGTACCAGGGCCAAACATTGATATCAGCGATAGAATACTTCCCCTTCCCAGATCCAACTAGATAGTCTCGACCTTCATCTTGGGTCAACCTAGCCTCGAGGACGCTATAAAGGCGTTTCGTTTCGGTTATATAACCTGGGTGGATTGATTTCCCAAAAAAGAGATGACGGGAATGGTAGCTTGTTCACTTTCACGAAGGTGAGGAAGGCGCACATTGTCATATCCGTGCATACCCGACCCCGACCCGACTTCCGGACCTCCACCCTCTTCACCTCCGGAGTCATAACCTACCGCTGCCTTTCCGATACTCACCTTCGGTCTCGGCAACACACCCCTCCTCTTACCTCTCCGACCCCTTCTCCGTCCGTTCCGATACTCATCTCGGACCGAACATCTCCCTACTCGCCACCCTTCCTACAACTCCGCTCCCCCCTCACCACACCTCCACCCTCCCGTCATCCCCTACGCTATCCCCGTCCGTTCCGATATCCACCTTCGGACCTGACTACTCTTCCTTACCTTCCCCTCTCTCATTCCTCCGCCGCCCTTCCGCCAAGTTACGACCATCCACCGCTGTTCCGTACTTCACACTCGGACACCGTTCGTACCTTACTCCGAGCCTCCGTCATAGTCCATACCTCGGACTTTGACTCCACCTCGGTCTTAGTCCATTGCATTGGTGACCTCATACTACGTGAACACCATTGCCAATATTCCTCGGACTTCCAACCCCGCCTCCGTAACCTCCGTAAGCTCCGCAACCCCGAGCTTCGCGGACCGCCTCCGGCACTCTCGCCGTTTGTAATGTATTTCTCGCAATTCCCCCTCATCCCTATTTGGACTACTGCTTCTTTCTATTCTAGCCAGTTAGTCATCACCCCCACTTCCCCTCATCCTCCTGCCCCTCTGGGCCTCGCCCACTCTACCTCCTTTCGGATGTATCACAGGTCTTGCCCTATGACCTTCGGTACCGCTCCGCTCCCTCTAGCCCTTTGTTCCCGTTCGGACGTCTTCGTTCCGATTCGGTCACCCTTTGTTTCTCCTTGTGCTTTTGCCCCTTCCTTATATATCGGCGCTTGTACATACTCGTCTGTTTTCAGTCCGAAATCGACCTGAAATGCCCCCAAGAGACTTCCTGCTCACCTACTGTGAAATTAAGGACCAAATGGACAAACAGCAATGGCACAGCGCTCCGCTTGAGTCGCTGAGGCCAAGGTCCCTCCACGCTAAGTCTCCGATTCCACTCCGGAGTCGTCCGTTTCCGCCCATCTCTAACACACATACGGTTTATACCATAGGGGATTTTTTCAGGTGCATAGCGATAGAAGTGATTCGCTTGACCTGTTATCGTGCCAGAGGATCTAATTATAACGAAATCTCGACGATCTCCAGACTTGACGAACCTTGCATCGGACCAACACCACCATGCTATATGAACAAATCCAAGAAGTTGCGTCAGACTATAGCGCGTTAACACCACATCCGAAAAAATAAACTCACAGCAAAGAATATCCACTGAAGAGCTTCAGATTCCTCATCTGATCCGATCTCAAAACTAATCTTTCTCTTTGGATCCCATCGCTGAACGAGATAAAGAAGTATGGCGGCTGTTTCGAAAACGTTAAAGTGCGATCCATCTGGGCAGTGGTGGGTCACTGCCGGAATTCGACCATTCGGGTTTATTTGAAGGTACCATGGTTCTTTCTGTTCCAGTTTGCTGAAGTCCAGTTTCTAAACGGCAGGGGTATGGGAAGTCGGAGGATACATTGAGTGCCCGTGATTGGAACGTGAACTTGTGGTGCATACTTTGAAATCGTAGCTCAGTCCTTCATCGGGGTACAATTCTTTGAGAGCCTCTGTGAGATGTAAGAGAAAACAGGGAAATCAGCGCTCACAATCGCCACACCGGCTAGCCCATATGCACCAAGAGCTATGGAGACTTTGTGGCCGTTAGGGGTCGGAGCAGTGTAAAGGGTCAAAGTAGGCGTCGACATGATCGAGCGAGTAGACAAGAGCCCAGTGAATGCGATTCGGAGTCTCGAAGTGCAGTGCAGGGTGAAAGAGCTTTGAGAGATTCCAAGGGGCTGGTCGAATGGAGGAGCAATGAATGGCTTTGGGAAGTCATTTATATAGCAGAAATGTCATTTATCCACCACCATGTGGAGGTGTCGTGCATGACAAGAATGGGTCCCTTAGGCTGCCGGGTTTCGTCATTGCTGGTAAGATCAACTTGAGGGGTGAGCCGAGCTGGAACTCATTCCGGAAATCATGCACACGTCGCCGCCGCACCCTGCTGGTTATGAGGAAATCTGAATTGATGCAGCGGTGGATTCGTAAGGCATAAAGAGATGAATAAGGATTCATAATATTTGTTTGGGAGAATGACTAAGCGTATTACAGATACAAAGTGTTCTCAAACTAAATATCTAATTCAAGCAGCAAACTGGGAAATGAGAGGATCGCTGTGCCTTTGGGTCGCTCAGACGTTGGACCATTTGTGCCTCAGAATGATATCCGAGAGTGAAAAGAGCATCACGTACGTAGAGTTCTATAATGTAGGGGCTGGTAACCTGCCTAGATGAAGGTCCTAAATAATTGCAATGAACCGTGGACGGTGGTACAGAGGAAAACAGTAACGAAGGGAAACCGGATGACAATGAAGATGAGGGTGGAAAGACGATTTGTTCATCAACGATCGCCTTGACAGAAGGATTGGACCAGAGGAAAGAGATGGACTTTCCTAAGAGTGTATGGAGGAGTGGGATGATAAGCTGTTGGGACAAAACCGGCGAGTCTTCGAAAGAAGGGAAAGATTGTATCATATGCGCTGTAGGCGGGATAATCGCCCATGCACAGAGCCGGCTCAGATACCCGCTTCCAACATTCAGAAACCACTTCCATTCACGCGACAACTCGATACGAATTTGGTATCCAAAAATAGTCCTAATTCGTACAATTCTGACGATACCAAGAATGTCCCAATCGGTGGAGGTTTGACGGAGTTCTATGTTGGGCATGTTAGGCATGGCAGGTCACGAGCATGTGCGGGCGTGGGAATCTCAAGCGGCAACCCAGAATTCCAGCCTCACTCGTTCCCACGGAGTCTAATAAATTGGTAAAAATGCTCATTGGCTGCGTGAGAGTTATCTCCGGCTGCATTTCCAATTTTGGCTCTTAATTCCATAAATCCGTTGAGATATCGCGTATTTTCTTATATTTTCATATTTCACCATCATTTCAGTTATTGATTGATATTCTTTTATTGTTACTGTTACCCTTTTTTATTATTTCGCCTAATAAGGTACCCAGGTGCCATATGGCACCAATATTTGCCATCTATTCTTTCTAAAAATAATTATTAGATATAATCCTGTACATACCAGATTTTAAAAAGAAGTTCTCCCCTCCCCCATTTTCTCTAAGGTGCTAGGACGCACTAGAGTGGGTGTGAGTGAGTGGATTCCAACAGTAGGAATAAGGGCAACAATCTAGCCTGCAACGAGTGGGTAGTGGATTTGTTGAGCCCGGACCTTGCGGAATCCCGGAGAACCCACCGCGGAGTTAAGGATCAAGAGAACGTAGCGAGTTTAGTGGAGAAAGTAGAGTTTAGGGAGAGTTGTCCCCCACGAGCTGTGTCGGCATAGAGAGCCGTGAGCCCTCTTTCAGCGCCACTAGTGGATTTATACTCACAGAGATTTTTTCCAGGCTGTTTGTAGGGTGGCAAACCCCAAAGACCCAGGCCACATCACAAAGTTCATTCGTGGTGGTGAGGGAAATGGTTTGAATCAGGAGTGGTCAGGTCGAAGGGTGCCATGTCAGGGATGGGTACCGAGTGTGCCAAAGCCGAGTGCAGGCGTTCAAGTCATCCAAGTTAGAAAGTGAGGTAGTGTCAGAGTACTGCCCGGTTAAGTCCGGACTGCTTACACACAACTGATGACACACCTGCCCCATACCTGCACAGCCTGATCATCATCCCCGGACTGGCACAGACATTTGTTATATTTCCTTCTGCAGAGCAGCCCCGCTTCGCTGGGTATACTGACTTTATCATTCCCTGGGTAGCGAGTGAGGAAGATAACTTTCTTCTCTCACTTCCCCTCGCTGCTCAGCTGGAATCCCTATCGCAATCCGCTTTGCCAGGTTCCCCCATTGAGACTGATCCTGTCCCCCTCGGCCTCAGCTCCAGCGAAGGCTCGGGATCCCTCGACTTAGAGTCCAAGCAGCTCGGTACCCTGACAGGTAGTGCCAGTGACACAACCATCAAGGAATCTCAAATGAAGCATGGCGGGTAAGAGCATGTCTTCAGAAACTAGAATGCCAGGAAGATTAGCACCCACAATCGCATTGAAACCGGAGATGGGACAGATCATATGGGACTTACCAAGTATGATCCCACCTTATCCTCCACCACCGCAAATGCCGTTAGTGCAGTCGACCAAGTTCCTATTCACGACTCCCCGATATAACTACTCATCTGCAATGAATCCATGATCTTCATCAGCGTCACAATCGTACGTACTCCCTAACAACAATGTCTTGCATAATTTCTGAAGCGCTTTAAGGTCAGTGGTTATTCAACGGTCGATAGAGTCCAAGCAAGAGTTCCTTTCGTATGCTAGAAGGGACTGCTGATGGCACTACTGGTGGAAGATGACGGGAGGGAGGGGATGACGGTTGCAACAGCTGCCCAAAGACTGGAAAACAAAGCCAGGGGTGCGCAGCGATATGGGCAGGTTGGAAATGAATACACCTCCAAGTGCACCATCAAATTGGTGTTAAAAAAAAGGAAGCTAGAGGCCTTATCGATTAGTCATGGTGGCATCCGGGGTGCCAAGGAATCAGTGAAGGCTCGACCCTCATGTTCCTAAATGACATGATCCTGCATAGCGTTGAAGGAGCGGAGCTGGATCACCTTATGTAACCAGTTTCCTACGTCCAATAACGATATTAGAGTTTGTGCTGATTTGCGTACTGACCGTGTTTTGGTTGCCAAATATATGATTGTTCACCGTCTAAACAACAATAAACACCCCCCAACGATCTCACCTGACGTATAGATCGTCTATGGATAAAATTCTATATTGACTTTACTATGATTTCTAGTCAATATTACACCTATATTTACCACTTTTCAGTAGGACATGATTTTCCTGATAATTTACTGAAGGAAAACTGCTAATAAAATAATTCCGCAATAAATGTTACTCAATACAGGAGTGACCAAACTGCTCTTTCTATCGCTTAGAGTGCGTGCTAGTTATCTAGCAGGTTCAGGATCGCTCACTTTTCTCCTGTGGTGTGATAACCAAGTATTGCTGAGAGATTATTCAATTAAGAAGTCCCTCCACCAAATTCTCACTAATTCTCACTATGACACTTTTGTTCAGCTGTGTCTAACTGACCCTAACTCACGCTTAGAGTGACGTGTTAGTTTTATATTAGCTAACAACTAATATTTGCTTTTATCTTTTGGAGCAAATGAACCAACCACTGGTGAGGAGAATTAAACTTTTATTTCTACCTGAGGTTTGAGAGGGGGCAGAAGCGGCAGCCTTTTATGCTTTTCAGAGGCCTCTCTACTCCCATGCCTCGCACTAGTTACATGTGCTACATTTGTATTATAGATAGTTCTAGAATGATATAGGGGCTTGGGCTGTGTAAGCTTAATCATGGACTTAGGACATGACTCAGCAATAAGTAATTCATTTCCTTGTCTTTTGGGCCGATCTTAGCGGGATCTTGTAGCGCTGAAGCTATGCTCTACACCGCCTTAATTACGAATGGTTATCTTTAGAAATGACTCGGCTATAAAGGAACTTTCTAGACTGTTCTCTAATTGACCCCTTTTTGTGAAGCCGCATCATTACTAATGTTCTAGAGCCTTCCCAATTAATTAACCGATCCGTGGACTTCTGAATCACTTCATGCTTATGATCCGAGATCCAGATCATCAATCATTCCTTTGTTCCGATTTATTTGAGCTTAAAATCAAAAAGTTTTGATGAATCATGGTGTCACGACCCGGCAATTCCCATGGTCAGGTGATCACTCCCCACACCTTCTCCCTCCCCCGCTTTGACCCCGTCAACCCCGCTGCCCGCCCGACGCCGCCTGAACAAGCCCGTCACCCTTCCCCGTCACCACTACTGTTTCCACGGCCCGTCACAGGCCTACGAGTCTTTCTTTATCACGCTTGTTTTTCTTGATGGCCATACACGGCCATCCTTCTCCCACACTCTTTGTTTGTTTTCGTTTCCTCTTAAGCCCACCTGCAATCTCCGTGAGATCTGGCGACTTAATTCCATTCATTCCGTTATACTTAAATACCGGTTGTACACTACCTCGTACTGCAGTTCGAAAATCAACTAGGGCTACCCCCCCGCACTCTCTGTCTGACCCAGTTGCACCTCCTGCCTCCTGAAATATCGGGGCCGTGTCAAGTACGAGGCGCAACGCTCACGAACGAGTTGTTGAAGCCGAAACCCCTTTCCGCCGCGATTGTCATCCCTGCCCTTGACGGGCTGTTACGCCGAAGCAGCGGACCTTAACAGTCGCCGACGGCGAGTCACGGTAACGTTTTCCCACGCTCTGACAGTATTTTCAAACTCCCCTTGCTCTTGACGTTAAACGATGTCTCGCAAACCCAGAACCCATTCTCAGACCCGCCAACCAGTGGCTGGTACTTCCGCATCACCATACACGCAGTACACCTCGCACGTATTATTTGATAGGGAAGAGTCAGACGAACCGATTTTCGAGAGCTTCACGGCAGACCGGGCAGGCTTACGGTCCTCAACGCCGGTGAAACGCTGTCGATACCGCTGGCAATGAATGCCGAGCAAAGTTGACAGCGATTCACTTGTGGATGAGGCCAAGTCAACGGCCCAGATACCAATCGAGCCGGTGCCAGAACCCGAACCAGAGCCCGAGCCAGCGCCACGAGAGGAGCTACCCACAGATCCGCCAGTTACGGTCGATGAGATCGAAGAGATCGACATTGACCAAGCAGAGCAAGCCCTGCCGAAGGGACGTATGGCCTTCATACTCACCAAGGCAATCAGTGACCTTGCTCGAACCACTCACGACATCCGCCAGATGATCCCGCCGCCGGCACCACCCCCAGCTCCTCCACCGCCGCCTCGACCTGAACCGGCCCGTAAGAAGGTCCGTGAACCCGAACCATTCGACGGCTCTGACCGTAACAAACTCCGTACATTCTTCGCCCAACGTGAAGTAACCTTTATGCCCCGCGCCCGAGCCTTCCCGACCGAGGCTGACAAAGTCCTATTCGCCATCTCATACTTGAAGGGGGCGGCACTGGACTGGTTTGAGCCTGATATCCTTCGCGGCCACCGGCCCGGTCAACAACCACGGTGGATGAACGACTGGACAAGGTTTGTGGGAGAACTCAAACGTAACTTCGGCCCATGCGACCCTGTCGGCGAGGCTGAAGAGCGTTTGTTCAACCTAACAATGAAGGATGGACAGACCATCGGGAAGTACGTCACCGAGTTCAACCGCTATGCGGGTAAGTTGGACGACTGGGGTGAAGGAGCCCTCCGCGCCCTGTTCTACCGCGGTCTGCCCAATCGTATCAAAGATGAAATCACTCGGTTTGGTAAGCCAACGTCGTTATACGACCTACGGGACCTCGCCGATGAAATCGATACACGCTACTGGGAACGAAAGACCCAGACCGATCAGCGCCATAAACCCGCCTCCGACACCTATGATAAAGGCTCCCCAAAACCACCCCCACCAAATCCCACCGATCCGCTGCACCTTCCCCCGCCACACCATCCACATCCACTACCAATAAACCAAAGGACAAGTACCCCGACGGTAAGCCTAAATCTGACCTCGCCGCAAAACTCGGGAAAGATGGCAGGCTGACCAAGGAAGAGCGTCAACGGCGCTTCGACAATAACTTGTGCATGTTCTGCGGTAAGCCGGGACATGTAGCTAAAGAGTGCTACAAGGCCGGGTCAAGTGCAGCTAAGGCCAGTGTTACGGGGATGGGGGAAAT